ACGGCCTGATGAATATAAACCAAGTTGTTTCTCGGCGGTCTCTAGTTTGTCGGAGGTTGTGCATGGTAATTGTCGAAGTATTGATTTGGATATGGTTGTCAAAACTGCTGTCAGGGATAGTTCGAGACTTGTCAAACTTCTGGAGAATTTTGAAATCTGCAAGTCTTGGCGTCATGACCTTCTTCGGTACAGTTCTAGCATTTGGAGATTTGGAGCTTGCAGTCACTTGCCGGATGTCCTTCGTTCTTGCATTTAGTACACCAAATTCCAAATCGAAATTCTTTGATGTCGGCCTTGGATTTTCCCTTGAGCTTGTCGATTGTTTTCCTGAGTTTCTGAAGTTTTGACTTGGTGCTCTCTCCGAGTTCATCATTGGAGTCGTCGTCGGAACTGCTATCAGAATCTGAGTTATCTGTGTCATCTACTTGTGCTGTCATTCATCAAGCTTGAACATCTTGAAGGGCTCTTGCGAGTTCGAGATAAGTGGCAACGTTGATGTGTGTTGCCACTTCTCGGAGGGATCGTTGGAGGCCTTGCATGTGCCATTGGTAAAGTAATGTTTTAGTGGCACTGTTGCCACATTTGCTGGCATGTCGAGTGAAGGTTTGAGTGTAGTCATCGATAGATTGACCAGACTTCTGCTTGAGTTTTTGGATCTTGTGAAGTCATTGGCTTTGAGTGAGGGAAGACTTGAATCGGTCTACGAGCTTGAGTGCGAGGTCGTCGAAACTTGTATTTTGAGGAAGTGTTTGAGCCCATTCATTGGCTCTCTTTTGAAGGGTACATCGGAAGTAGTATGGAAGTTCAGTAGTCTGGCCGTTGATTCGGATTGCTTCTCGGAACTGTTCAACATGTTTCTCAGTGTCTTCTGACTTCAGACCATGAAATAGTGGATAGGAGACGTGTCTTCCGACAGGTATGTTGGTGACGGCGGTAGTGACTGCCATTTGCTGTTGGTAGTAATGTTAGTATTGTCGAGGTTGTTTTGTCAGGTTGTCACCGTGGAGCCCTAAGGTGATTTGTAGCAAGGGGTTGTTGGGGTTGATAGCAAAGTTGGTGTAAAAGGAAGGTGGTGAATTGTTGTTGTTGTTTAGTGGACTCTTCTTTGTTTTTTCTTTTGTATTGGGACTGTTTTCGGGTGTGTCGTCGACGTCGTCGTTGGTGTCGGGTTGCTTGCCGGTATTGATTTTCGGAAGATGGTGCTCAAACTTGTTGTCAACGTACTTGTCGGAGTTATGTTGTGTTGGTTGTGGTTGTTCGTCTAAATTGTCAAAGAGTTCTTCGAACGTATAGTTGTGTGGTGACTGTGGTTGCTGTGGAAGATTGTTGTCGTCGACGATTGGTTCGTCGATCTCGTTGTTGTTGGATGATTGTAGCTGTTTGGCAGCTCGGCGTGAGTTGTTGACGTCGAGTGCTTGACTATTGGACGATTCGGGTTGTTCGTCTTTACTGCTGTTGACTGGGTATATCGGAGTGCGACTGTAATTGGTGAAGTCAAGTTGTTGTCTCGTCAGCGTGTTGAAGTCGAAAGCGTGTTCGAAAGGTCTTGCTAATAGCAGACTTTGGTAGATGTTGGAAGCAAATGTGGGATATATTGGTGTTGTGAAGATCGGTCAGTATGGCGAAAATGGTGCTGGTCTGGTGAAGTCTGTGAAGCTAGGCAGGAAACTTGGTCATTCGTCATCACTGTAGATGGGGTTGGTGAATGTACCTTTGAAGTGGTTGTATGCTGCTTGAAAAATGTTTTGTTGCTCAGGCGTAGTTTGTGTCGACTGCTCGAATGTTCGGTCGGGCTCGGGCACTTTGGTGGGTGCCGTCGAGGGTGTTGATTCAGGTTCGGGCACTTCAGTGGGTGCTGTCGAAGGTGTTGATTCAGGCTCAGGCACTTCGGTGGGTGCTGTCAAAGGTGTTGATTCAGGCTCAGGCACTTCAGTGGGTGCCATCGAGGGTACTGCTGATGGTGTGTCCGGTGGTGTTGTGTAGTCGTCATATTCTTCGCAGATGTCCGATACTGGTTCGTTGAAGTTAGCTCGTGGTAATAATTCGTGTCGGATGTAATTCTCTCTCTTGGAGGGTGTAACAATTTGATTCAACTTCTCTTGGTCTTTCTTTCTCTTTGTTTCTAAATTCTTCAAATCTCTATCTAAACGTCGGATAAGCCGTTGTCGGTCCTCTTCTGACTTGCTGGATGTTCTTCGTGGTTTTGGATACATGCATTCTTCTACTGGTTGTCGGTGTCAGATTCGTGTCTGCAGTCAATCATGCAGTTCGGGCAGAACTTCGGGAAGACTGTCGGTGGGCCAATTGTCGATAAAGTCGTTGTGAGCTTGTTCTTTCTTTTCAGTGCAAATATTGACAGTGGTGCGTGTTGGGTTGGGTTGTGTTCAGCTGAGTTGTGTTGGGTTGAGTGTGCTAGTGCAGTATGCAGACTGGTCTTCCACTTGGCTGGTGCCGAGATGGAGTTCGATGAAGAGTTTCGGATATTCAGGTTTGTCTGGAATGATTTCATCGATAATGTCGTTGATAATGCCATCGAGTTGTTCAAGTCCGGATTGGCAATGGCATGATTGGCAAGAGTTGTTGCAGCGAACGTGTTGATTTCGAACCGAGTTTGGACTGTTGTTTTGGTGCTGAGCTGCTGACTCTGTTGGAGGGGTTGTCGAAAAATTGGTGGTGCGTTGTCAAGTTGTCCCTCGACAAGTTCTCCGATACCGGGTAACAGAGTGATGGGTTCGTTGTTGGTGTAGGTTCTGAGGATGTGCTTCGGTATTTGGAATGGGTGCAGAAATTGGAATTGTGTCGGAGTGCTAGGATTGCTGGGTCGACAACTGCACAGAAGATGGGTTCGTTTCGGCAGTGGTGTCGGTTTGTGTCGAGCGTGCTAGTTGAGGTCTCGAGCTTAGAGTGGGTGGTCTTGTGCTCGGAGATGGAGTTCGCCAATGAAGCTGCTGAGGGCGTCCGCTGATGAAGGTGCTGGTAGATTGAAGTTTCTTGTCAAAGAGGGCTGTTGGTGGTCTTCGTTAGTGATTGGACTAGGAGATCTTGAGAGAGAGCTTGCAGATTCTTCAAAGATCTCCTCTGGAAAGCGTCTGCCTCTACTGTATTGGGCGGCAACCGCTTGGATGCCGTTGATCCATGTTGGTGGTGGCATTTGCTTGTTGAATTTGGGCGAATTGGGTGGCGAATTGGGTAGCGAATTTTGGCGAGTTGGGTAGATTGCTTGATCGTTCTTGCTATCTGTGCACAAAGAATAGAGAAAGAACGGAAGAATTTGTGAACCTGAAGGGGAATTCAAAAGCCGTGGTTGCCAAATGAAGAGGTGTGAAAACTCCTCTTCACTGGAAATCTATTGTTAGTAAGAAAACAAAAGAGAAAAGGGCCCGATCTCCAAGGGCTGAGAAGAGGCACGAGTAAAAGAATGCTATGTATTGATAAGAAAAATGATGGAATGGAAATAGGGATCCACAATTTGGATTCCCCCTTTTGAAAGGTTAGCGGTTCTAACTGCTAGCATATACTATATGTTATGCATGATTTAATCTATGGCTCTAATGCAGCCTTGGGTTCAAAGTCGGAGTCCCTTGAACTTGGGTTTTTGGTTGATACAACCGTCCTTCTTCACAAGCAAAACCGGAGCACCAAATGAAAATTTACTTAGTTAAATAAATCCAAATTTAAGTAACTCCTTGATTTATCATTAAAGATCTTGCTCCTCCACATAACTTAACCGAAATAGATGCCAGTAAATTAGCCGTGTCCCTGGCTCCAATGTAATCCCATGCTCCACATCTTATAATGGAAGCAACCCATGAGGAAGTTCATATGGAAAAATATTAGAAAGCTCATCGAGTACACTTCTCCTCCACACGTGCCTTGGTCCCCTAAATCACGAACAAATAGCAAGTAACTTGAAAGTGCTTTTTCATTACAACAAACTCGCTTCAAAGATATAGCAAATAGCATAACAATTGGAGGTTGAACTCCCTCTCCAAACCACACATCTTTAACACCACCATATTTCAACAAGACACACTTAATACTCCACTTTATCTCTGGATCCACCTTCACCAACTATGGCATCCTAAAAATAAGATCCACACAATGGATATCCATGAGATAAAAAGTCTCCACAAGTGTGGTTTTGCCAACCAACAATTCCAGCCCCTCTACACAAACATCAAAATGTTGAATAGAAGTAGTTGCACTTTCCACCGTGTATGGAAAAACTCCTCGTGTCACCAGGCCATGCTCTGCAATAAACTTTGCTAAAACAAAGTTGTTATCGCTCCCACTATCCAACAAAATCCACACTAGATTGCCACAAAACATGCTTCCAGCATTAAAGCTGATTCACGAGTATCCTCAAGCTCCATTTTGTTCCACATACAGTTGAGTTGATGAGCAATGATCAAAAGCCTCTTCCTCCGACCTGAATGGTCATCCCTGTCATCCTTGTTGTAGAGTTTGCAACTTTTTAATATCTAACTTACTGTTAATAAAAGATTGGCTAATCTTTTTGCTTTGCTATTTGTTCTTCAACTATGGACAATCAGCCTTATAGTGTCCAAACTCACCGCAACTGTCTATAAATTTTCACAAAGAACTTCTGCTTCTTTGACCCCTTTGCATCCAAAGTAACCACCACAGACTTCAACTTGTTGTGCTTGTTCCCATCCTTGTGTCCATAGCGATCATCATAATGATTCTCGGTAGAAGGACTCCATGAACACTTGCGAGACTTGTGCTTGTCATTGTCAAGTCAATAAGCCACATCAAAGAGCTCCTCCAAACTCTTTGTAAGCTGAGAATGACGCAAGTGTTGTCACATGCTCTCACTATGAAGGTCATCAATGAAGTAGGACTTGTTTTGATTTAGATCCTTCATTGAAACACAGCTAGCTTCTCAATATAATCCCCGAGCGTCATTTTCCCTTGCTGGAAATGTCGAAATTTTGTGCAAGCATTCTTCACATCGTAGTGAGAGGCAAAACATAAATGGAAAGTAGCTTTAAACTCATCCATGGTAGACATTGATGGTTTCTTATCTACAACATGAGACTCCTCAAGTTAATTCCACCATTGAAGACCCACATCACATAAAACCATTAGAATAACCACTAAAGCCTTTGCATCTAGAGTTTCCCTAACAGCCAAGAACATTTTCACATTAGCTAGCCAAGTGAGACACTCATTCACACCACCATCAACAGAAAAGGTTGGAATTTTGAATCAATCTACCAAAAAAGGCTTACTTGGAGTGCTATCACATCCAACCTCAAGTGCCTCAACACGCTCATGCATGATATCCATCATGCCTTGCATCTCTTATTGATTTCAATCATGAATAACATCTTGAATGGTCCAAATCTCCTCAACTCCATCAACACCATTTTCGGCATCACCATCGATAATAGGATTCTAACATTCAACTTGGTCGACTAATCATAACCAACTCCTCTGATACCAATGTTATGATCCAGTGCAAAAAAAGATAGAGAACTAATCTCCCTAAACTATACTACACTATCCTCACCACTTAACCACCCCCAAACTACCTCAAAAGCTCTGAGCCCTAAGGCATTTTAAGTCTTTTACCCTTGAGCCTCCCTTTGACCGACGTTGACCATGTGGTCAAAGTTAATGCCTAACACACAAAGTAGAAGGCGAAGAAGTTGCTAACTGTGTCTACTTGATAGTTACTTGAATATTTCGAAACCTGTACCTTACTGCAGATCTGTCGAGTGGAGCCTGGTTATTTTTGGGCATGTGATTCCTTGATAAGGGAGTGTGGTGGAAAGCTTGATGTACTCTCTATGGTGGTGCATAAAGATGACGATGAGGATGGAGAAGGAGAGGAAACAAGGTCAGACGGATACCGTACAGGGAATTTCAAGAATACAGAAATTGCACCTTCAAAAAAAGAGACAACCGCTCCAACCAGTTCTGGGAAGAGATGCCTGACATGCAATGTGGTGATTGGAGATGCACAGGAGTTCAGGGAGCACTACAAGAGCGATTGGCACGAGCATAACTTGAAGAGGAAAGTCAGACAGCTACCACCGTTGAGCGCGGAAGAATGCTTGGATTCGTCAGTTGCGGATCAGGGAAATGACATGAACGAGTACAGCCGTTAAGAAGCAGCTAAGTTTAGCATATAGTCTAGTGACTCTAGTATAGTTGCAGTGTAGTGAGGTGCGGGGAAATAAACGTTGCGATATGCGCGTGGAACCAGAGGCTACATCTTGTCCGTCCATTGATTGCGATTGCGATGGGATTGAATGCATGGAATGTTCTGCTGCTTACGTGTTGGTATTGAGACTCAGCTGGAAGAGCAGCTGCTATGGGAGGGCTCTTTGGCGCAGCGGGTCGACTTGCGAGGAAAGTAATCAATAGTTCTCGCACATTCGGAACAGCCGCTTTGGAGGTTCAGTAGCTCTATCTAGGTCTTTTTTATTTCCAAATTCATCTGATCCCTGCTTTCCTACAGCATGGAAGCAGCTACAGGTCCTCGGGCGCTGCTTTGGACGATATAGATTCTGTTGTCATCAAGTATAAATTGATTGATCAATTTACTGATTACAGTTCAAGCAAAGCGTGCAGCAATTTGCCACAGACACTATTGCTCCTCATGCTGCCAATATCGACGTCACAAATTCATTCCCGAAGGTCGTTTGAATAATTGCATCACCCTATTTGATCATCTAAGCTCCATCTTGCAGAATGTGAATCTCTGGAAACTGATGGGCGACTTCAATTTGCACGGCATCACGGCTCCTGGTAAGTTCCTTGCTATACGTTTTTTCTTCTGTTCAGATCTCATGGACTACCAGAAAAATATGGGGGACTTGGGCTCGGCTATCTGTACCACTGTTTGGCAATGGAGGAAATTAGTCGCGCTTCTGGATCCGTTGGTCTCTCATACGGAGCTCATTCCAATCTTTGCATCAACCAGCTGGTAAGCACTAGTTCAGATCGCTGTAGGCTCATGATTTCCATAACCAGGTAAGGAACGGTAACGAAACTCAGAAGGAAAAATATTTACCAATGTAGCTTTGAAATTGAGGTTGCACAGAGATTCTAACTCCTCCATGACCTGAAGTTGATAAGCGGAGACCATGTGGGGGCCCCCGTGATGAGCGAACCAAATTGTCCGTTTGTTGCGTTTTCATATTTTGGAGATTTACGCTTTTTCGTCATTTTTCTTGCAGCGGGGTCTGATGTGGTCAGCATGAAATGCAAGGCTGTACGCGTGGATGAGGGATACATCTTGAACGGAAACAAAATGTGGTGCACCAATGGACCTGTTGCTAATACTTTGGTCTGTGGACTTTTCATCTCTTTACGTATCTGACCCAAGTTGAGCAGATAGTGTACGCGAAAACTGACCTGAGTGCTGGAGCACATGGAATCACCGCGTTTATTATTGAGCAAGGGTAATTTTTTACTGTTGCTTAACTTACCCGAAACTTGATGTGGAGTCATCTACAGCTTCAGCACAGCTCAGAAGCTAGATAAGCTTGGAATGCGTGGAAGTGATACATATGCTGTCAAAGCATTTATCAACCTTCAAAAATTATCTGCTTGAATGGTCTTTGCTAGGTGCGAATTGGTGTTTGAAAACTGTTTCGTTCCCCGAGGACATATTTTTGGCCAGGAAGGCAAAGGTAAACAGGTAATTGTTGGTGGTGGTGGTGAATTTATTTCTTTTGCCGCTGCAGGTGTTTATGTGATGATGTCCGGACTGGATCTATAAAGGCTGGTACTCGCAGCTGGTCCCGTGGGCCTGGTGCAGGCTTGCATGGATAGTGTACTTCCATATGTTCGGCAGAGGGAACAATTCGGAAAGCCTATGGGAGAGTTTCAGCTTATGCAAGTACTCTACTGTCCTTTTTTTTCCAGCCTTAACCTTGTTCTGTAATAGGGAAAATTAGCAAGGTCTGCAAGGTACTTAGAAACTACAGCAGCAGGAAAGAAGTGGATGAAGATGGAAGAAGCTTCATGAAGATGACGCGGGAGTACATGGCGGAGCTTGTGTCCGGGACGAGGCAGGGGCGATGTAGAAGATGAGAGCTTTGGCGTATGAGAGAGGTCCTAGGCGCAGCTCGCTGCCAAAGCAGCCGTTTCAGATCTGGGCAACTGGATTCACAGGAGTGGGCCTCTGAAGGTTGCTCTTCTTGGCACTGTAAGTTTGGAGTTTCTCTGTTTGCATGCTCATTTTGGCTTCAAATCTTGTAGATCGGAGTGGCTGGAGTAGCCGCATTGGCAGCGCTGGCCACATTTGCTGTGCTCTTTCTCTCCACTACTGTCAATGAAGTCATGCTGAGCCTCGTTCTCTCAATTTCAGTGGTTGGATTTCTCATGGCGACATTCTTCACGTCTCTCACGGCTATCTACGTTGGAGCCCTGTGGGTGGCTGGTATTACAATCTCGGCTGTAACGTTTTTCAGCATCTGCGGAATGATCATGGCTGCGGGTAATGTACATTTCCATTCCACTGCTGCATTACACTGATCGATCATCTCCCTCCCTGCAGGATGGTTCACCTGTTCCTGGGGCTTGTGGAATCTGTTCTGGAGGCTGGTTCAGCTGGTCTCCATTGCCTCCGTTCTACCTCTATTTATCAAAAAACGTTACAGACAGAAAGGGTAGTCAACCTCGATCGCATTTTTTTTGGTCCTCTGGTTCGATTTTCGTTTTTCGTTTTCCTAGCATGATTTGATTCTTTGTGCCAGTGCCCAGCAGCATTTGAAATGATTCACAGTCTATACAAGAACAACTTCTTTGTACAGATGCAAGCAGAACAACGGCTTCCTGCGGCTCCTGTCCAAAAACCACTGCAATTACAAACAAGACGATTCAAGCCGAGCTGGTGGACTTCGTAACGAGGCTAGCTCACCGGGTAAGATCAACGTTACTCTCTCGAGGTCACAGTCGGCTTCTTGGTGTAGCGCGCGAGCCGAGATGCCAGCTTCTTGGAATTCGGAGGAGATCCATTCGGAGGATGACGTTGACGCTGGATTCTTTGCTCAGAGCAGGCTCCGTTTTCGGCTTGAGCAGCTAGTCCCTCCCGATCGCCACTTTCCTTGGACTCGGACACTGTAGTACCCATTTTTTGTATACCCAATCACGCCAAAATGCAGATGCTTTTTTTTTTACTTTTTCTTTTTTTCACGCGTTAATAAGTTGGTTAAACCATAAACGTTGAAAAGGTTTCAGTCCGGTTTCTTGACTTTCGGACATGAGATCCAATCTCCAGCCTTTTCATATTGGCCGAATTTGCATGTTTAAGTAAAGTTCATTGAAGTGAGCGAGCAGCCCAGTTCATTTCATTTCTGCATCAATTTGGGCTCGCGCTATGATGAACCTTAAGCTGGGATTTTTCATATTGTGTGCCTTACTGCTATCAATTTCCAATGTCGAGTGCAGGCTTAGTACCACAATTCATAACTTATCTCCAATAATCCAAGTTGTGGCGCTCGGTCGTGTAATCTGTCGACCTCAAGGCTGTGGATCGACCACTCAAACTCCAATCAACAGTAAGTTAAAAATTATTTTTGATTTTCTATTTTATACTGTCATTCTAAAAATGTACGCTTCTCTATCACGTCTTTAAAACTTTTGCGATCTTGTGGCTTACAGATGTAAGAGTGAGGCTGGAATGCCCATTTGACAGCGACACCGACCGCACCAGATTCAATGGCGAGTATGACATTGACGAGTTCGTGAGCGCGAGTGTGAACATTGAAAATAGCTGCGGTGTGCGGGTGGACAACGACTTTATCACACGAAGGGAGCTCGGGGGTTGCTCAATTCCGATTACGTTCCGTCCGGACAGCCGTTGAGCAACTGCGCTAAAAGTGCAAGCGCCAGTGGAAGAATTCTGATGTCCCACATTTGAGTACGCACCAAATGCGTGCCCGCCACCACGCATCTCAGCCGTCAGTGGCACCCGCATCTCAACCGTCAGTAGCACCTGCATCTCGGCCGTCAGTGGTACCCGCATCTCCGCCGTCAGTGGCACCCGCATCTCAGCCGTCGGTGGCGCCCGCATCTCAGCCGTCGGTGGCGCCTGCCTAGATGTCAGTCCCGTTGCCTTCAGGTCCACTCCCCTCAGTTCCAATTCCTCGGTTTCGGTTTCGTTCCAATTCCGTCAATCCCCATTCCCTCAATTCCACTTCCATCAATTTCAATTCAGTAACCACATGCATCATCATAAAGTTGAGATACAGTAATTAATAAATCTAGTTCTGTCAGGTTTGTGTTTCTGGATTCATAAAACTGATAATATATTTCCAAACGAAAAAAAATCATATAAAATAATTGTAGGTAGAAATTAAATATTGCTGTAATATTCTTATTATTTCCTTAAACATGTTTATTTATTACAAAACTTAGGTCACCTAGACGTCATGAGAAGCTACTTGGCTAGATCTGTATGCCAGAATATGAAGAGGATCTGAATCCCTTGTTGCAACTAACACTCAACCCACCTTGTCATTGTCTACAAACCTGAACAACTAAATTGTCCATAGAGTTACAATCACAAGTGGGATCTTTGGGGTGGAAGTGATCACTTGCAAGAGCACCTTCCAAGTCCATTCATTGTGCATATTGGTGACCTAATGCTTTCTCTAGAGGTTTTCATTTTGCGCTCTCTCGTGACTCTTGCTGACTTTGTAGTCAATTCTGCTCAGCCTAGTCAAGGACGTGAACGCCGTTGGAGACAAAAGTGAATTGTTCTCTCACATTTGTCAAAGTCGCTTCACAAGCCTCCGATGACAAGAGCCCGGCGTCAAGAACGTGCACGACACGGCCTAGCTATGCACACAGACTGTATAAAAAACAACTGTATGAACTTGTGATTCAGCAATTCGCATCGAAATGGCGAGCGCGCGGGTGCTCATCTGCACTACTTTGCAGATTTTGTTGCTGGCCTCAAGCGCATTTCTTGATAGCGGTGGGTAAATTCGTAGAGGTCTGGGTTTGCATGTTGTTCCTCAAGGTTTGAATTGTTGTATGCAGCTGCAATTGGTGTCAATCTTGGTTTTTCTGGGAACAACTTACCTTCAATATCTCGGACTGTGGAGCTCATTAAGTCCCTTCCAATAAACATCGACCGAGTGAAGATATTTGAAGCGAACGTGGATGTCATACGCGCGTTTGCGGGCTCAAAATTGAAGATGCTGGTGTCTGTAACGAATAATGAAATCTCCAGCATCGCGAGCAGTAGTCAGGCTGCCGCCAACTGGGTGAAAGACCACATCGCTCCAGTTGCATCCTCCACAAATATAGAGTTTGTCGCTGTTGGTAATGAAGTACTGTCTCCTTCACGAAACGATCTGGTTCCAGCAATGAGAAACATCAGGAGCGCTCTGGATGCGAGTAACTTCCGAAACATCAAGGTTACAACCCCACTTGCGCTCAACTTCCTCGCGGACGGCAGTTTCCCTCCATCCAAAGGCAGCTTCCGAGGTGACTACAGCTCCATACTCGGATCTCTGCTGGACTTCCTCTCGAGCACAGACTCCCCATTCATGGTGAACGTGTACCCCTACTTCTCGTGGAAAAACGACCAATCCATCCCGCTGAGCTACGCCTTGTTCCAAAGCCGCCAAACCGTGGTATCGGATGGCCAGTACAACTACAACAACCTGCTGGATGCGATCGTGGACACTGTGTACGCGGCAATGGAGAAATCCGGCCATGGAAATGTTAAAATCGCAATCGGAGAAAGTGGCTGGCCAAGCAGTGGAGGAGACGGCGCCACAACTGAGAATGCTCAAGCGTACCTCTCCGGTCTCATCAACAAGATCAACAGTGGGAATGGAACTCCTCGCGTTTCAGGCCCGCTCATAGCCAACATCTTCGCTCTGTATGATGAAAATCAGAAAGGAGGCGAAGAAATTGAGAGGCACTTTGGGTTGCTCCGCCCGGATGGTACACCTAAATACTCCTTACCGTAGTCACAATTGTGACCAACGTCAAATAAAGTCAACATAGTCAAACATTGACTATGTTTGAGCAGCTCCCTGTAAAGTTTTCTTTTCGTGTAACTGTATTGTTTTAGTCCGTTGAATAAAATATTGACTAGTCTTAATTCAATAATTAATATAAATTTAATAAACTGAATTAAAAAATAATCAAGATCCCCACTTTCCCTAGGGCATCACCATGGCATCAGCATAGAAGCCTTAGTCACAGATGTGGCTGTTGTTCAGATTGCCATGACACATAAGCAAACACCATGTTATACCATTCACCGGGAGTAAATGTAGTAAAGGTCTTTACCTTTAGCAAATGCAGTCTTATAAATATAATTCCTAATTTGTACAAAAGCATTATAACCTTGAAGTCCATCAAATGCAACTTGTAATGGCTTGAGACTGCATAATATATTAGGTGCCATTGAAAAAGGTCCTAATGGCAAATGAACCCAGAATTTTTGCTGTTTTTAGAGGAGTAATAGTTTCATCTATGTTTTCTATTAAAGATACAAACTGTTTTCTAGATAATTTAGGATTATCTGAGTACAATGTCATAGGATGATCAGGAAATATATCTTCATCTGGTGGTGGTGGTAGTGCAAAAATGCATAAAGGTAAATTAAGAATTAGTAATATAATCATTTCAAGCTATAAATTTACCATTTTGGTTAATTTAAAAGGTTAATAAAGTTTCATTGTGTAATTTGGTGTACATGTTATGAAAAACTCCGTTACAAATGGCAACAGAGGAGATGCCTGCGTCAAATCGTCTCACATAGAACAGACCCAAGAATCCTATTCCTATTTCTTCACGTTCGTACCAAGGACCGTGGCGATTCCAGCATCGTTGCCTTTGACAAGCTGGCGGCTTTGGAGAATCTAAAGTTCTTCACGCGCTGTGGCACCGCACTGCCTTTGCTATGATCCTCGCCACTTGGCTCGAAGGGATGCCCCTTTTTAAACTCGAGCCTCGACCGATGGAGGAGGTGGAGCTGCTGTGGACTCTTGGACGCCTCCTCCAGCTTCTTCAGCTTCTTCTGGTTCTCCGCCTCCTCCTTTGACACCTCCTTGACAAACGCAACCCGGAGCTTACGTTTTATCACCTTGAGCTTCTCCAAGAGCTCGGCGTCGTCAGGTAGCACCTTGATCGCCACCTGCGAGAGAATCCAAGCAAAAACCAGATGAATGTTAAAATGTTCTTTAACATTTTTTAAAGCAAAAAAAACTTCACTCGACTCTCTCACCGTTTATAAGTGTTCCCACACCAAGTATATCGAGGATAACCTGCAGATCTTTCAGAGCTCCTCGGAGATCGCCCAGGCCCTCAAATGCCAGTGCTCGCCGATAGAACGCCTTTGCATAGCCACAGTCCACTTTGATTGCTTCGGTGCAGTCGGACTTGGCAGCATTCCAATCCCTCATCTGAAACAGAAACATCAGTCAAAACCGGGAATGCCAACTTTAAAAACCAAACCTTAAGATGACACAGCGCCCTGTTAGCATACGTTGCAGCCACGTCGGGATCAAGGCTGAGGCTCTTGTTGTAATACTTGATGGCTGCGCAGTAGTTCCCGCACTTAAACTGATCGTTCCCGCACAGCCGCTCTCTTTCCGCTGCCTCCTCGGCATCGTTCAGTCCAGCTACCGATGCACTCTCTCCCATTTGTAAAGCTAGATAGCCATGGTGCTACTAAGGTAGCTGCGATAGAAGAAAATATTTTTAAGCATTTCTTCTGCCTTGGAAATGCGACCATCTCATCCCTGGAGGGAAAGGAAACCAAAAAAAAAAAAAAGAACAAAAAAAAAACGATGTAAAGAATCACAACAAAAGACAAGCGTACCTCACTCTCCCAATTCGTGCATGACTACCTGCAAATGAAACAAACCCTAACGAGAAATGTTTATGGTTTTTACGGTTAGGCACAAACGCTATCAGAAGTGCAGTTAACAAAAAACAATTCTCAGACCATTAGTAGTATCCGTAAAGAATTCCTCTCCTCTAGTGTTGCACCTAGAACAAAGAGAGCATTAGTTTGACAGAGCATATCTTCAAGTGCCTACCTGAAACCTTCCTTTCTTTTCACTGTCAAACAGCACAGGCAGCGTCCATGCGTTTCTCCCGAAGCTGACCAGCGGTTCTCGGCAGAGCCTCCGACGCTGAATGCCCCGAGACGATGTGATGATTCGCAGCAGCGCTCTTGGACAGCATCGCAGACTGGTGCTGCGTCTCCCAGATCAAGCTCCTCAGAGCATCCAGAGCAGCATCGTATCCCCGGAGCGAGTGCCTCATGGTGTGGTTGAGTACCCTGCTCACCCAGATCTTAAACAGCAGCTCCTCCCAGTCCTCGTCACCTTTCTCGAAGTGAACCAAGAGCGTCCGGTACGCCGCCACCCACGCCTCCTCGTCGGCAAAGCCCCACGTCGGCCACTCGCTGGCATTCAGGAGCCCCTTGGCGAGCGCCGGATCGAAGTGCTTCTGGAGGAGATCCCGCTGCCCCTGCGTCCAGTTGCTCCGCAAGAGCTTGAGCGTCTTCTCCACGTCGTAGCCAACCTTTTGCTTCACAAGCTCGGGCACCGGCCGGGTGTACTCCATCCTGTGAGTCCCCTCGTTGAGCGGCACCGCCTCGTCCTTGAGCGACTGCATTGCCGAGAAGCACTCCACCAGCATGGTCCTTAGATCCCGAAGGCCCGAGTAGAGGGCGTGGACCTTGCCCTCCGGGATGTAGACCTCGGCCAAGTGGAGACCCTTCTGGACCATGATGAAAGTGTAGAGAGTGTCGATGCCCCAGTCACTCTGGCCGCGAACTCGGTGATCGGTGTAGAGCGCCTCGGCGGCCTTTCTCGTGAGTAGGAGCTCTCCGCCCAGTGGCTGCTCGATGAATGGCAGCACCGTCTTGGGCCAGAGGAGGCAAAAACCGATCTTCGTTACAAACCAAGTGATCATAGCGTCGGTGCTGGATCTGGGGAAGTAGTGCCGGACCACGTCGAAGTCTAGATCCGCCTGCCGCTCGGCCTTGGTGATCCAGTCCGCGGAGAAGGAGACGATGTCGGAGTCGTAGAAATGGATGCGCTTGAGCTCTGTGTGGTCGAGAAAGTAGGCCAGCGCCGTGTTCATTCCATCGCCTTTGCCGGATCGCAGCGACACCCCGATGCGCTTCTGCTGGAGGAGGATGATGCGCTTGCCGGTGGAGCTCTCGATGGACGGTCTCTTGGCCTCGATGGCGCACCACGTCTCGCCTTTGCTGTAGCCGACGCACAGCACGGTGGAGACTCGCGGGTGAGCAGCGGCGCACTCTACGTTGCGGACGACCACGGCAACGTCCTCCTCCTTGAATGGAAAGCACACCAGCGACATACTCCCAAGAATCGTCCAAAGAGAAGCCGGGGCAAGAATCTCGCGCGGACTACCCCCAGAAATCTAGACAGAAGATCAAACATTTCGCGATTGGAATGTCGAATGATCGATATTACCTGTGAGCGGTGCAAGATTTCGAGCTAAAGATCCTCGAAGAACAGGAACTCGTCGCGATTCTTCCAAACCTGCCCGGCGCGCACGAGAATCTGGCAATACCGAGCAAGAACGCGATTAGGAGGGGAAGAATCATCCATCGATCGATATTACCGCGCGTGACCACGAGAAACGCTTTTGCGGAGCGAGGAAGACGAGAAAACCCTAGCTAAATATTCCACTCCAAGTGAATTTTAAATGCATTGATTGATTAGAATATTCACCTCCCACAAGCTTGGAGGACGTCCATGTCGTGTCCCACATTGGCAGAGAGATGGAAAAGAAATCGATTCATTATACAATGTGGACAACAACGCTTACACAATGGGTCCTCACACATTTATAGTGGACCTTTATATGACGACTGCTGTCGATCTCCACAATTTTATAGTGTTTTATATCCTTGGACACGACTGGCGTAAACATTGGAGCCTTTCTATGTGACTTTGGAGGAGTTGGACTTGAGATTGCTCGAATTCTTCAAGCTCGTGGAGATGGTTCCTGGGAAGAACACATAAAAGGAGCAAGGTTTTAAGAAAACCGGAAAGATTGACCTTTTACCTCAATCGATCGTTGTCTGCAACTTTGAGCCTCAGTTCTTCCTGAGCCTGTTGAGAGAAACATTGTAAGGTGATCGGAGTTTTCTAGCTCATACCTTTCTGAGTGACGAATGGAGTGTTGCTATGTGACTTGCGGCTTCGTCGGCGTTCTCCTTCATCTTTGTGACTTCCAAAGCATTCTACGCGAAGGCGATTTACTTAGCACAAATTGTGAGCTTTACAAGTTTTACCCTCTCCATCAACGTCCGAGCAGACGCAAGCTCGTTTCGCAGAAGCTGCAAAGTGGACTCGGTTCCATCTTTTGCCGCTTTCACCTGTCGAATATAGAATCAACACCGCAATCTAGCTTAGAATTTTCAAAGACGTGACCTGTTGTAGTTCAGCCGAAAGAGCCCCGTTTGATCGGTTCAGCTCTTCCTTCTCTCTGTGGTGTCGATCTAGCTTCTCATTTGCCTTCAGTCGCCAAGCTCTAGTATCAAGAAAAGAAAATATTGATAGCACAAATTTACCTGATCTAGTTGTTTTGTTAGTAGAGTTACATGTTCTTGCATAGCCCTGCACGATTCCTGTCGCATGAGAAAGGAGTCCATGAGTTCATCTATGCAGCCAAAGCCATCACGTAAACCTTCGATATCCCTAGCTCCGTGAAAATTCTATCAGCTGTTCCTTTTCTTTCAGCAACTTCCTACAAGCAGAAATAATGAGGCCTACAGGATAAAGCCAAAAATTCTTGCCTGTAATAAGAAACTGCGTTCCGTATCATAGTTTGACTTCATTTGTTGTAGAGCTTGCATTTGCTTCTGAAGCTCCATTTCCAGCTTTTGTACCTGAAGCATATGTCATGTAAAATCTCAAGTACCAGCAAAGAAGCTGTGTGCCTACACAGGATTTGTATTCGTCGCGCTCTAAAACTGCATCCTCGTGCAACTCTTTGATTCGCTCTAGTGAACTGCAAGCACGAAGTCAGTAACGTGCATTCCAAAACTGATATCGACTGCAAACCTTTCCCGCTCATCCAATTTCTTTTCCACAGATTTGAGTTGATAGTGAAGATCCTGCTTCTCTCTTTCCTTCGAGTCCAATTTCAAGGCGCTTGCCTGACAAGATGCTCGAAGGAGATGATTGTGAAGTTGAAAGAAACAGCTAACCTGCAATTCTTCTCTGAGTTGTGTCGACAAAACTTCTGTTCTCTGGCTTGCTATTACCCGCTCCTCAAGTTCCCTTTGCAACAAGCTTGCTTTGGTACTCTCAGTGTCAACCTGAAAGCTAAATCAAGATCGATGTTATACAACACATCGAAAGTAATATCTGTTACCTGATCTTGAAGCGCGTCAACTCTTCGTTGCAAACGTTCTTTTTCAGCCTGAACAGTTTCTAATTCTGTCGAGGCTTTTGTCATTCCAGCCTGCGCTGCAGCTACTTGACCCTCCAAAACAAGACGCTTGTTACGCATATTTTGTACTTCTCTTGCGAGATCTTCTTGAGGAAATCCCGGAGGTGACTGCCACAAAATGGTTAAGGATATATGAGCAACTGTTTCAATGCTACCTTTCTTTTCGTGCTGCTACACGGCTTCATCGATGTCTCCCCTAACAGCACAGTTCTTTCTGCTGTATCTTCTGGCGTCCAATGGTATGGGTCGTCGGCTTCAATGCCTACACCAGTATGGCTTGCAGAAAGAGCTAGACACCAGTTTTTACGCAAATAAGTTTTAAAGGTGATCATGGCGAGGCACATACCTTCTTTCCTGGTGCTGAACCATCCCTCATTGTCTTCCCCACCCTCCAGAGGAAGTGAGACAAAAGAAACTTTTCGAGATGTTGCCTTTGACTTAGTTTGCCTTCCTGCATTTCGAGCGCGTTAGCAAAGGAAAGAAGACTCCAAAGCCGAACCTTTTTGTGGAAGACGTCGCACCACGTACATATCAGAGAATGTACCACCTGAAGAAACAAACTTGCAAGGTTTACAGAAGAAATTGTTAAAGCTTACCTTTACCACCATAGCCACCAAGCATGTAGAGAGAATCATTGCAGACAACAAGGCAATGTGCCGCACGGCCTTCTGGCCCATCCGCTGCATCAGCTATCTTCAAAGTTCTCGACTTACTGTCCACCACTTTAGAATCGTAATTTTGCCACTTGTAAGAAGCGCCGCTGGCAGCAATCTACAAGACTTTCTGCCAAGTTCAGCAACAAGAACTGTATTTCTCGATTACCTCGAGCGAATAAATATCGTTCAAACGTGACTTTCCATAGCGACCACCATGGACAAATATGCTCGTTTCATGCGCCAGTACCGCAGCGTGATTTGAGCGAGGACAAGGACCTTCGCCAGACGGTTTTATGGTAAACCATTTGTTCTCAAAGCCATCGTACACACTGAAAGCGTGAAAATTGTAGAAGAAATCAAAGCACAACAAACGCACCCGATCACCTCAAATCGTCCTCTTCAACTATACCAGAGTTGTTCTTCCCTCCAAAGAGTAAAACGTTGTGTCCAAACGTGGTAAAACTATGATAACCCCTCGAGCAAGGACAATTTCCTCCCGGTTGTAGCACCTCCCACTGCAAAGAATCTAAAAGCGCTACTTAAGTATGTAGGCAGAGCTTGCATTCAACAGAGTTACCTGTGTTTAGCACCGAGAGATCGCCAAGCCAGTTAAAAGTCCCAGGCTTGAATCCACCATAGCCACCAAAGACGAGAATACACTTCGGATTTAGAGGGTGAATCACAGCTGCGTGAGTACCTCTTGGAGTTCCTTGTGATTTTAAAACTGGAGTAGACCACTGGAGGAAAAATGATACAAAAGAAATGAAGGAAAGAAGAGAAGGTACCTAATTTACCTCGAGAGTTTCCGTGTTAAGAGCGTGAACATCATCGTGGATCGTCTTGGCATCACTTCCACCGATGATCCAAAGCGTGTTCTTCCCCACCACTGTCGCGGAGTGATAAGCCCGGGCAGCAAAAGGAGCGTGCTCTTGGAGCTGCCTCCATTTCTCGCGCTGTAGGTCGAATTCCCACAAATCATTCATGAATTGGTCTCCGCATCGTCCACCGAAGACCAAAATCCTGCTGCCGCCAACGAGCGTGGCAGTGTGGCCTGCGCGAGCTCTCTGCGCTGCAAGGAAAAGAGAAATAAGCGATCAAATCAAGCTGTGGTCTCACCCGGCAGCCTCTCCCATTTGAGTATCCGCGTCATTCATCCGCGCCCTAGTTTTGAGCTTGGTGGACAAGAAAAAGAGGAAGTGGCGTGGGACTGACCTATGGAGCTACTTCATCGTCCCCAGTGCTCGACAAAATGAAGAAGGTTCTAGCTCATAGAAAAGCTTTTATGTGTTTGCACAATGTATGAAGTAGAGTCTGCGAAGTTGGAAAGTGCGATTTTTGTTCACGAACAAAGGTTGTTTATTACGGAAGCTTGAGTACTCAAAGCTGCAGAGGCTGATGGAGTGGAATTCAAGGGAAAAAAGTTGGCTATCAACTGGACAATGGAAGAAAATCAATAATTTTGTAGCAATTTCTCATCAAACGTGAATTTGAAAAAGTTTGATTTATTTTACTTATCCTAATTAACCAAAATTCTTTAGAATTAACATATAGGAACATTGTTAAGAAATTGACCATAGTATTTCACCTTTCTCTGTATCATAGATATAGATATGACCATCGTCTGAAACTTCTAATCCTGTTTGATATTTCGAATATCGTGATACTAGTTCCCATATAATAACTCTATTATTAACAATAGTTAAATGACCAGTCCGGTCTAAATGTGCGAAACAATCACTTGATATCAGAGAATCAAGCTCTTTATTTGATGTCAATAAGTTAAAACCTTCACTTTTCCAAATATTACGTCTATTTTTAATTTGATAAAAAACTAATTGACAGTTTTTCATTGTCAATCTATAATTTTTATAAGGTGACACTAAGCTATTTCCATTTAATATGATCGATGTAACTTTTTCCATATCACCACCAATAAGTGATGATCTATAAATAATACAATTACCATCATAATTATACACATGCTGAGTAATCTTGGGTGTTATAAAATTATTATAATTATTATAAGCTAGATTTGAACCATAAGCATCATATTGCAAACCGTAATTCTTAAAATTAGCTTCATATCCTCCATAATACTTCTGTTCTTTACTTTTACCACTAGTCTTTGCAGATTTTGAGATGTAATTGCGAATTCTATAAAATGCATTAAGAGCTTCTATTGGACCATATCCAAATTTTAAGGGATTTATACTACATATAATAGGAGCCATTGCATTATTACCCAATGGCAAATGGATCCAAAATACTACCCTAGCATACATATGTTCATTAAGATTAAATGTTATAGTGGAACTCCTGGTCCAAACAGTTTTTACTTTTAGTAAAGAGTCTATATATTCATCCATGTTATGTAATATCGATTTAAAATGTTCTTTAGATAATAAGTTGCGATTACTTGAGTGGATCATCATAGGCTGATCAGGAAAAACTATAGGTTCTGGTTCTGGTGGTGGTGGAGCTGGTGATACAAAAATGGATAAAGATAAAGTATGAATTAGTAATATAATCATTTCTTTATTACTTAATTGTTACATTATTACATTTGTGCAACATATAAATAATCTATCAGTTTATTATTTTAAGCCAAATGGCCACTTCTACAATCTTCTTTCTCCAAGGTTTCCCCGTGGCATACTTTCGATTAATATACTAGGTTTGTACAGTCTCACTTTTAAGTTAAATCCAATCGAGCGCGTTCGACATGAGAGCCACCGCCATCTGGATTCTGAAGATCGTGAAAGTGTGGTTACATCGGCAACGCCCATCCGGTGTTTGGCTCGATGCGCAAGAGGAATGGACGGCGATCATCGCGGCATTTGCCTCGCGCGGGCGATCTCGTGAGGCACTGGCTAGCTTGATGGGGTGGCGCCAAACAAGGTGACTTTCGTGACTGTTCTGTGAGGTGCGATCCAGTCGTGGGGACTGCTCTTCTGTGCTCGTATGGAAGATGGCAGTGCTTTGGCGATGCAAGGAGGGTGTTTTCCAGAGTTTCTCTGTGCTTGCACGCAGAGATCCGAGAGGGATGTCCCTCCAATTTACGAGAATGCTGCTCCACAGCATTCGACCGGACTGTATGACGTTCTCTACGGTCGTGAGCTTGTGCGAGCAGTAGAGATCTCGTCCGAGGTAAGCTTTTTCATGGCTTCGTATTGGAGAATGGTAACGAGTCTAATCATTTCGTTGGAAACGCTGTTGTGGAGATATATAAGATATAAGAAGTGTGGAAGCATCGAGGGAGATATTCTTTCGAGATGTTATCCCGTGTGTGGAGCAGTGCTGCCATGAAGAAGCTCTCCAGCTCTTCTGACAGATGCAAACAGAGAAGAGAGTTTTCCCGGACAAGATCACCTTCTCGAGGGTTCTCAACGCCTGTGTTGTGCTGATGGATTTAAGTCAAGGCCAAAAAGTTCACCAGTGCTTGGGCAAACTTGGCATGGATATGAACTGATAGTGCACTGTGCTGGTCAACATGCATGGGAGATGCAAAATTCTGGACAACAACAGGAAAACTCTCCACCAATGATATTGAGCAGGAAGATTGTGATGATCACAGCACTCTCGGAAGCTGAAAACTTTGGCGGGACTGCTTGATCTTGTTCTGGCTTGCTGGGCTACGCTGCTGCTGCTGTCAAACGCTGCAGTGACCAACACACTCATCAGTCCTAAGCATCAACACAACAAGCAAAATGGTGTGGTTTTTCGATTTCATATGGTTGTGGCAAATTTTGGTATGGTTTTTCTTACATATTTTTCAGCATTACATATAGAAATATGTATGTTTTTTTTACTCTAGCGCATTGATACATTCTTTCATATGGTTTGTTCACATAAATTTTGTAGTGGTAGTGCATATATTTCGAATATTCTAATGGTTGTTATCCATTTAAATTAATCTTGTAATTATAACATGTTTATAATTTATAGACTTTACTAAAAACTTCCTGGTATATTCTAGTTTATTCTACCATCTAATGGTTGATATGCAGTAAGATTATTCTTGTGCTTATAAATTATAAACATTCAATTGATCAATTGGAATATGATTAAGCAAACCAAGTGTTGGTGCATAACATGTGCAGAAAATTATTTATAGGTAATGTATAGTTTTTAATATAGATTATAGTTCATCCACATTGTTCTATGAGGTTATCCAAATAGTTTTTTTAAAGTTCTTACACTACCATAAGTTTCAAGAATAAAGGGTTAAATATAATATCAGATGTAAACCTTAATAATAATAATAATAATAATAATAATTGATTAAAAGGCCAACACTTAGACAATTAGCTTTAAGACATGAGAACTCCATGTTCTGGAAGCTCTAGTTCCTAGAGGCTAGAATCACTATGGTGCTGTGGCCGCTGGCTGGGTGTGGTTGCTAGCCACTGACCACTGGCTGTCCACCAGCTGCTTGCTGTAGCCATGGCATTAGTGGTGTTGGCAAGATTGCTATAACTGACGGGTTATAGTTTGAGACATATGGTGCTTCATTTTAATATCACTTAGTTTGAGACATATGGCACTCCCTTTTAAAATCACTTCTGAAGTATAGTATCCTCACAAGATGGAGGCAGTTAGATCTTGAAAAGAAATGGGTTGTTGAATAAATCCATTATGTAAAGTTACATTAATTCTTGGAAAACACTATTATTTGGCCCAGTTAGTGCCATAATTTTCCAAGATTGCTTCTACTTTGCATAATTTTCTTTGACAGGATGTGAAGTTTGTCATAAAAATGCTAAAAAACATTTGAGTAGCTTAAGAAACTTTTAACTTCTGCATGACCTTTCTCGTGGATTTATCCTTTGCATGGATGCTTCATTACTTTAAGACTATAGATTCATAATGATATATGGCTGATATAAATGCTTTATCTCATGCACTATTTATGGTTATTCTTGTGGATGGGTTGCCTCCTCTACTTCCAAAAAAATGTATGATCAAGTGATGTCTGCAGTTATAGAATGTTTTAGATGGCAATAAACCTCATGCTGATCGTAACTTTTTGGTGATACCAAAAAGTTCAAAATGGCTAAGGACATGGTGTTGAGTATCAATTAGTAGTACCAATGTATTATATTAACTTGTGGTTACTTTTATTCCATGATAGCTCTATATTTGAGTATCACAAAGTTTTGGAAAACATGTAGTATTAACTATATTGGCCTCAAATACGTCAAGAGTATCTCTATGGTGCCACCTCCTAGATCATTAGAACCAATTCAAGTTTTTCAACCATTTGAATTAATTGCATATGATAATGTGTCAATAAAACATAAATGTACATTCCCTATGTCCCATATAGACTAAACAAATATAAAGCAAAACTTTTTTTAGCACAAAAGGCCTAGCACTAAGAATGCTTCTTCACTTGACCAGTTTTTTGTTTGACTAACTTATTCAAAACCACATTGTGATGAGTTTCGCTTACCTTGGGACATGACCCTCCTCCAATGCAAGCTGAAGCATGCTTTTGCTCATGAAAGCTCATAAAAATGCTTTAAACCACTTCAATATATACCCCATTCCACACAAACCCTTTACTTATGTGTTGACACTACCCAAGTCAACTGATATCTCTCAATTTCATGTATTATTTGGTGGGAGTTTATCTTGCCTCTTGCTTTGGGTTGATGCTGATCACTGCATAGTTTAATGTATAATCTTCAGAGTCTTTGGCAATGGCACAAGAGCACTAAAGGTAGTATCAAGATCAGCACACTCATTGTCTATAAGTGGTATTCATAATTAGACATTATTAGCTCTGTTTCTGTTTCCATTGGCTGAAAACCAAAAATCTCGTTATTGACACAGTGCCATCTTCCTGATCGCAGGGCTGATGGACGCTCCAACTTTCACGAGATGATCTAAGTTCTCCCAAGTCCGTGATAACGATTATCTTGCGTAGAGATTCGAGAGCATGACGTACGACGCAGAGTTTTGTGGATCCAGGTCGACGAGCTTGTCAGCCGCAGCTTTCCCTTCCTCCACATTTCCAAGAGCCCGGCAAGCACCCAAGACGGACATCCACGCAGGGACGCTCGAGTGAAGACCGTTCTTCGCGATGAACTCCCGAGCCTCTACGATGCGTCCTGCCCGCCCCAAGAGATCCACAACGCATCCTCGCTGCTCCGCCGTGGGAGAGATCCCATACTCTCTCTCCAAGCAGCCAAAATGCCGGCAGCCTTCTTCCACTTCGCCGCAGTGGCCGCAGGCTGCGATGATGTTGAGAAAGGTGACGCCGTCCGGCTTCATTCCTTCCTGCTTCATCCTCTGGAAGAGCAGCAATGACTCGCTCGCGAATCCGTGCTGGGCGTGAGACGAGATCACCAGGTTCCACGAGAGGGAGTCTCGCTGAGGCATCCTGTTGAAGAGGCGGAAAGCTTGCCGGAGCCTCGCAGACTTGGCGTATAAGTTGAGGAGCGCGTTGGCTACTATGAGTTCCAGCTCCAGCCCGGCTTCTTCCACGCACATCTCGACCAGCTTGGAGCTCTTTGTGTCACTCCCGAGCTGTGCGCACCAGTTGACGATCGCCGAGAGAGTAACTTTGTTTGGCTTGACACCCTCAGCTTGCATCTTCTGGAAGAGGACCAGTGTTTCTTTGCATTTTCCCAGCTCGGCGAATGCAGCCACCATCGCTGTCCAAGTTATCACGTTCCTGTGCTCCATGCCGTCGAAGATCTTCCGTGCCTCTTGCAAGCTCCCGCACTTGACGTACATGCTCACCAGGGCGTTCTCTACGACGGAGTTCTTCTCCACTCCGGCTTCCAGTACGTGCCCGTGGACTTCTCTTCCAAATATCGAGCTGCTGTCGCAGGAGTTTAAGCTGCTGGCGAAGGTGAATGTGTCGGGAGCCATGCCTTCGAGTAGCATCACTCGGTAGAGCTTCGAGGCACCGGTTTCCTGCTCGTTCTCCGCGTAAGCATCCATCATAGCGTTCCAGGAAACTATGTCCCTGTTTCTGCCCAGCTTGTCAAACACGAGCTCTGCGTCTTGGATGCTTCCACACTTGCCGTAGAGACTGACGATCGTGTTGCTCACTGCAGCATCGGATTCCAAGCCAGCAGCAGCGGCGTAAGAGTGAACAAGCTTGGCTTCTTCCAGCGAAGCCAGACTTCCACATCCGCTTAGCAGCGCCAGGAACGTCACCTTGTTGGGAAGCATGCCTTGGAGCAGCATCTCCTGGAACAGTATCAAGCAGCCACCAAAGTCTTCGGCTTCCGCGAGTGCTGTGATCATCACTGTCCACGTTGCCACGTCTTTCCGCTCGATCTGGTCGAAAGTTTCCCTGGCCTCGTCCAGACTTTTGCACCTCCCATACATGTTGACGAGCGCAGTGCCAATGCCGGTGTCGTTCACGTCCATGCCAAGCTCGCCCAAGCACTCGTGAACTTTTCGGCCTTGACTTAAGTCCATCAGCACGGCACAGGCGTTGAGAACACACGAGAAGGTGATCTTGTCCGGGAAAACTCTCTTCTCAGTTTGCATCTGTCGGAAGAGCTGGAGAGCTTCTTCATGGCAGCACTGCTCCACACACGCGGCGAGCAGCGAGTTCCAGGTGATAACGTCTCTCCTCTCCATCCGAAAGAACATCTCCCTCGCGCCCTCGATGCTTCCACACTTCCTATACATCTCCACAAGAGCGTTTCCAACGAAAAGATCAGACTCGTTACCACTCTCCACTACTAAGCCATGAAAAAGTTTACCTCGAGCGAGATCTCTACTGCTGGAGCACGAGCTCACGACTGTAGAGAACGTCACACAGTCCGGTCCAATGCCATCGAGCAGCATTCTCGTGAATTGGAGGAACATCCCTCTCGGATCCCCGGCGTGCGCTGCAAGCACAGAATTCCAAAGAATGAGATCAGCCTCAGAAACTCTGGAAAACACCCTCCTTGCATCGCCAAAGCACTGCCATCTTCCATACGAGCACACAAGAGCAGTCCCCACGACTGGATCACATCCCAGGCCACATTCGACCACGCAGCCGTCCACCAATCTCACGGTGCTCTCACAGCAAGCATCAAGAACAGTCACGAAAGTCACCTTGTTTGGAGCCACCCCATCAAGCTGCATCGCCGAAAAGTACTCCAGCGCCTCGCGAGATCGCCCGCGCGAGGCAAATGCCGCGATGATCGCCGTCCACGACACCACATTCCTCTTGCGCATCGAGCCAAACACCGCGCGGGCATCATCAACGCAGCCACACCTTCCATACATGCTCACCAGATGATTCGCCACGAAAACCTCGCGATCGATCAGACCTGATCCCGCCAAATACCGGTGGATTGCCCTGCCCTGATTGATCGCGCGCGCGTCGCCGCACAGCTGCAGCAGAAATCCATACGTCGTGGGCGATTTGGGCCTGGAGAGGATCCTGTCCAGATTCGTGAGAGGATCCAGGGCGAAGGCGCGCTTCGCCATAGCTGACCATCACTCAACTACTAGAAGCCCTAATATTTGAAATTTGGAGGGAAAGTAATCTTCTGACCTAGAATAATTCTAGAGGATCTTATATCTCCATCCTAAGAAGAAAGAAAAAACTTAGCTTGAGCTGCTCGAAACGATGCGCTGCCAATCCATCATGTAGCTCACGGTGCCCGACTCATACTCATCGTCAAATAGCCGGATCGACACGGCTCGCGGCCTCGAATCCGGCATGGCTGGGATCTCCGCGTCTCCATTCAGCAGCTGGCAGCACCTCTTCATTGTTGGGCGATGGTTTGCATCCGGCAAGCAGCACAGCAATCCCATCCTGATCGTCTTGAGCACCTCTTCTTCCTTGCCTTCCACTTGCAGCCTCGAGTCTATGGCTTCCACAAGCTTGTCATGCTCGTGCTTCCTCCACACCCAGTCGATCAGCACAGGGCAATCGTCGGCGGCGATGTTGGCTTCCGTGGACTGGACAGTGTAGTCCAGAGCTTGCCGCCCTGCTACGATCTCCAAAACCAGGATCCCAAAGCTGTAAACATCCGACTTCTCCGTAGCTCTGCCTGTGAATGCCAGCTCCGGAGCGATGTATCCCACTGTCCCGGCCTTCGTCATGGTCTGCGCGCCTTTGGCATGCTCCATGGACTTGGCCAGCCCGAAGTCCCCCAGCTTTGCGACGAAGTTCTCGTCCAGGAGAACGTTCGCTGCTTTCACGTCCCTGTGAACTATCCTCTTGCCGAGTCCCTCGTGAAGGTAGGCCAGCGCCTCGGCCACACCTTTCATGATCTCGTAGCGCTGGCTCCACGACAGTAGCACTCTCGGCTGCTTGGAGAAGATGAAGTGATCCAGGCTTCCGTTGGCCATGAACTCGTAGACGAGCAGCAGCTTGTTCTTCTCCTTGCACCAGCCCCGGAGAGAAACTAGATTGTGGTGCCGGACCGTGCTGATGACCGAGAGCTCCGCTAGAAACTGAGCCTCCGCGTGCTTTGGCGCCTCGGACAAAGCCTTGACAGCCACCTGAGAGCCGATGCTGGAGATATATCCCTTGTAAACCACACACGAGCCTCCCTTGCCGAGAAGCTCCTTCGAGCTGAATCCTTTCGTTGCCGAGTGAAGCTCCCTGTACGTGAAGCTTGTGATCTGGGGAACGCACGGGTATGTAGCTTTCTTCGCCAGGTAGAAACCATAGATCACGATCGTTCCGGCAACAGCCACCGCGAACACTGACAGCGGAACCGAAGCCTTGACAATCACCCCCTTGTTTCTGTCGCCTCTGGAGAGCTCGGGTGAAACCATGGTTGGAGCTGGAGCTGGATCCTCCACTGAAAACGACCAACTATAAACGTTGTGGAGCTCGGTTGAGAAACCTGTAGCAGCCGAGAAGCCCACCCACATCTCTGGGAGTAGAACGCTGCTCAAGCTCACGTTGGTGATCAAAACCGGTTCTTGCCAGTCCGATCCATTCTCCACCAGCCAGACTTTCACTTGTTCCAAGCTCCCATCGAACTCTATCCTTGCCTTGAGTGTCATGTTTCTTACGAGGCTCAGCTCGAGCTCGTCCTGGATGATGGTCTTGCCAGTGGAATTCACCCCGTTCACGTCCACCCCGACGTGAGGATTCGGAGGATCCCACTCGTTGGAGAAGGTGTCGAATTCCACACCGAAGAGATGGTTGCTCGCGTTCCCGTTGGTTCCCTCGGCGTTGAAGCCCAGATACTGGCCACCCGACGCTGTGAGATCGAAGCTCATGTGTGGAGAGATGAGGAACGTCATGCCGTCGGCGGGAGCTCCACCGTGGAGGATCTGGAAGACGAAGTGTGTCTGGAAAGAGAGAGCCTTGCCGGTGGTCTGATCCAAGAGATAGACGGGGCGATTGTAGAACGCTCGCCCGACGCTGTTCTTCCCGGAGCCGATGATCTGAGTGAGAGATATGTACCTGAGGAGAAGATTTGCGTGGCCTTTGGTGTCGATCGTGTCGAGAAAATTCATCTGGCTCAAGTAGAAGCTCCGGGAATCGCCCTGCCGCGGCAGTAAAAGCGCTATGATCATCGAGAGTATGACTAAGAGCGCCATGGGAAAGAAAACCTGTGGCAATACCTGGGGCAAAAAACATATCGATCGATACGCGCCCGTGGACGTATCGATCTTGTCGCATCCCTGTGGACGATAGCGCAAGTCAATAAGCTCCATTCGCTGTTCTTCCCGATTCTCCGCCCTAGAAAAAGAGAACAAAACAATCACTGTTAGTCCAGCTATCGATATTTCCGGGAATGCGAATGCGCGCGCGAGCGCGTTGGACAAAGAGCGCGACGATCGACTACCGCCATCGACGAGGAAGAAGCCATAAACCCTAAAGGACTTAGGCGGGAAATAAACACTAGCCGACTGCCACGTGGCCGAATGAAATGCATGGATGAATATCATGTCGCATTCCGTTAAGTCAGCCCTAATTTGAGGGTTTTAGACATGGCGATGGCGGAGGGAGAGACTGGTGAGTTCTTCCGATTCAATCGATGGAATCGATGGAATAGTATCATTTCTTTGATCCAGCTCCCGTTCTTGGATCGGTCGCTGTCGTTGGAGCGGGCGCGAGGTGAGTATTTCGATTCTTTTCTCTGCATTTCTCGTGTTCTAATTGATCGGATTTTGATTTCCAGTGGCCTCGCGGCAGCGTATCGATTGCGAGCTGCGGGGGTCTCCGTGACGGTCTATGAAGCGGAAAATTCCATCGGTGGGAAGTTAAAGAGTGTTTCGGAGAATGGATTCATCTGGGAGAAGGGACCGAACACAATGGTACCGAATATTTTATCTTTGGTGTTCTTACTTTGCTTTTTCTCTTCTTCGCATAGACGGAAAATGATCCAAGCATAAGCAGGATGTTTGACGATCTCCATCTTCGCGATAAGCAACAGTTTGTAAGTGTGAAATTCCTCCAAAAGTTTCAAAACTAACTTGGGCGTTTAGCCGGTGGAGCAAAAGAAACGATACATTGTTCGCAATGCTTCTCCTACGATGGTCAGTTCTTAGATTGTGATTTATGTTTACTACCTGTTCTATGCAGTTGCCCTCTAATCCTTTGGGATTTATCACTACCGGTCTCTTCTCTGCTCAAGCCAAGGTCTGTCGACTTTTATGAATCTTTTGGGCCTGACTTGTGTGCCATTAGCTTAAACTTTTGACGGAGCCGTTTTCATGGAAGCGAACGAAAGCAGAATCAAACGAAGACGAGAGGTCTGTGGAAGCCTTCGTTTTATTGTTTCCGCTCTGAACTATTTTCCAGTGTAGGAGCGTTCATGGAGAGGCACTTTGGTGACGAGGTAAGAAACAGCGCCGGTCCTGGATTCGGGCTATTGACGGTCCTTTTTATTTCTTAGATCGTAGATTATGCAGTGGATCCATTTGTTGCCGGGACAAGTGGTTCGGATCCTTCCTCTATATCAGTGAGTTTAAAGTTTATCCTGCCTCTTGCTCTAACAGGATAAACTTTTGTTTTACACAGATCCGTCACTCGTTTCCAGAATTGTGGTCCTTAGAGAAGAAGTATAGACTTTACTACTCCATTTCCTTTCTAACTAAAGTAGAACACCGCGTGCAGCTATGGATCGCTCTTCGTCGGTGCAATTAAATCAGGTTTTAGCAAGAAGAAGAAGCAAAAATTGCGACCAGTGGAGTTTGAAGACGAAGATTCTGATTTCCCTGCTCGTACACGTCCCCGTCGTGGAGGATCGTTTTCATTTGTAGGTGGCATGCAGGCAAGTATTTGTTTTGTTTTAGTTTTGGATGGAGCTGACAGGTTTTTGTTTATAGACGCTGGCCAATGAACTGGTCTCGAGGATTGGAAAGGAAAAATTCAAGCTCAATACATTTGTCACCGGATTGGCATGTAACCAACAGGGCAATCCCTCTCGTCAAAGCTGGACAGTAACAGGTTTGGAAACATCGGGCAAGAGAAGCAAACGCTCAGACAAAACCTTCGATGCAGTCATCATGACGGTATGTTTCTGTTTTCTTTTCTTCTGTTCGTGTTGGAACTGGCTCCTCTTAATAGGCACCGGTGGACGATGTGAGGGCAATGAAGGTTGTCAAAGATGGAAAGCCTTATGCTCTTGATTATCTCCCAACAGTTATCTACGAACCAATGTCCGTGTTGATAACAATGTTCAACAAAGACTCCGTGAAGCGTGCACTTCCGGGTTTCGGTGTGCTGGTTCCCTCCAAAGAGCAACAAGCAAATGGCTTTCAAACGCTGGGTAATTATTTGAAGCCTTTCATGGAGAAGTGTCTCACTTGAGTTCTATGATATGCAGGCACCTTGTTCTCTTCATTCATGTTTCCTGATAGAGCTCCAGAAGACCAGCTGCTGTTTACGACTTTTATAGGAGGCAGCAGGAATACATTGCTAGCATCACGGTCGAAGTAAGTTTGTTTAAGTTGGTGGCAAAAAAGTCTTCATTGTTTTGGATTTGTCAGGGAAGAGCTCCTTGATATAACTTTGAAGGATTTGTCTAGACTAATTGGAGTAGAGGGTCAACCAACTGCTATCAGGCACGTAAAACTAGTTTAATCCTTTTGGTTTGATAACTTCAACTCTTCTACCAGGCATGTGTATTGGGAAAAGGCGTTCCCACGATACAGCATCGGCTATGACAATGTCTTGCATTCTATCCAGAAACTCGAGAGCGACCTCCCTGGACTCTTCTACGCTGGTAAGTTTTTGCTTGTGCCGGTCGTGGTCCGTAACTCTAAAGCTCTTCCAGGAAATCATCGAGGAGGATTGGCCGTTGGGAAAACAATTGTCTCAGGCCTTGATGCAGCGGAGCAAGTGCTCCAATACCTCCAAGGCTCTGGAGGCAAGAAAGTTTTCACAATGGCGTCGTTGGAACAGCCTGTGAGCTAGTTATGCAAGAATTCAAAGAGAAAGGTACATAGCTTTTAATATACCGGGCCGAGCGTACAACCATCTTAGCTAGCTTGGCCCTTGCAAGCTTCCATAACTTGTTCCTTTGCGAGGTACTCTCACCAGATTCTCGCCGGAGAAACCAGTATGCCTCGAAAGGTACAGTTTGGTTTTATTCTTCTGCACACGCAACTAGTCTTTGTATGCTTCTATGACTTGGTCCCTGGATGGCATCTTGACAAGATTGACACCGGAGAAGCCGGTTCGCTCGATCAGCTCCTTATACTCCTCAAAGGTCCTGATTCTGCCGCCCTCGGTGAACGAAAACATGGCCATGTCCAGGTCCCTCTCAAACGGTGCATCGTTGGTGTGGATGAGATCCACAATCACGAGCTTCCCTCCCTTGGGCAGCGACTTGAAACAGTTGCGCAGGAGCTTGTCGCAGTGATCATCGCTAAAGTTGAGCAAGACCGACTGGAAAATCGCAGGAACTTAGCTTTGATCCAGACAAGTTTCTAAAGAAAACAATGAGCCTACTCTACCTTGATGAGTAGAAGATCTCCTTCTGGCACGCTCTCAAACATGTCTCCTCCAACGTGTTTAACTCCTGGCAAGACGAAGAACAAACCATCAAGGAAACGAACGAGAACTTTGGCGTACCGGGGGTCTTTGGCGCACTGGAAACAGTGTGCGGCAGATCAAAGTTGACAACCTCAGCTTCCGGATACTTTGCCTTGATCTTGCCCGCGCACATCCCCAGCCCGCCGCCAACGTCCACCAACTTCTTCGCCCCGTTGAAACCATCGTAGGCCTCGAGGATGAGCTTGATGGTGACGCTGCTCCACGCGACCATGGCATGGTTGAGCAAGGTGTTGTACTCCTCGTCGTCGTGACCCCAGACGTGGACCTTGTTGGCGATCTCGTATGGATGCCCGCCATGGAGCACGGCCTCGTGGAGCTTGTGGAGCGAGGCAGCGGCGTGATCATACGTGCAAACCAGCAAGAGGTGCTGCTCCTCGGCTAGCCATTTGGAGATCCCGGTGCCTCCATAGCGGGTCTCGCCACCGCTCGTCTCCTCGCTGAGGATCTTCTTGTAGACGAGGTACTGGAGGATGCGGTGGAGGAGATCTGGCTGGGGATTGGTGGCGCCCTGGAGGCGGGAGAAGATCTGGGCGAGCGTGAGGGGGCCGGACTTGGCGATCATGTCCGGGATGCCGAGGAGAACCGCGGCCTTGAGCACGAAGGGCGTCACCACCGAGAAGATGATGCTCTTGAGCGCGTAGTGGCCGTCCACCTCCTCCGCCGAGTGCTCTTTCGTCGCTGGGGCCATGGATTTGTTGCTCTGATCGATGCTGGAGAGGGAGAGCTCGCGGGGATGAGTTATATACTCGGTTCTATCGCGATGAGATCCGGATATGGATTTTGAATGCTGTAGTTGGAGAGGTACTTTCGGTGTATAGTTTCTCATACGTATCAAGGAGTCCCACGAGGATTAGGTGGTATTTCGCGTCATCGAATCCTGCCCGGGATTTCTCGCTTGAAGAGGTCAATAAATATTGTACGGAAAACAAAAAATAAAGGTCTCAAAACTAGATTGTTTATTTCTCTGTTGATAAATAAATTTTATTTAAATGTTAATGTATAATTTATACTCTTTAAATAATCTAGATCTTTTCATTACTTTAGTAAAATTATCTACAAATGTTCCCTAAAACCTTGTTCAACGCTTCGATCACGGCTGGCTGCTGCTTGGAAATCCAAGTTGGAGCTTGGATCACGGCTCGCCACTGCTGGAAATCCAAATTGACACGACCACAGGCATTGATCCTCTGCAGTACAGAGACACAGCAATCTACACAGCCACGGCAAATCGCTCGCGTAGACAAAGCCAATCAAAATCAAGTCAAGGAATCAGTTACCAATCACCCCACCTTGTACAGGGAACGAATGCAAGGATCTATCCTTACGTGAGCAAAGTGATCACTGAAACAATGGCTGTAAATAGCACTCCCATCAACATCCTAAAACCATGATGAATGAGCAAGAGGAACTAATAGAAGCTACTCCAGGCTTGCAGATATCTTCCAGCGAGAAGATGGTGGTCCAAAAGAATGACGCAAGCTTTTGCTGGACACCATAATGTTTGTATGTGCAAGAAGAAGCTCTGGCACTTACAACTCTGGACTTTGATGGTGGTGTGATTGCAGGCTATTTCGTTTTACTGTTTTTCACAAGAGGATACCCCAAAGATATCCTCTTGCAGGTGGGAGTGATGGAGCTATGGAGCGAGGGGCGTGGAGCTAGCAAGCAGTCGCCAGAGTCAAAGCCATGAAAATATCAGCATGGCAACTGACATTGATTACCGGCAAAAGCTGATGACTGGAGTGAGACGAGCTGTCGTAGTGAAATGGGCCACTTGGACATTTCGGTCGGCGAGTGGAGTGGAGCAAACCCTGGAGAAGAGCTTTGGGAGCATGGAGCGTGGAAGAGCAAGGCTTGTTGCATGGAGCATGGAGGTTGGGCTTTATTGGAGTTTTTGGAGCTTGGAGCTTGTTGGAGTTCGGCTTGGGTAAGGCTTATGGAGTTTAGGTCCTCCCTCCTCCAGAACCGAGCGAATATTCCATTTGCCACCACGTCAGTATTAGGGTCACGACCATTGGAGAGAAGTCCACAAGCGTCAAAACAGTCGATCACGATTCCTCCCCTTGTTTTTGGGGGTGTAGTTGAGAAATCATCAAGAAATGTAGGTATGGTTGGTTCGTATCTAACAGAGGAAGTGAAGTGAATAAGAATAAGCTTCAATGAAGAGTTCCTCGACGAAGTGCTCTAGATCATGTTTTAGATAGCGAGATGGTGGACCAAGAAATTAGAGAGCCCAAGCTAAAAAACGAATTCAAAATATATTGTCATTATTGAATGATTTTGCCCAAACCCAATCTTCAATAAACTTACAGAGTTTATTGAGGAATTTAGCGAGGAGAGCCAAACCAAGTAGTCAATTGGGACTTTGCCACAGTTGCAAAAGTACATGATGACTTAGAAACACTCACCAAGAAAATGTCTGAGCTTCAGCTTAATTAGATTTGAGGAGTCTAGACACTGCCTCAACCCATTACTGAACGTGAGAATATCTAGTGTACTTGTTGCAAGGGATATGGACATTATCCCAGTGAATACCCACGTCCTGCACCAGCTCAAGTTAAGTGCCAGCACTATAGACAAAATAATCACAAATCAAAGCATTGCATATATAAATCCGGTACCTCAACTCAGCCAACTCCTTGCACACCTGCACGTCCCAGCTACCACATCCAGCCCCAGCTCCTTCAAGATCCATTGCCACCTCTACTTCTATAAGGTTATACGCCCAATCTAGTACCCATTTATGCAGTAGCTCCAGCACGAACGAGTAATGTACCTGGAAGGGGTCGAGCTCGATGTCCAATCACCTGCTTTCGTTGCCAACAGCCGGGCCATATCGCTCCCGAGTGTCCAAATGCATGAGCACCAGTTGAGTACCAGCCCATCTCATCTGTAACATACAAGCTCTCCATGCCCAAGACAACTACCCTCACTGTCTTCATCGTGATTAAGGCAGCCAAGGCGATCCTCCACAATGTTCCACTGCTCCAAGAAATAACCCAGTGATCAACACACAAGTCGTCCAGCCCTGCTATGGCACAATTCCTGCCCTTGTGTGGCTCAAACTGCACTTGTGTGGCTCAAACTGCACATGCAATGGCACCCCATTCCTGCCTATGGCTACTCAAACACCAAGCACAGTGTCTAGCTGCACATGCCGCTCCTGCCTTTGTTCCAAGCGCGTACTCTAATGTTGCAGTTACTCCAAGACCTGCAATCCAATTTGAAGTGCTTCCCTCTCCCCCCTCGCCAGACCCTAATTCTGGAAATGCCACCTCATCCCACTGGGATCAAGAGGATTCGGTTAACACCGACAAGAAAAAGAAATATCGCCGTGTTCTCAATCTGGGATCTGGAGCACCAAAAGCCATAAATTTCTTTTAGCCAGCTTCTACATGCTGCTCCAGAGCTCCACAAGGTGGTTTCCTCTACTCTTGGTGGGCATCAAGGAATTATCATGAACAGAGCATGGCCCTCTTTGTTGACATGTCTGCTCCCACAATTAATGTGGACATTGATGGCCATTCACTAAGCAGCCCACCTTGCAGTTGCTTAACAGATTTCACCTTACCTGCCAATTACATTAATCACATGTTCTCTTCTCCACCAATATTGACTAGAGCAGGCTGATCAAGAAGAGCATTGATCATATGGCCAAGTCTGGAAAGAATAGTGTGGTTGATATTATTGGCAGGTAAAATGAGATCTGCTAAGCAACTGTAAGGCAAGTTGTTTAATGAATGGCCACAAATGTCCACATTAATTGTGAGAGCAAACATGTCGATGAAGAGGGGCCAGGTGCTGTTCATGACAATTTCTCAATGCCAATGGAGAGCAAAGGAAACTACCTTGTGGAGCTCTGGAGCAGCATGTAGAAGCTGGCTAAAAGAAATTTGTGGCTTTTGGTGCTCCAGATCCCCCAAAATATCGTACGGAAGTGTCTCCAGATTGAGAACAGAGATATTTCTTTTTCTTGTCGGCGCTAACCGAATCCTTTTGATCCCTGCGTGAAGCATGGCAGGATGAGGTGGCATTTCCAGAATTAGGGTCTCGTGAGGGTGGAGAGGGAAGCACGTCAAACTGGATTGCAGATCTTGGAGTAACTGCCACATTAGGGTACGCGCTTGGAACAAAGGCAGGAGCGGTATGGGTGGGCTGTGCTTTTGCAGCTAGATGCCGTGCTTGGCGGGTTATTTCTTGGAGCAGTGGAACGTCGTGGAGGATCGCCTTGGCTGCCTTGATCACGATGAAGACGGTGAGGGCAGTCGTCTTGGGCATGGAGACCTTGCGTGTTATAGATGCCGCAGATGGGCTGGTACTCAATTGATCCTCGTGCATTTGGACACTCGGGAGCCCGGCTGTTGGCGACGAAAGCAGATGATTGGATGTCGAGCTTGACCCCTTCTAGGTACATTACTCGTTCATGCTGGAGCTGCTGCATAAACGGGTACTAGATTGGGCATATAACCTTATAGAAGCAGAGGTGGCAATGGATCTCGAAGGAGCTGGGGCTGGACGTGGTAGCTGGGACGTGCAGGTGTGCAAGGAGCTGGCTGAGTTGAGGTACCGGGTTTATACATGCAGTGCTCTGATCTGTGATTATTTCGTCTACAGTGCTGGCACTTAACTTGAGCTGGTGTAGGATTTGGGCATTTGCTGGGATAATGTCCATATCCCTTGCAACAAGTACACTAGATATTCTCACGTTCAGTAATGGGTTGAGGTAGTGTCTGGACTCCTTAAATCCAGTTAACCTGAAGCTCAAACATTTTCTTGGTAAGTGTTTCTAAATTGTCACATACTTTGGAGATTTCTTGCAATTGTGGCAGAGTTGAAGAGGAAGTAGCCACGGCAAGAAGTACATGCTGTTAAAGGTGGCTGTAATTGATAGTTCTAAGGAAAGGTAAATTCATTGAATCAGTGAATGAAGGATGTAACTGTGATGCTACTGATGTTTGCAAGGAGGGAAAGGTTGGCGGAATCACTACCAAACACTGAAAGAATGGAGTAGAAAAACTGCTGGAAGTGAGCCATGCTCACGCAGGCTTGCTCCCAACTGGAAGCCGTGGAAATAGCCTCAGCAAGTGTTGTGGGAGTCTGGCCCTTTGTGAAGAAAGCCAATTTGGGAGGCAGGGCGTTTGTGAAGAAGCGAACCTGATCGTCCTTGCTGGGAGGAGGGAGCGACTAGTCACTGAAACCGGATGATAAAACGTTGTAAACTTTCATTTGGCAGCAATCAAGTGTAGTTAAGTTCCTCACTAACTTGCTGTATGAATCCGAGAAAGGCTGATCGAAGCAGGTCCCAGAATGCACTGGCTGGTGCAGAATGCTAGGCTTGGAGATACCACTCCAGAGCAGCGTCTTGGAGTGTAGCAGGGAAGAACCAAAGGTGATTGGCTTCATCGGCTTCTTGGTTGGCGATGCCAGCAGTCTCAAAGGAATTGAGATGTACAGAGCTTGGAGTTTGGCTTGGGTAAGGCTTATGGGAGCTTTCTGGAGCATGGAGCTTGAACGTTGTGCGTGGAGTTGGAGTGCAAAGTTGGAGAGAACGAGGAGATCCAAGAAAGTTAATTTACTAACAAAAGTTTGAGCAAAAAGGTGGCAAGGGAATCTTACTACCAATAATCTCCGCAAGAGCAGCTCCCATCTCGATCGAAGTGGTGGAAGCGGCTCGTGTCCCTCACCACGATCCGCCGCTGGGAGATCTTCGCCATGAGCTTCAAAGCAGTGTGGCAATCGCAGCACACTCTCAGGTTCTTCATCACCCGGATAGTATCCCGCGAGCACGGCTCCTCGATCAGAGCCAGCGCCACCGCCATCCTCTCGCTGTGGAGCTTGAGCGCCTCGCTCGCCACCTCCGCATCCGCCGCGTATCCCTCCTCGCGCATCAGCTCATGGATCCTCTCCAGCTCCGCGCGGATCTCCTCGTTTCTCGGGTGGCTCGAATCGCTGGCGGCGAAGCGGTGGAGGCTCCTTCCAATCTCCACGCAGCTCAATCCCGCGAGCTTGCTCAGCCCCCTCTCGCGGATCACGTCGCGGATCCTGGCGGCGTCGCTGGCCCGCCCGGCGGCGGAGTACATCCCCGCCAGCGCCACCAGCGGCGCCGCCGAGCGCTCCGGGTCGAGCTCCGCCACCCGCGCCGCCGCCAGCTCCGCGAACTCCAGGCGGCGATGGGTCCTCGCGCCGGCCAGCAGCGCGCCCCAGGCGATCGAGTCGGGCAGGAACGGCATCGTCTCGATGAGATCCCGCGCGTTTTGGAGCTGCCCGGCGCGCGAGAAGAGATCCACCGTGGCGGAGAAGTGGTCGCGCCACGGGGCGATTCCAAAGTCCGCCACCATCGCCGTGAAGCAGCGCACGCCCTCCTCCACGATCCCAATGTGGCTGCACGCGTTGAGCACGCTCACGAAGGCGATAGCGTCGGGGTGATGCCCCTCGGCCACCATAGCCCGGAAGAGCTCAAGAGCTCGCTGGCCATACCCCGAGTGGGCATACGCCGCCACCATCGCCGTCCATGAGACGAGATCACGCTCCGGGAAGCCCGAGAAGAGTACCAAACTCTGCTCGATCCGCCCGGACTGCGCCATCGCCACCAGCAGCGTGTTGAAGCTCGCGACGCCCCAGGCGGGCATCTGATCGAAGAGTCTCTTGGCGCCACGGAGACTCAGCCCCTGCGCAAACCCGCCCAGCATCGTCGTCCAGGCCACCAGATTCCTCTCGGGCATCGCCAAGAACACGTGCTTTGCTCGATCCAGATCTCCGCCCGCCACTGCCGCTGCGATCGCGATGCTCTCCGCCACCACTCCCCGCTGGGGGATCTTCAAAAACAAGCTCCAGGCATCCGCCATCTCGCCGCACTCCACGAATCCCTGGAGCATTGTCACCCATGCCATGGAGTTCCTCCCCAGCGGCATGGAATCGAAGAGCTTCTTCGCACCACGCAAGTGCCCGGCTTGGGCATACGCTTGGATCATCGCGGTGTAAGCCACAACGCCCGGAACGATCATCTCATCGAACAACCTCTTGGCCTCTGTGAGTCTCCCGTGCCTCGCGTAGCCCGTGACGATCGCGTTCCACGTTACGCTGTCCCGGTTTTCCATCCGATCGAACAAAGTTCTCGCAAGGTCCAGATGCCCGGTTCTGGCATATGCTGCGATCATCGTGTTCCAGCCCACGGAATTCCCGTTTCCAATATTCGCAAAGACACGCTCCATCTCTTCGATGTGATTGCTCTGCGCGTAGGCCCTGAGCATGAGATTGTGAGAGAAGCTGTTCTTGGCGGCGATGCCATCGAAGATCCGGCGCGCCTGATCGACGCGGCCACACTTGGCGTACATCTGGATGAGGAGATTGGCGAGGTAAGTGCTGTGGCGGTGGGAGTCGCTGGCCGAGATCTCTCGCTCCAGCTCCTGGCCGCGGGGGAGATCTCTGGGGCTCTGGCATGATCGCAGGAGGAACCCAAGGCGATCTTCCTCGTCCAGGCCAATGCTTTGCGATGGCGGATCCGGCGGCGCGTCCGGAGTAGCTCTTGGCGATCGCTTTCGTGCTCCTCGCGAGCGGCGGAAGAGAAGCCTCATCTATCTCTCTCCATTTTCGCGCGAGCAAGAAAAAGCATATGCTTGACCATAAAACGAATATCCCAGAAACCGAATAATCTCACAAACATTCTTATTTCGAAAGCATACAGAATAAATATTCCGTACATACCACTTTTTTATATACAAGGAATGCGAAGTAAGAAAGAAAATCACTGTAAATTTCCCCGAGACAAAACAGCAGGAAAAAAGAGCGCATTTACTTACTCCGGAGAATCACTCTCGTCGTCAAAATCGTAGCAAACCAAGCTGGGCTGGAGATCAGCTTTGAGTTCTTGGCCAAAATCTCTGCTCTTGCTCTCCTGCTCGGGAGCGATGATCTTGGGAGCTGCCACACTCGTCGTCCTCCTCGTCTTGGGTGGAGCGATCGCGGTAGCAACACCATCCCCGGAGGATTTCCTCTTTTTCTTGCCATCTCCAAGTCCATCCCAGAGACTGACAACGTCGCTCTTGCGCTGCTGCGAACTCTTTCGCTTCTCCCTTAGCTTGAGCTGGAGCTGGAGCTGGAGTTCCATCTTCTCCGCTTCCCTTGCCTGTAAATGTGATTCTGCGACGTCTAATCAGCAACTACCCGCGAGAAAAAGGAAGATCGAGGACGAAAGAATGAAGATCACTCACCCTTACGTCTGGATCATTGCAGAAATTCGAGGTATGGCCCTTCCTCTTACACCTGAGAGAGGGAGAACCATTGGAGAATGAGCGAAACGAGGAAAAGGATGCTTACTTGTGACAGGTAACGTTCTTGCAGTTTCGCTGGTGATGCCCTTTCTCTTTACATTTGCTACAAATCACGCCCTCTTCACACTCCCACGCCATATGCCCCTTTCTGGAAGATCAAGTCTTAGAAACCTGGCGCTGAAGCGATCGATCGAACGCTTACCTCTTGCATTTGAAGCAGGCTTGGACGCGCAGCTGACCAGGACGGCCGCGGCTCCCCATTCTCTTCTGCCCTATCTAGTTGCTCAAGAACCCTGCTTCTGTCCGTACTAACATGTACGAAAACCTATTCTTGTTAAATCAAAACAAAAGATATTACTAAAATATTATTGATTAAACTTTACTATGAGTAATAATATTAATATTAATTAATTGTAATTTTTTTAATAGAATTTTTTTTTAAAAAATTATTTAAACTTCTCTTAAAAAATTAACCACTGTTAGTCTTGACTGCATTTAACCAAAGATGTTAATCACTATTGAATATGGTCAGAAATCTCCGTTCATGAAACATTCTGAAAAAAAAATTAATTTATGGTATAAAATGTAAATTACAATTCTAATGAATATAAATTCTAAAATAGTTGAACAATATTGTTTAATTCAGTATGAACTTATATTACCCAACTCTTTACTTATGCTTTCTATAAAAGAGTTGAACATTAGAAATTTAAATATTGTAAAAAAATGTATGGTAGTTTGCTAAACTAATTAAAGCATATGTTATTAAAAATTTTGTGCATTACATATTCTAAAAGAACGAAGCAAAAAGTGAATAAAACAAATGAAGCAGCCTTCTAAGCTGAAGAAAATTGATGAAAAGGCGTATTTTTTATTTTTTCCACAAATCAAACATATAATGTTTTAAGCATTAATTTTAATGTTCAAGACTAAATTTGCTAATATATTTATTATGTACAATAATTAAAATATTTAAATAACACTATAGCTTTTTGTATCATTTATTTAATAAATTCATTTAATAAATTTTTATTATAAATAATATGTTTTGATTGCACTGTTCTAACGAGCTAAGATCTTTTAGCTTTTTCTTTTTGATTGACAAAAAAAGTCATAAAAAGATCCATTTGATATTGATGAGTCACAACTTCAAGTTTTGATAATTTTTTTATAGTAAAATGTAAATAGATATTTTAAAAAATTAAATTTTAAAATAATTTTAAAATGAAACTTTTTGCCTTAAAATCTTTCTAAATTATGACAATGAGTTATAGACAATGATAGTGGTAAATTTGATTTTAATATGAGTCAAATGTTCAACATTATAAGGATATTTAATATTTAAAAGAATAACTATTAATGATTGTAATATAATGTAATTCAAGATTTCACAGTTTTGAATTAAATGCTTGCAAAATGTGTTTATAGAGATAGAGGTAAGAAATATAAATTATAATCCACAGTCTAAGATATAACAATTAGTTGCTGTGATTGAAAAATTGAGTTTTGAGATATTTTTCTAAAAACATTTTAAAATTTAGTTTAATTTCTATTCAGAATTTGAAGGAGCTCTCTAAGTACAAAAATATATCCATTTCTATTGTTGTTCTCAAAAGCTTTAACCAGGCCATCACTAGAAAGGTTCCTTTGTGAAAGTTGGTTTGGAATTGACAATTATGGGGTGAGTGTTTATTTCAATTAATCATTGGCAAGAACTTCTTTTGTGAATTGCAGAACTTCTACACATGGCCTACAATCATTAGCACATTAGGCATTGGGGAAATGCTCACATCACAAAGGCAGTGTTTGAGCTCATCTACATTATTGAGTTCTTGATTCCAGGGCTTATTAACGAATCAAGAGAAAAATTTAGGCTTAATAATTTGCTTGATCACAATAAGTATACTGCATTTTAGAATATACTTGGTTATTCTGGGTATATTCTTGACACTACAAGCCTTCAAAAATCAAAGAATTTCCCTCACGCCAGCCACCAGCATTATTCACCCGGCCAACCTCTCCAATTTGTGCACGAGCTTCCTGCGTGACCCGGTCGTCCTCGTTGTCTCTTTGTTAGTTCTCTTGCGCGTGTCTCTTCGTCACACGTTTTCCGACACTCGTCTCTCGTCAAATTCTCGGCCGTCTTCTACTTCGTGCTGGGAAACTTTTGTGTAGGGACGCTGAGGTGACGGCTTTGGCGGGGGCGCGCTAGAGGACGATTCCGGGAGCATCTTTAAGATGATGCCCATGGCGATTAGCAGCAGCCCCGTTACGTGCTGCTCGGTCATTGGCTTCGTGAAGATCACGTATGATAGCAAGAGAGTCACTGCCTTTCTCGCTGTGGTCACCTGAGATAACGATTCCAGCTATAGTGTAAACGAATATGTGAAATGGAGAGCGTGACTTACCATGGCGGTGGTGGCAGCTCCAAAGAGGGCAATGAGGGAGAGGACGGAGAGTTGGCCTATAAACGTTGCCATCGCTTCAAACACGAGGACCAGGTAGACATATGGATGCTGCGCAAGTAACAAAGCTTTAGAGTTTTGGAGAAACGCAGTTACTAGTGCTTACATTGTAGCATGAGGTCCAAGCTCTGAAGACCTCGCCAGTCAAAACCATCGGCGGGATCAAGAATGGAAGGCCCACTGCTGTCGAGCAGAATAACATCTCCATCTGGAAGGCACCAGCATTATAATATTTATCTTGCGAGGTGAATGTACCTGTGACGTTGCTGGGTTCATGGTAAAAATCGCTTCTTGCAAGTTGCCCAGGAATGAGTCCAACACGAGGGCTCCCACTACCATGATCACTCCAAATATGTGAAAGTTGGGGGAAGTGTGAGCGTCCGCCAGCGTGAATATCACGAGTCCAACAACGAGCATCACTGCCGACACATACTCCTGGAACGAATATTTTCGTCGTAAGCCAGGAATAAAAGCGCCCATTATCATCACCGGTAGAACCTGCTTGTGTCACGCCCACGTAAGCAGCTAACAAAGAAAACCAAGCCAGAACCAAACCTTGGTGGACTTGAACATTATCTGCGCTGGATAGTTGAGAAACATGAGCGATCCTTTTGTAAGCCCGTGAGAACCCATCAGAACCGCAGAGAGCTTGATGTACGTTTTCCAGGGGTTCAAGACATGCTTCACTCGAAATCCTTGCCAGAAAATCAGCGCGAGGTAGACAAATCCCTGGACGAAGGTGAAGTACCAGCCATAGCTGTAACATAGAAAAAACATCAGCCAAGAGTCCCTCAAACAAAGATGCTCACAAACCTGAATTGGAGGCGATTGTAAACGTACTCCTGCAAAAATTTGGAGAACAAGTTTGAAAAGGGCACAGGAAAAAAAAATGATGAACTAAACGCCTCTGGTCTAGCTAGGGAGCACTGATACTGATTGCCACACACGCACCTCACAAAGGCCGTTCACGGTGTATCCAAAGAAGAATCCCGCCGAGCAAATCAAGAGCTGGATCCATCGGGGCCTGCCAGTGAGAGTAATCCCGAGCAATGTAATGACATTATCTTCCGGAGCAGGCTGCCCCATTCTCGCCCGCCCGAGCGCCTCTAGGAACTATCGCCTTCACAGAGAAGAATAAATCACTATCAAAGAAAGAAAGCGCGGCCATCACATAGCAAGAATCCAATTCAAGCAAGATAGGAGAGATTCCAGAGAGAAATTCCAGAGAAATGCCCGAAATCACTCACCTTAACGGTATTCCAGAGCTTCTCAACCGCAGAGAATCCACGGATGCGCCGAGCAGCGCCGATGCTGTGCTCCGGGCGCCAGATATTTCAAAACAAAAACAAGGATAGATCCGGCATGCTCGGTACCTGTAGCGCACACGCGATCGGCGCATGCAGAGCACGAAATATCGCGAAATATGCGATCGAAAGCGCGAGCGATCGATCGGTCGCGCGCGCTTGCGCTTCCCCTTCCTAGATGCGTGCGCTGGTAGCTGCGGCAACAGAAAGAAATCGATCGCTTCTATCTGCGAGCAATCCTCCTGGCTAGCGGGGGAACCCTAGAAATGCGATGGCGCAATGCAAGGAGCATCCATTGACAAAAGGGCCGGCCTAAAACTATAAAGGACGCCGACGTGGCAAGAACGGGGAAACTTTGAAAACTTCGTTTGGACCACGCGCCTGTCCATAGTGTGAGAAACTTTCAAACACGACGCCGCTAATCCCTGCTTATACCACTAATTAAGTGCGATTATGTCGATTCTTTTAGCACCAGTCTCCTTGCTTGTTCGATGGAAATGGAATCGGAGCTTCTGTTCTTCCAAGATTTGGATCGTGTGTACCCGAAGTTTGACTTTGATGCTTTGATCGATTTGGAGTGTCCCTGAATTTTTCGGAAAAATTTTAGCGGCAGTATAAGTAGTAAATCAACAATGCAGTTAAAACCGAAACTCCGTCCCAGTAACTCCCTGCAGGAAAATACAAAGATTTACCAGAGCACGAGTAACCAGTGAACTTTGCCGAGAGATCGTCGAGCTGTGGATTCAGATTTCGTTAGAACAACCCTGTCCGGCGAAAACAAAATGGTGAACTTACCAGAGAGTGACGAACTCGCGATTCTCTGACGACGATTCCGTGACGATCGCGTTGATTCTAAGTTTGTTGTACCATCGTTTCGTAGAAAAAGTCGCCGCTCACGATCTCGCCTTGGTTGGCTTCCTGTTGTAGACCGAGTTCCAAGGCCCGCCATCTCTCGCGTAGTAATCCATAGGATAATCACCCAGGACGTCTTTGTCACCACAGGAGCAGCACGATGACGAACAATCCAAATGGCCTTCATTCCCCGGAGAACACCTCTTCCACCACGGCCTTGTGAAACCCAGAGCAACTTCCGCCTCGTATGGAGTGAGCAGCGGACGACCGTATGCCTCCCCCCAATCGATCGAAAGCCTCGGACACGCAATCTGGATCCATGCATCGATGGTTTCTTCCAAAAGTCCAATCTTGGCCGGGGACATCTCGCTCATGAGAAACACCTTGTAGACGACACCTCTCTCGGCTAGCCTGTTCTCGAGGTGGCGGAGTATCTGTGGATTTCCTTGCCTGCCTAGAGTTCCCAAGATCACGCCCCAGCTCTTCCCTCTCTGCGCCTGTTCTATAGCTGCTCTACGCGCCTTTCTCATCCCTGCTTGATCATACTCCTCACTGCTCAAAGCCTTCGTGTATGGATCATACCTGTAAACTTTCAGCCCCGGGTTTGCGATCATGAAAGCTTCGAGATGGAACCTTCCATCCGCTACAAACACCGCCGCATCGACCGAGCCTTTTGAAATAGCCGGCGCTGTACATCCCAAAACTTCTCCAGCGGAGAGAGGCTTTGCTTGCGGCACTACCACCTCCGAGAAAAAATCCACCACCCCCATCCTCGCGGAGTGGATCGCCGAGGAGAACTGGATCGTTCCACAGAGAGCAAGCCGGCTTCCAGCCTCGAAGTTGAACTTAAGAGCCTCGATCATATGCTCGACGTCGATCTGGATGTCCACGAACACATAGAGGCTGGGAACCTGTGTCACGTCGATCGGAACCAAGCAGCTATGGCCATAGTGGACGAGGAAATCGGCACCAAGAGCAGCGGCAGTGAGATCGTCGATACAACACGCCCCGTAAGTCACATCCCCGAGGACGAAGCACTCCTCCACTGCCGCGAATTCTTCCAGAATATCGCACAGCGGGAGCGCAAACATCTGCAAGCCCTCTGGGAGCTGGAGCGCGACGCGACGCGCCCCTGCCTGCTTGATCCGCCACACTGTCTTCGGGATCTCCAGATTGTAGTTGGACGGAAGCCTCGCGATCGCCGCTCTCAAGCGCGGATCATTGAGAATGCTATCAGGTACCTGTTGCCGCACGAATCGCTTGGGCGGCGCCGCGACTCTCCGGGGCGCCAGAGAAGCCTCCTCCGCCATAGCTAGGGCACTGCCGTGAAGAACCCTAAAAGAGATTGTACGGAAGTGACCGTTGAAACTTTTAACTTGGGGCTTTTGTCGAACGGGTAGAAACCCTATCTCTTCTTCTTCTTCTTTCGAGAGTCCGCGGCCGCGATCTTCACTAGGTTTTGTGTAGCCGTTGTTCTGATCGATCGGGGGAGCTGGAGTGTGAGTGAGGATCGTCGAGATTTCGGGCTCGATGGCGAGCGAGGAGTTTGTTCTTGATCCGAAATACGAGTTCTCTGCTCCTAGGTACCATGATTTCGTCGCCGGCGAGTCGAAGATGGACATTGACGAGGCAGAGCACTGGTTTGAGAGCGCCAGGGGCTACGAGGATTCGCGTAAGTGACCTTCGATCTCTCTGTCTCTCTTTTTCTTCTCGGATGCTAAGGTGAGATCCACAGCTCACGCGGACAAGGCGAATGGCAGTGAGGCTGTCCCTAGCAGCGCCATGGACGACATTGAAAACATGGCTCCAGCGCCAGTCAAAGTGGTGCCGGCAGCCGTGATAGAAGCTCCAAAGGCAAGCCCGCTCAAGGAAATCTCTGTGAATGTGGTGGATTGCCCCTCTACAACCACGCCGTTTAAGCGGCCGCTTTGTTCCAACGCTAGCAAGCATGGCCAGGCTCTCACGGCGCCTAAGAATTCAATGCGAAGCTTGACAAGGTATGGATGGATTCTCTGAGATTCTCACTGGAGCTGACTGATCGTCTTTAATTTTCTTAGATATGCTCGAGATACTGTAGTGAAGAAGATGAAAAAGAGTATCGAGATGGTGATGGGCACGGATGAAAACGCACACAAGAAACAAAAGGTGGAAACCGGATGTGTAAAGCAGGTAATGCATTCGCTTCTGATGTTACTGTTTAGCACTATCTGGTGATTGCCTTTTTTTTTGCTCCAGGGAGGAAAACCGGGTTCACCTTTCATGTCGCTGGCCGAGAAAGTTCTAAAGTTCCAGATTAAAACCCCTGAGAGATTTCGCAATCACTCTCAACAGGTAATTTGATGGTTGCATATGCCGTGGCTAACAACTATGGCTTTGGTATGACTAGGAGTTGTCCACTTCTTTATTGCAACATCAAAAGTCGGCACTGAAGCTAACAGTACCAAAAGAACCGGAACTCGAAACTTCTCATAGAGCTCGGCCGCCAAGGTAGACCAATTTCTTTCTGCCAGACCCTACAATGGTGACTGTTTCAGAGTTAAAAGCACCGCTGAACTTGAAGAGGAAATGTTGGCAAAAATTCCGAAGTTCAAAGCCCGACCGATGAATAAGAAGGTACTGTACTAGTTTTCACAGTTTCTATATCATAACGTCTGTGTCTCAGATTTTTGAAGCTCCTCATGTTCCTGCAATCTCAAAACGTAATGCACAACAACCAGAGTTCCAGGTATACTGTAAAACTTGACTAGATCAAAATTCCATATTTCATTTTTAGGAGTTCCATTTGAGAACTACGGAGCGTGCCTTGCAACACATATGTTCTGCATCGGAGGCTTCGGTAAGAACATATTTTACCGAAATGATTCGAATTTTGTTTGATTTGGCTTGTTTGGCAGGTATCAGATGTAAATGAGAGACGGAAGTCTGCTCCCGGCGACCTCAGAGAACCTCGTGAGCCGCAACTTCATACAGCTGCCAGAGCACGTCCAACAAAGTAGGCGCTAGTTGGATCGATGCATTTGTATCTAACATTTGCTATGCAGGGTGAAAAGTAGAGAGGAAATGGAAATAGAGGAACTACAAAAGGTGCCAAAATTCAAAGCACGTCCTCTGAACAAGAAGGTGTGAAACTGCTTGCAAATTCATCATCTCACATGTTTTTTCAGATCTTTGAAAGCCGAGGCGATCTGGGCATTTTCAGAAGTCAAAAGCGCCAACTTACAGTCCCGGTGGTAAGAGTCTGTTATTAACTTTTCTCACGGTAGTTTTCCTCACGGTTCTGACCTTCGTAGGAATTTCATTTTGCTACTGAAGAGCGATGTCAACATCCATCTAATGATCATGATACTACTATAACTGAAAAGCTCGAAAAGGTGAGTAAGCACACAATGCCTTGACTAGGCCAGTAATTCCGCTGCGCTTGGTGTTGATTAGCTCTCACTCCATTCTCAGGAGGCACATTATCCAGCGGGTCCAACTGTACCTCGTCCGTTCCACCTTGTGACAGAGGTTTGAGAAAGAAACTGCTAGTGCACTCACCTCCGTATTCTCTTGACAGCATCGTGGAGAAGCAAACAAAACGAGGTTCATGCAAGAGCTATTTGAGCGAGAACTAGAGGAGCGTAACTTAAGAGTCCCTAAAGCAAATCCTCTTCCTTTCACTACGGACATTCCAGCGGTATGTATGCACTTCTCCGTGGCTGGCCTCACCTACGGGCTCTTGCTCTTTTTGCTGTAGATTCCACCAAAGCCACAACCGAAGGACTGCACGAGACCCGAGCCGTTTGAACTTGAAAGCCTTGTGAGACACGAAGAAGAACTTCAAAGGAAAGCCGAGGAGCTCGCCAGACTTGAGCTTGAAGAAGCGGCAATGAGGCAATTCCATGCTCAACCAGCTCCAGTCTTGTAAGTCTCATCACCCCCCTGCGTTTTCATCTCACCTTTCTTTGTTTTTCCAGTGACTCCGTTTTTATGCCCGAGCGATCACGCGCTCCTCTTACTGAGGTTCAAGAGTTTTGTTTCCGAGCTGAAGCTCGTGCTGCAGAGCGGGCAGAATTCGATAAAAAGGTATGTTAATTACATGCTCACTGCATTTTTCCTCATTCATGGCTGCTAGGTGATGGAGAAGCAAAATCATTACAAGCACATCAGGGAAGAACTCGAGGCTGCGAGAAGAGTAAGTATAAGCGCGTTTCTCCTTCTCTTTGCAGCTCTTTGACAAGTGCTGCTACCAAATTACAGGTAGAAGAAGGCAAACTAGTGAAAGCTCTTCGAAGAGAGATGATCCCGCTAGCCAGGCCCATGCCTGTCTTTGGCAAACCTTTCGTTCCGCACAGGTGCATAGCTCACTCAGCCTTCCCTCTCCCCATCGCTGATGAAGCTCTCTCTCGGGTTTGCAGATCCAAAAGAGAACCGACGCGAGCTATATCACCCCGGCTAAGAGTTCTCGACCGGAAAGAGCGCAGGCAATCGACGCAGCAGAGGCAATCGAACGAGAGAAGAAGATCCGTGGAGCTGAGGCGGGCTTCCACGATGAGCGCCCAAAAGAAGGCCCAGATGAGGTAAAAGCAGTGACGGATCGAGATATTCATCCATCTTGGCTGGATCTCTCTGGCCACTTCGCTATCGATCTTCGCTATCGATCGAGCAGCGGGCGCTCCAGATTTGCGAACGAAGCCAACACTGCGTTGTCAAAGAAGAGCTTGACGTCGGCGTTCCAAGAAGTTGGGAAGCATGGTTGGACTTAGAGTTGACCAATGTTTGACTAGGTTCTTAAGTCTTGGACATGAACGCAGTCAATCACTGGATTGCACAAACTCCTTTGCATCCTGTTTGTGAAATTCATTAACTATCCAGATATTAGAAGTTTTTGATGGCTATAATCATATCTCAAACAGCGAATATTTCAAACAGTGAATTTTATGGTGGCATACCTGCCATAGTATTTATAATTTATTTTTACTACCAATTGCTATAAGTTAATATATTTGTAATATGAAATTGCTTCGGCTAATTTCACTCTCAAAGTGCTTAACGATTAAAAATCTGTTAATTCAGCAGCAGTACTAATAGCACAACTGATCGATCAATCAACCCAAATCAGCTCAGCATGGCTCAAAATACTTTCCTTCACCGGTTGTGTTTGAGATTGCAAACATGAGCTTCCACTGTGTTGTTGTTGCTCATTGTACACTCGAAAGCAGCATTGCACTGAGTGGAAAGCTGGCTCGCTTCCTCGCACCGGAGCGTGATGGAGTCCTCAGCCGCCTATCATCCTGACATTTCCGGAAAAAATCGAATCGCGTGCATTTTCTTCTTTCACAAGCTGTGGTCATAGAGCAGATTGTCGCGAAGAACAACACCTAGCAGAAGAACTGCAGCCGCTTCCGACACTCCGATTTGCGCGCGCGCTGCGCCCAAAACTCCAAATCAATTCAGATATTCATATTTGCATGTACAGTACAAAACAAATCCCGTATTTCGATTTTGCAAAATTCAGCCAGATCGCTGAGGACAAGATATAATCTTCCATCCTCTGTCCGATTGAAGTTATTTACGACTCAGTCTTCTCCACCATCACCCATTCTGCTGAAAGCCTGAACTTCAAAAACTTACTCAGCTCTGGCTTGCTCTCGAGGCTCTATTCCTTAGTCCCAGCCACTTCTGATGATTATTCCTACAACTCTGCTTCCTGTTTTTGTGCCTGAGAATGCCTCCACTACTAATGAACTTGCCTCTACTGACTATGATTTCTAGATTATTCAGGTCAGCCTCACTCGGTTTTTACATCTGTTCTGTTTTCTTCCTCTCATTTCTCAAATGAATGCTATTTGTTTTTTCCAGAATTTCAGTGCAATCTCAAGTAGCTTTTCTTTACCAAGAACTTCATCATCCACAAGTGATAACCTCTCATTTTTCTCAAGCTCCATATCAACTAGAATCCGCTCTCGCTTTGTCAATGCAAAAAAGTTCAAAGTAAAGGCTAACTTGCCACAAAGTGGTCGCTCCAATGAAATTTCTTCTGCACTGCCTGAGCTGAAGAAGAGAAGTGGAGGCTGATCAACTTTCTTGCCTTCGTGATCAAAAGACGTTTGTCGACATTAGCATGGCTGGCAGTTTCTTCCTTGAAATCACAGAACAACAAGTATCCAAACATATGCGCTATATCTTCATTCATGCTTCGTTTCATGTCGGAAGAACCACGTCGAAGAAACCTTGTAGACATCAAAGGCAGGTTGTTGGCATTCTTGATTGATGTGGGAAACCAAAAGATCACACTCAGCCATTTCTAACAGAGCACTCACCTAATGAATGTTGATGTCTGCTATACAAGAAAGCCTGGACGTCCTGTGACATCTTGTGCGTCCCTGGTGAAGAGGGCCAAGGATCGGTTCAAGGCCTCGGCTTTGAAAGTTATCTGTCCTCCCAATCCCGGTGGCGCGATCTGTCGTGGAGCTGTGGTGTCTGGCACGATGGCGTGATCGTTTCATGCGGTGGTGGTAGCGAGATGATAGATAGTTTGATGTCGTGAGATGAAATTTATACCTTTTGGAAAGAAATCTCGAAAGAATGTGAGTGAGAGAATTGAGTAAGAAAATCGAGAGTGTGAAGTATAAGCTAGAAGCTACTGGAGTGAGTGAGCATGCCTGTAGGTGTTCTTACGAGTCGCAGGAGCTCCAGGAGCTCTTGTTCTTCTTCCGCGGTGAGTGTCTCGTGGATGAGCCCGAGCCTCTCAAGAACGTCCGCGACTGTCTTGCTGTCTTTGCAAATCTCGTGCTCGATGACGATGGCGAGGTCGTGCTTGAGTGACTGAGCTTGGAGGTAGATCGCAGCCTGTGAGAAGAAGTAAGAAAGAATTCCAGAAGAAAAAAAAAATGGAAACTCACGTCCACGAGCTGGAGTAGCTCATCGGAGCTCGAGAACATCGCCCGGACGTCTCCACCGTGCTCCCAGTAGTGGATAATCTTCTCCAGCACCGCATCGTCGATGAGATCGGGCATGGAGATTTCACGCTTGTTGCTGTCGAGCAAATCCACCAGCTCGGCCAGAAGCTCTGATTCTTTGGCAGCGCTCTTGGGGAGCCGGATGCGCTTGCGGCTTCTAAGCAAGAAGAGCTCCTGGAAGAATCGACTCGATCGAAATATTTTGGGAAAGAAAAAGGAAAATCCAATCCAAGAACGCACCTTCTCCCATCCGGGATTGTCCCGCGCGTCAGGATGGATCTCTCGCAGCAAGTTCATGATGAGCGCCTTCGCATTGCCGACCTATCCATCAAGAAGACAAGCGATCGCAAGAAATTTCAGTCTCGGCCATGGAAATCGACCGATCCGGCATGCGAGAGGACGATATTTCGAGAAAATTCCTCCCGATTTTACCTGCAAGAAAGGATCCCCTCTCGCCATCGCCTCCGTGCTCTAAAGCTCTTTCCCTCCTTTCAAACGTTAAACCTGAGATCGGACGGCTCATATCATTCTCCCGCCATCGACGGTCCAAGGCTATATAAAGAAGGGTGAAAGGTTTTGCGAAGGATTAGGGTTTAAAAGCTATGGAGGAACATCGTTACTCACACAGAGTGCTCGCGCGATCGATCTTGACGCGCCCGGACGGAGGAGCTGCCCTCGCTGGCCAAACATTGTGCGTCGGGGGATGGATCAAGTCCCGGCGCACGCATCGCGGCGTTGTTTTCCTGGCTCTCAGCGATGGATCGTGTGCTTCGTCTCTCCAGGTACGCAAATCCCTCTCTCCGCAAATATTTCGTCCAATCTCACTGCGATCTACTCGCAGGTGATCGTCGATCCCGAGAAGGAGCTCGACACCGAGCAGCTCCACACTGGGAGCTGCGTGCTCGTGAAAGGAGAATTGGTGCTATCGCCGGGTAAAGGCCAGGCCGTGGAGCTCCACGCCCGAGAGTTCCTACACGCTGCTCCCGCCGACGCATCCAAGTATCCCATTGCCAAAACAAAGCTTCCGCCAGAGTTTCTAAGGACTGTTCTACATCTCCGGCCAAGAACAGATCTAGTAAGTTGCCAGTCCTTGAGATCGAGCTTCATGCTTTCTTTCTTGCACAAAGTTTCTTAGAAGTCTTTCCTTGAGCTCCAAGCAAAGTTGCAACTCTGTGTGTGTTAACTTTTTCTTTCTTTGTTTCCTAAGCTCGCGTTTTGCAGATATCGTCCGTCGCTCGCATTCGCAGCGCTCTCGTGCTCGCCACCCACACATTCTTCCAGCAGCAGGGATTCATCCACGTCCACACGCCAATCATCACAACCAGCGACTGCGAGGGCGCCGGCGAGATGTTCCAAGTCACGACTTTGCTCGCTCCCGAGAAGAGGGAACACCTCGTGGCGCCGACGCAAGACCAGATCGATGCTGCCAGGGAATTGGTCACCCGATGCGGAGATACTGTCCGGAAGCTCAAGGAGAACAAGTCGAGCAGCAAAGCGGAGATCGGTGACGCCGTGAAACAGCTCAAAGCGGCCAAAGACGAAGAAGCCAGGCTCGTCAAACGGGCCGAGGACGGGGGTGCTGACTACTCGGCCGATTTCTTTGGGCGACCAGCGTTCCTGACAGTCTCTGGCCAGCTCCAAGCTGAGACGTACGCTTGCGCTCTTAGCAACGTTTACACTTTCGGCCCGACGTTTCGAGCGGAGCAGTCTCATACATCCCGGCATTTGGCAGAGTTTCTGATGGTGGAACCGGAGCTTGCATTTGCGGAGCTCAAGGTTAGAGGTTTCTCGTTTTGGAAACTTGATCCCATGAATTAAATTTGTGGTGGCAGGATGATATGGACTGTGCGGAAGACTACGTGAAATTCATGTGCCAGTGGTTACTGGATCGCTGCTACGATGATATCAAGCTTATGGACGACAAGCTCACTGAGAGCGGTGCCTTGGAGCGGCTCCAGAACGTTGTCAGTGCTCCGTTCGCGAGGATAACTTACACACAAGCAATCGAGATGCTAAAGGAGGTTCGTGATTCTCTGGTTTTCCTTTGCGTGATCTTTCTTACGCTGTACCTTCTTCTTGTAGGTGAAAGACTTTACCTTCGACACTCCAGTGGAATGGGGAATGGATTTAGCATCCGAGCACGAAAGGTATGTTAGAGAGAAAACAAAATCGATCTTTTTTTTTATGATCTTTCACTTCAGGTATCTCGCAGAGCAGCTCTTCCAAAAGCCCGTCTTTGTATACGACTATCCAAAGGCGATCAAGGCGTTCTACATGCGAGTTAATGACGATGGCCAGACCGTGGCAGCCATGGACATGCTCGTGCCAAAGGTGAGAAGCTTTCTTTCACAGGAGAAGCATAGCCAAAGTGATTGAAAATCGCGTTTTTCCAGGTCGGCGAGCTTGTGGGAGGGAGCCAGAGAGAGGAGAGATACGAGGTGCTCGTCCAAAGGTATGGCGGATTTGAGATTTTCGCAAGAGCCCTGCGGTAAAATGGTGTGTTCTTGATCTTGCAGGCTAGAAGAACTAGAGCTGCCACTGGATTCATACGAGTGGTACTTGGATTTGCGACGCTATGGAAGCGTGAAGCACTCGGGATTTGGGCTGGGATTCGAGAGGATGCTCCTCTTCGTCACAGGACTAGAGAACATCAGGGATGTGATACCATTTCCCAGATCTACTGGCAAGGCCGAGTTATAACAAGAGCTTGCATTTTTATAGTTCTTATAGTTACCGATGAATGGATAGCTCGCTCGAATAGATCACTCTCGTGGCGATCTTCGCTTCTTTGGCTTCTTGATGGATGAATCTTCGCTGCCTCGATCGATGTCTCTCGGATCGCGCAAATGCCTGTGGAGGAAGACTAGGGTTTCTTCTTGTCAATGCTCTTGGCAAGGCGCGGGAGGGAATCGTCGATCGATAGGCGTCCTCGCTGGAAATATCCAGATCTCTCGCATCAGATCGGCCTCACAGAATGCATCGATGAGGATCTTCCCTGTTCGATGGATCGGAGGAAGAACACTAGGCTAGGGTTTCTTCTTGTCAATGCTCTTGGCGCGGCGCGCGAGGCAATCCTCGATCGATACGCGCTTCCTCGCTCGAAATATCCAGGCTGCTGCCGCTCCACAGCCGGATCGTCCATCCGATCGCCTCGCCGGCCTCGCAGAATGCATCGCCCGGCTCGACGATCGCTCGCCGGATGTCAACCACATCATGCTCCCGGGCCTCCTCCAGAGCTGCGGCAAGATGCGCGCTCTCGACCAGGGCCGCAAGCTCCACGCCTACCTCGCCAAGCACGGCCTCGATCGCGAGCTCGTCCTGGGGAACTTCCTCCTCGACATGTATGGCAAATGCGGCTGCGCGGCCGACGTCGTGGATCTCTTCCACCGCATGCGCGACCGCAATCTCTTCTCCTGGACGGCGCTCATCGCCGCGCACGCGCACAGCAACGCCAAGAAGGCCGGCGCCGCGGCAGTGCTCGCGAACAGCCGCGAGGCGCTCAAGCTCTTCTCGCGGCTCCAGATGGAGGGGCTCAAGCCGGATCGCGTCGTCTTCGTGCACGTCCTCTCGGCGTGCTCGGATCCCTCGCTGGCGGCGCAGGGGCGGGCGATCCACCGGATGATCGTGGAGGAGACCGATCTAGCGAAGAACACGCTCGTCAACAACTCGGTGCTCAACATGTACGCGCGATGTGGGCGAATGGATGCCGCCTGGCGGCATTTTGAGAGCCTGGAGGAGAAGAGAGACGCGGTGTCCTACACGACGATGATCAATGCCTGCGCTGGAAGTGGGCGATTCCGCGAGGTGCTCGAGGTCTTCTCGCGGATGGAGGCCGCCGGGATGGAGCCCAACAACATGTCGCTCGTCACGGTGCTCAGCGCCTTCGCGAAAGTTGGCAACCTCCACCTCGCCGCCAGGATCTTCGCGCGGACGGACAGGAGCTACATCTTCCCCTGGAACGCGATGATCGCGGCCTACGTCCAGCACGGGGACAGCCGCCAGGCGATCCGGCTCTTCGACGAGCTCCTGGCGCGGAGGATCGAGCCCAACAGCGTGACGCTCATGGAAGTCCTGGACGCCTGCGCGAGCCTGGCGGCGCTCAGGGACGGCAAGCGCGTCCACGCCATCGCCAGGGATCACGGAGTGGATTCGGAGGTGGCGGTGGCCACCGCGATCGTGGACATGTACTCCAAGTGTGGCTGCTTGGACGAGGCGGTGGAGGCGTTCGCTCGGATCGAGCGACACGACACCGTCTCCTGGACTGCGATGCTCGCGGCATTTGCCCAGCACGGGCATATCGATCGAGCGCTGGCAACGTTCCAGAGAATGCAAGAGCAAGGCCACAAGCCCAACTACGTCACCTTCGTCCATCTCCTCAGCGCTTGCAGCCACAAGGGGCTCGTCGAGGAGGGCCGCAAGTACTTCGATCTCATGACCGCGCGCTATGGCATCGCTCCAGACGCCCAGCACTACGCGTGCATGGTGGATCTCCTGGGACGCGCCGGCTACCTCGACGAGGCGGAGGACTTTCTCAACAGGATGCCGGGAGCTCCACACGCCGCGGTGCTCAAATCGCTACTCTCGGCGTGCCGGAGCTACAAGGACGTGGACCGCGGCGAGAGGATCGCCAAGAGGATGCTCGAGAGTTTCTGGGACGAGTCCATGCCTTACGTGGTGCTGGCGAGCATCTACCGCGCGGCCGGGAAGTGGGAGGAGGCGGCCAGGATCCGGAGCCTCATGGTGGAGCGCGGCGTGAGGAAGGATCCGGGGCGCAGCGCGATCGAGGTGGAGGGGAGGGTCTTCGAGTTCGTGGCCGGGGACATGAGCCACGTCCAGATGAATCCCATCCGGGCCAAGCTCCAGGAGCTGAGCAGCGCGATGAAGGAGGCCGGTTATGTTCCAGACACCTCGCTCGTTCTCCACGACGTTGCCGAGGAGGAGAAGGAGCAAGTTCTTCTCTGGCATAGCGAGAAGCTGGCGGTGGCGTTTGGGCTGCTCAACACCCCGGCCGGGAGCCCGATCAGAGTGATCAAGAACCTCCGGGTTTGCAAGGACTGCCACGACGCCGCCAAGCTCATCTCGGCGATCGAGCAGCGGCGGATCGTGTTCCGGGACTTGAGCCGGTTCCACCACTTTGAGAACGGGGTGTGTTCCTGCGGGGATTACTGGTAGAACACAGTGAGAGCCTGGTCGAGAAGATTCAAAGGAGCGAAGCATTACGAGTTTATAAGAACCTGTCAAGCGCCCAAGAGGCCGGCTCGCTGGTAAACGCACAGGGGGTGGAGCTCGTGGAGAAACTCCACGTCTTGGAAGCCGCCTACTTGCCTCACGCCCGTCCATCCACGCCGAGCTAGGAAGTCCTTGAAGTTGTCCTCCGTGAAGAGCGTCTTGTCCTCGGTGGCTCCCGTGAGACGATCGGACTCGTCGTAGAGGCAGACTTTGATCGTCACGCCTGGAAGAGCATTGTCATGGAGAAGATCATCGCGAATGATGATAGCTACCTTCGTCCAGGTTGAGAATGTAGCTTCCCAATGGCATGTCGCGATCGATGCTCCACACGACGCCGTCTTCGTCCTCGAGCCAGAACGCTCGTTTGGTTCTCAGCCGGAAAGCAGCCTTGATCGCCTCTCGGATTGAATCCGGCGAGCCATCGATCCCTACGCGCCTCGTCACGCTGTTGTATCGGATAGTTATGATCTTTCCAGCGGGCAACGAGCTGCGCTGTGCTCCTCCCGCTACGTAGAGCTTTCCAAGAGTTAGAAGAAGAAAAGAATCAAACAAGAAAACGCAAACCTTCTTTCCAGTTCCAGCCGTTTGCTACAGCGAGATCGTTGGAGGAACTGAGATGGTGATTTGCTTCGCTCTCCAGCCTGCTCTCCAGATTGAACTGGTTTCGCGAAGTAGTAGTGACTGAGAAAGAGAGAAAGAAAAGATCTAGAGATCAAACAAGCGAGGGAACTTCCATACAATCCAAAGAGAAAGTACCTTTGGGAGAAGTATCCAGTTTGCTGGGACTCTTGTATGGATTTAGCCGGGCTCTCTCGGACAGAAGATCTTCCAGTTCTTTGAAGCAGCCAACCTTGTTAGCACTGCCACCTCCACCATTCTTGTCGTGGTGCCTCGCCTTCTTGTACTCCTTGAGCAAATTCCTCCACTTGTCGATACACATTGTGGGCGACCTGTCGAATCCCCGCTCCTTCATCTTGCTCGAGATGAGATCCCACAGGTGCTTGTTGGATTTGCTCGTGTTGAACAAGCTGTCCATCTCCCGGCGATGCGCAATGAGAGCTCGGATCTCCTCCTGGGCCCAAGTCTCGGCTCTCTTCTTTGGGGCCTTGACGTCGTGATCGTCGCACAGATCGCCGGAGCCCAGCATCAATCCCTGCTGCTGCTGGTGCTGCTGTGGAGAATTCGATCTACGCGTGGCTGCTATCGTCGGTATCGATGGAGCCGGAGCCGCCTCAACGATTTCGGACACAGGCCCTCCTCCATTGGCCACACAATCAATCATCCTCTCGCCTTGGAAGATTCGCGAGGAAATATCAAGAATCCCCTTCCCTGGAGCAAAATGGAGAGACTCCTACCTCCCCGGATCCATCAGCTCCATCCCTGGATGCCCAGAATGCGACCAACGAGGCGGTAACGGCAGCGGCGATCCCTGCGAGAGCAATCCATCGCTGGATCGGACGAGCAGCGGAGATGCAGATCCATGGCGATCCAAGAACAACGCAGCCGCAGCGTGGAGATCGATCACACTCATCACAGGAAATAGAAGGGTTAAAAGAAACGAAATGCCGAAGGATATTCCGTCTGTTCCAACTTAAAAATACAGAATATCCTTTGACGGCAGGAGGATATTTATGTTTCATTAGGGCTCCGTTAATTACACAGAATATCCTTAAGCCCTTTAAGCATATTCCCCCGCCAGCGTGGCGGGCTAGAAGCCAATAGGAGCTCGTCTCCTATCCCCGCCTTATCTCACAGCATTCTATCACAACTTAATCGCAGCCTCTTCTTCTCACCGAGAGTTTTGCTCGAGGATCCGCCATGGCAGCAGCAGCTATGGTGAAAGTTGGAGCAGCATCGAGCCCGGCAATCGCCCCGCCAAAGTTCTCGCGGCGAGCTCCATCGCCCACTAAGTCAGCCTTCCTGGCGAATCTCAAGCCGCCGGTTGGTCTCTTCGGCAGTGGCAAATGCAGGAGAAGCGCTCTCGTCGTTCGAGCAGCCAGTGACAAGGTAGAAAACTTTCCCTGGATCATCCTTGCGTTGTGTCGATCTGATCTCTCTTCCATCTTCCTGTTCTCCAGTACCAAGTGATCGAGCCTCTAAACGGAGATCCCTTCGTTGGCGGACTGGAAACTCCCGTCACTTCCAGTCCCCTCATCGCCTGGTACTTATCCAACCTTCCAGCCTACAGAACTTCCGTGAGCCCGCTGCTACGAGGCATAGAGGTCGGCCTTGCTCACGGCTTCTTCCTCGTCGGTCCCTTTGTAAAAACCGGGCCTCTTCGCAACAGTGAAGTTGCCGGAGAGGCTGGCGCGCTCGCGGCAGCCGGGCTCGTTGCCATCCTCTCGGTCTGCCTCACCATCTACGGCATTGCAACGTTTAAGGAGGGAGCAGCATCAACAGCACCAACGCTTACACTGACCGGACGTAAGAAGGAGGCTGATAAGCTCCAGACCGCCGAGGGATGGGCCAGCTTTTCCGGGGGCTGGTTCTTTGGAGGTCTCTCCGGCGTTGCATGGGCTTACATCTGCTTGTACGTGTTCAAGATCCCCTACCCGGTGTAAAAACTTGTCCTTTCAAACATCTTGCGCTTCATGGATTCACTCTCTTTCGTTCCGGAATCCTTGGAGACCTGTACAGGGAAACTGAAGCAACGTTTCCCACTGATCAGGTGATGTGCATTTGGAAAAAAAAACAAGAGATACCTGATTATTGTAGCATATCGTGTTTCTCGAAGAACTTGAGAATCGCAGGGAACACCTCCGTTTTTGCCTGTAGAGGAACTTTAGAGAACAAAATCCCTTACTGATAGTGCTGCCGTTTACCGTTCGAGAGACGAGCAGATCATAGTGACCATAATGCCGATTATGCCGCCCTCCAAATACCTCGTATTTACCTCGTTCCGTAGGTAAAGTGCATACAGTATCTAGAAGAATGCGAACCTGTCATGCCAGTTCAAAGAAAATCCAGAGTACGTTACCGATAACAGCCGAGGGAGGGCAAACCAGATCCGCATCCCCAGCAATTGCGTAAACTGGGACTTCGGACTTCGATAACAAGTCTTTGTACATAACATTTCCATCGCGACTCTTAAGACCACCGCGTTGAAAAGCTGTTCTTAGCTGCAAAAGAAGCTTTGCAGGAACCGTGCCTGAAAGGAAACCATCATCAGCGACAGAATTTGAAATGCGCACGCACTTACAAAAATTATTGTAAACCAGTTTTTTGTAGAGGTCCGGATCCATCATTCCGCTAGCAGAAACATTATATCCAAGCCATGCCAGTGCATACGGAGGTCGACACACTAGAGGATACACTGCCTGCATTATGGCTCCAAGAGGCACAACTGGGACGTTAAGCACTTGCGCTGGATCAGCCTGCACATCGGAAAACCAGAAAGAACAAGGAAAAACCTTAGCAAAAGAGTTGTGACAACCTTGTCTTACCAACGGCAGAAGCATGTGCAGCGAGGAGTTCGAAGCACTGTAGTCGAGCGATGAAGCTAAAGTGACCGCTGCAGCGATGCCAGAATCCTTTCCTGGGAAGAACTACATATTCAAACGATGTCCTACAATTCAAACTCCATACCTTTACTCGCCAAGAGTGCATAGAGAATTATGCCTCCCATGGAATGCCCAACTCCAAGCAGCTTTCCATCCTTCGGATTACATTTGTTTCGGACGTACTCGATCTGCAAAAATCCGGAGTCATGACGTAGTCAATCAAACAGCTTCCTACCGCAGCTGGGACGTCTTCTTCGAGGTAGTGATCAAAGTCCCAATCATACTTCACAATAAGGTCCAGGAACTTTTGAAACTCGTCCACTGTTGAAGTGAGCCGCGACTGTAAGTCTCTCACGCGAGAAACTGAGACCTGTGTCTCCTCCAGAAGTCTAGTGAGCCTGTTACTTAGATCGATGAGCTGAGAAGTAAATGCCGCATTCTTCCTTTCCTCCAACAGTTTCACCAGCCTATCCTTTATCTCCTGATATCGGTGCGAGAGTTGAGCATCCTCTAAAATGGAAGATAGCTGCTCTGCAAGTCGCGCCGAGAGAACACGCGATTGCCCTTCATTCACTACCGCTCGTAGCTTTTCCGCAAGCTCCACAACGGTGCTAGATAGCTGCGATGCCGTCTTTGTGATCTCCCAAGAAGAACTTGACTCTTCGCTAGTGCCAGTTACGCCACCATTTTCTTTCTTGCCTCGTGCTTTCTCCTCCTCCTTTATCGTCGCAGCAACAGCCTCTATCTCTGGCTCGAGCTTACTCACAGAGGAAGCTAATTGTTCCACGTCTTGCAAGTTGAAAACCTCCGCCCCTTCAGTGCTTCGTGTGTATGTAGCTACTTTGTTGGGATCACTAGTCTTGAGTTGTTCTTCCTCTTCTTCGTTTTTACTCAACCCGGCAGCTCTCATTTCCAAGATCCACGTATCGAAACCATTGGAACTCATGTAACGAGCAAAAGAAACCTGTGTAGCAAATTGGTGAGAAGAACGATCGATCAGAACTGGAAGTTCACTCACGCTGGGGTCTAGATCGAATCCAAGCGCGTTTGTTGCGACACCAGACAGAAGCAAAAGCGGGTGATTCCTCGCGGGCGCCTGCGAGAAAAAGAGAAACAAAGAAAAAGCTACCGCTCGATTCTTCCAGGTAAAATTTGGAGGCTTACCGATCGAACAGGGAGATATCTCCACAATGCGAGCTTCCACTTGCCACCGGCCACACTGACGTAGTGAAGCTCGTCCCCTGTGCACGTATCGGGCTTCTCCTTCAAGAATTCCACCTCTTCCGGCGAGGTAACCTTCCCATCGCTCTCTTTCACCGCTCCATCGCTCTGGCTGCACTGTGCCGAGCTCGAATTCTTAGTCGGTGACGCAAAGAATCGCAATCCCTCCGCCGCCCGAGCGCGCGCAGCGATCGAGAGCGCTGGTAGGCTCCTTGGTCGCAGAGCGATCGCAGCCCCGGAGAATCGCAGCATCATTCCCAATGACCTAGAAATGTCCCAGCTCTTGAATCCCCCTGCTCTGTCAAAGCTCTAGAATCTCCCGTGATCGTTTATATAGGTAAGCCCTAAATGTAAATAGTAAATAGGTAAATAGGAAAAATGATGAGGTAATAAGATGAGGTAACTTTCACCTCGTTTGTCAGAATTTCTTTGTAAAAAACCATGTTCTGCAAAGAAAAGAATTTTCCAAGTGAGAAACAAAGGAAAGACGCACGCAGATATTAAACTCACAGTAAAAATCGATCCATCAAACAAAACCATAGCGATGTTCTGCCAAAGCGAAGAACACGAGCGAAGTTAACGCGAGCTTTGCGAAGAACAAAGACGAGAGCTCGGAGCTTACAGTGTAAATGGCCAGCTTCGATCAATCCAAGCTCCACATCCTGCGAGGCCGTCCACCCCGGCTCATACGCTTCGAGGAACGCTTGCTTGGCCTTGTTTGGAAGATCGTGAGGATGAACCAGCGGCACGCCGCGCGGCCATCCCAGCTCCGCGCGGAGGCTGGAGCACGGACTGTCCAGCGTCGTGAGATGGTTCTCCTCGCAGTCCTTGAGGTTGCAGAACCGGATCTTCAAGTTCTTCCCCTCGGCAATCTCCTGGACCCTCTCCTTGAGCACCCTCTGCGCTTCCAGCCTCAAGCGCTTCGATGGCGCCAGCGGCTTGCCCCGAGAAACCTGCTTTCTTCTCTTGAGCGACTTCATCGGACCTGGAAAGACAAAGATCAAAGAGCGTTCTTTCTCCCAGCTCGAGAAAAGAAGAACCTTCTTGCTGCGACGGAAACGAGAAGGCCTGCCGCATGCCGATAAGCTGGTCGATGGAGTGCGAGCGCTGCATGAAGTCGTGCACCGTGACGGACTGCTGGAACGGGCTGGATCCGGCGACTCCTCCCGACGTCGTCAAGCAGTGGAGCAATCCCGTGGCCTTGGGCATGAGCTTGAAAGCCGTGGAGCACCTCCCATACAAGTGCATATGTGATGAAGAACTCCCGGCCTCGGTCCGGAAGAACGCTGGAGTTACGTGACCCCCGGTGGCCTGGTACAGCGAGAGTCCGCAGAACAAAACCACGTCCTGGGGGCCGAGACCACCGTCGGCTAAGTGCCACCGCCCATGCATGTCACGAATCTCCAGCCCGTGCTTGTCCGACTTCATCAGCGTCACCAATCCTTTATCGGCGTTCTGGTCGTGTCCGTCGTAGATGGTCGCCAGATCCATGGCTCCCGGGTGCTGCAAGCCGGGCCTTCCATGGCAGGACACCGAGAGAACCGAGCTGGAGACCTCTCCGTTCTTGAGAGGGATGTTGTCTAGGAACTCCGTGAAGGAGAAGCTCCGGAGCTCCAGAACCCAAGCTATGGCCTCGAGGATGTGCCGCGAGGCCGTGCCGAGGGTGACGAAGAGCTCCGGAAGTCCTGTGGGTGGAAGCTCGGCGGTGGAGTCCGGCGTCCCTGGGCGATAGTCGAAAACTTCTTTGGCGAAGTGTGGATCCGAGTAGTAGCCGGCTGTGCGGTGCCAGTTCTGTGAATCCTCCGTGTGGATCGTCTCTGGCCCCGGCGGAGGGCGCTGGTGGAAGAACATCCGGGCGGAGTCGAGCACGCATCGCAGGAGCGTGCCGTCGCTGGCCGAGAGCTGGATCACCGCGAAGCTATATTTCTGGAGAGACTGGAAGAGCAGCACCGCGGCCTGCTTGTAGCAATCGCTCGCCAGGCCGTCCGAGGGGACTAGATCGGCGAGGCGGACGCGAGGAACCGGACCCGCCGCCATTGCCGATCAGCCGCCTCCCCGCAGCCCCGGGATTTGCAGCGCGGCCGCGGCATTTGCGATTCTTACCATAGAAATCACGCCGCCACGATCGATCGTCCCGGCGCGCGCTCCCAAAAGCCCTAGAATACTCCAAAGACGTTAGGTCTTTCCTAGAGCTCGAGAGAACAAAGAGAGAACTTTCGCTCCTCTCGAATGTGAAGTAAAAGTACAAAAAGAAGTGCACTGAAGTGGTAAAAAACAAGTGATCTTTCGAAAACAAAGAGAGAACTTTCGCTCCTCTCGACTGTGAAGTAAAAGTAAAAACGAAAGAATGTATTTCCACACACTGAAAAGGTAAAAAAGAAATGTTTAAAACACACTCAGATGATCTATCTTCTTCCAGTGATCTTTCCTCCAAGATTTTGGGATGAATCTTTTTTGCGCTCTAGACCGCGGAGGCGACGGTGGGTTTCTGTGTGGCCTCGGACGATGTGGGCGGGAGCTCCACGGTCGGGGCCGACCTCGTTGCGACATAGCCGGGCTCTTTGTACCCGCCGAGCCTCCGGCTAAAGATGCCCGTGTGGAGCATGAGGAGATAGAAGAGCTGCGTTCCGGCGAGAATTATCGCAATGGATTCGAGCGCCCTCTGCAAAGAAGAAAACCAAGTTACTTCGCGCAGCAAAAACTAAGGACTTTCTTGCAAGAATTGATCAAAGAAAGGCAAGCGAAGAAACACGAGGACATTACCACACTCTTGCTGTAGATTCTACCTCTCCTGATGTGCTTGCATGCGATTCTGGTCAGAAAGAAGAAGAAGAAGACTTGTTTTTCATGAATTCACACTTAGTGCGAGCTTACCCGAAAGAAAGAAGTGTGAGAAGCCACGCGATGAGACCAGCCGCTCCAGCCGCTGCAAAGCTATCCGTTCGCCAAGCTGCCAAGTGATGCATCCCCGCGAGCGAGGACGCAACTCCAACAACGCCGGCAATCAACGCGAAGATCACCAGTGTCACCGTGATTCCATTTCCTGAGACAAGGAAAGAAAAAAATCAGTTTTTTCTTTCTTTTCCTCTTTCGGAAGAAGAAGTTTACCTCCCGGCACGAAACCACGCTCAAAGCTATCATTCAGCTTGGCCCCTGCTATGCCGAGAAGGATCATATAGAGGAAGAAGTTAAGGAAAACCAGGGGACAGAGGAGGGCCCGTCGCAAAATCGCTGCCATTTTCGCTGGCTTTCGCAATTTGCTGCTCGGTCTCTCGCGGCCTCGATACAAAGCAAGCACTGGAAAACAGACCAAAACACTTGTCACTAGCCCTCAGCTCTAGGGGCCAAGCAAAGTTTAAATCCTCGAAGAAGCTACTCGGGATTGGCCACCAAGAACATATATAAGCATACAAGCGCTGCTTTTTTTTTTTTGGTTTAAGACCGTTCTACGGGAAGAACTGTGCAAAGAAATGGCTTTTTGCTACTAATCTCGAGTAAGATTCGCCGGATAATGCAATCGTGAGTAACAAACCAGCGAGCTTAGACGTTAATGGTCGTTTAACGGGCAAAAAAATAAAACACTCACACACAGACACACACAACAGACGAAGGATATCCTTGGGAATCTCTCAAGAACAATATAGCATCCTCTACACCAAGAACACTACCGAAAAGCTATGTAAAGCGAGAAAAATTTAAGTGCGCGTACCTTTCTTCGCTCCTGGATTGTTTATCCATCCATCGATCCATCGATCCATCCATCGGTCCTTGCTGGAGAAAAAGGAAGAAGAGATCTCCACCTAGAAGAATTTTTTCTTTCCGGAAACCAAACCTCGAGTCAGCTGATCAGACGATTCAAAAGGCGCTTTACTCGCTTTTGCGCCATTCTTCGCGACGACTGAGCTGATCCAGCGCTTTGACGCTCGCATCACACCGCATTAGAGCGATGCGATGGAGCTCTAGAGCGATCGCTTCCATGTCGCAATCCTAGGGCTTCAACGACTAACGGGGTTTTTGTTTTAGGGTTCTTCGCGGGGGAATGGAGGAGGAGCGCCTTGAGCGCTTCTCGCGCTGGTCCCAGGTGAGATATTTCGACCCTTCCTCGGCAATGCAGCTGATCGATCGCTGCCAGGAGCACGGAATCCAGTTCCGCGGCTGCGCGATCAAACGCGGCAGCGATGCCGAGGGATTTGGGCTTTACACCCAAAACGATAGCGCGAGAGGTGATTTTCTCTCTTTCTGTGCTCCTCTCAGCACGGATTTTGCAGATGTTCTCGTAGTAACGCCGCTCGATCTGGCGCTCACACCGGTGACAATTGTGAAAGATCCAGTCCTGGGAAATGTATACCGGGAGATGCTCGGCAATGAGATTGACGATCGCTTGCTGGTAATGATTTTCCTGATCATAGAGCGTGCACGAGGGAGAGCCTCGTTCTGGGCACCGTATCCTTTGTTTTTTTTTTCCTGTGTTCCTGTGTGCCGCAAGGAAGGGAAAGAGAGAAATCCTTACATTGTGTGTAGATATCTTGAAATGCTGCCATCCGGCTTTGGTACTCCGCTCTGGTTCGAAGACGAAGAACTCATGGAGCTGGACGGTACAACACTGTTCGAGGCCACCAAAGCCCAGGTGTTTTTTCCTTCTACTTTTGTAAGCACTTGTAGTGGATACTGAGGTCATGTTTTTCCACAGCTTAAGTCCTTGAGGAGACTGTTTCTAAAGGTAAAAGAATGTACTGAAGCAGCGATGTCTTCCATCGGTCTACATAGGTACCTTTCTTGTGTTTTCAACTTTTTCTAGTGTCCTTGTATCTGTTTCGTCCGGATGATAGGGAGCTTGAATTCCAGGAATTTCTATGGTATATATATTACTTTTTTCTGAATTGTGTAGATTGTGTCTAACGATCTTTTGAACAGGGCCAATTGTATTTTCTGGACAAGGGCACTGAACATCCCGTGTCCGGCATCGTTTGTTACCTCGTCATCACCGGAAGTTGCAAAGGACGACGGCAACAGGTTAGTGTAGGTTCTTATCCGCGTTCTAGGATTTATGTTCTTCCTCATCCTTTTATTTCTTGCAGTGCAAAAGATGTAAGCACGATTTGGATTGAAGGTCTCGTCCCGGGAATTGACTTCTGCAACCATAGTAATAAATTGCTCTTGTTTCTTTCTTTTGATGACTGAACTTGTGTTATGGCTAGCACGCAGAGCATCTGGGCTTTGGGAAATCGATGGGAGTGACGGTTCTACGTCAGGAGTTCCTCACTCAATGTACCTGATAGCTGGTACATTGTAGGTAGCTGGAACTAGTCATAACAGCTGGGCGTTCCAGGTTCAGATGTGGTTTTCCCACCCGGCTCAGAAGTTCTTATCAACTACGGAGACAAAGGGAATGAGGTAACGCGTTAGGCTGGCTGGTGCTACTGATCACGAAACCGGTTTCACAGGAACTACTTTTCCTGTATGGCTTTGTGGAAGAGGACAATTCCAACGATTATGTGATGGTACGTAATGTGTGACATTGAAAAGGATGTATGCTTTGATGCACCTTTTGTTAGGTCCACTTTCCAAAGATGTTTCTGGATGAAGACAACACTATGGATTTTAAATTGCAGCTACTTCGTGAACTGGTAAGATTTAAAATGTCAGATTTGAACTGGAATCTTTGTTTATTGTTCAGGACCTCTCATTGCAATGGCTTTTACCATCGTCACTACTGGCGAGTGGTTTTCTTCGGAAGAATCCAGATGACAAAGCAACCAGGACACATCCGGGATTTAGTTGGAGTGGACACCGCAAGGCACCGTCGTACTTAGATTGTTTAGTCTTCCCAGAAGACATGGTGTTATCATTAAGGGTGCTGTCTATGCCAGAAACTGCTTTGCACGGCGTTGCCAACCTTCTTGAGCAGGTAAATCCAAATTGAGTTTCCGAGATTGATTTGCTTCACAAATGAGTCTTAAACAACAGATTTCTCACGTTCCTTCGAAAGACGACATCCAGGCAGCGGTATGGGAGGTTTGTGGAGACGCCGAGGCATTAACTTTGCTGGTGACAATACTCTCTGCCAAGTAAGATATATCAGTGTTTGCGGAATTTAAATGACTTTGGTATCAGAATGGCCGACCTTGTTCGAGGAACTGGACCCGAGTCACGAGACGAGGAGCTTCTGGAACGTGACAGGCGTTGCAAGGAGCAGGGCACTGTCGATGACACAGGCTTTCTCTCGCAGAACCATCGAGCCTGTGTAATTTACAGAAAGAGTCAGAAGCGCTTGGTAAGCAGTTTCTTACAGGAAGCTAAACTTGCCTTGGAAGCCTGCCTGGCAGAAAGAATAGAGACTTGACTTCAGATTTAAACACAGAACAGGGTTGAAAGCCACCAGTTATGGTCCACTCCACTCGCAGACAAGCTCGTCTATCATTGTCCGCAGAATGCTGCTCTCAACGTCCTCGGCAATCAGCTCCACTTGCCCGTTCCAATCCATCCACTTTCCAGCACCAACACTCATGTCCTTCTCAACGAGCTCATCAGTTGACAGCGTTTCCATCGACTTCCAGTCACTTATTTGTTGCTGAACCTCTGCACCAACCTGTGGCATCCCGACTCCAGCCAACCTCACCGATCCTACGCCTAGGTACCAGCTTTTACAGCAGCCAAATCTTGATCTCACTGCCTCCTCCACGCAGTCGAAGAGCAACTTACGAGCTTGCAGCGAGCCTCGTCCATGAGATTTGGAAGTCATCGTCGTCTCTATGATGCTGAAAACCCGGGAAGCGACTGGACTATCTTGGCTAAGCCACCTTCTAGTTGCTGCTACGACTGCTGGCGAGCTCAGCAACTTCTCCTCCTGGTCACATAAAAGCTGACTCGTCCTAAGAACGTCGTCGATGTAGGCTGTCTCTTCCTCGAAAGAGTGCCTGCTACTTGCGGTGGAGTCGCTTATTCCGATGGAAGAGAGGTCGATGCAGCGGATTCGTGATATGTCCAGGATGGCGCTGAGAATGCTGTCACTGCCCGTGGAACTGGTACGTAGCTTAGCATCTGGACCAACTTTTTTAGCTCCTAAACTTACAAACTCGATTGCTCTTACCAGGTGAGTCTTCGCCACCACTGTCCAACGGTGACGAGTGCATCTCGTCGACAAACGGTGGCTCGAGCACCGAAACTGGACTGGGCTGTCCACCCTCCGATCGAGATGACCGGCTGCACTCATAGTTCCCGCAATTCGAGTTTGTCGGAGAGCTCCCGCTTCCTTCCGACCGAGCCACGCTGCTACTATCGTCCGAGAGCAGCTCCTCACAAAACTGTCGTGGAGCAATCAAGCACAAAGTCAGGCCGGAAGAACACGAGGAAAGAGAAAACAACAAGAGCCACACTCACCCGGGGAGGAGTAACACCAGCGCAAGAAGACGATGCCACCGAGGACAAAGAAATATCATCAGCTAGGCCTTGTCTCGAGCTCAACGAAGAAGCGGAAGCTTTCCTCCCAACGGATTGAAAGCTCCGCGCAGCTTGCTTGGTGGTTCCAGCGCCGATGTTCCGTGATCTTCTCAGCAATGCGCGCATTAAAGACGACGATGCCTCACTTTTGCTCGGCCTCGCCGTGCCACTCGTCGCACTCGTGCTGCTGTGATCCTTGCCACTTCCGTCGCTGCTGCTGGTACGCTTCGTCCTCGTCCTGTTACTTTCTTTCTCTTTTCCCCTCTGATTCCCAAACAGCCTGTTTGTGGTGTAGCTCAGGATTCCATGGCTGCTACTGGTGGAGTTCTTCATTGTGACCAACTTTGCAGTGGGAGAAAACGACGCTCTCTGGGGTAAGTGGTCCTCTTCCCTTTCATTGCTGCTCTTGATGATGAGCTGATCGGACTCTCGTTGCTTTTGTTGCTTGTGCAGCCTCCGGATTTCAGACCATCCCAATCCTCCACCACCTTCGTGCTGCTGCTGGAGTCCCAGGTCCGACTTACTCCGAACCAAGTTTCCACCATCGCTGACCTTGTTCTTCGTCGACTTTGACACCGATGATGACGACGAAGAGTTCGAGCTCAAGCGATCGCTGCTGGAGCTGAAACCACCGAACCTTTGCCGGATGCTCTCGGAGATCTTGGCCAGCCTTCTGGAAGTTGACGACGACGAGGAGCCGAGAGTTGGCTCGGATGAGCTCCGGTTCAGCGACAACTTCCTCCGGCTCGAGGGCTTCTTGTCCGCGGTGCCCGTGTCCAAATTCTGGTGCTGCGGTGGACGATGATCATCGGTCGGCAAGACCTTCACGGCAGCCTCCGCTACCAGGCCACGCTTCTTCTTTGACGGGCTCTTGATCGGTGAGACCTTGCTACCACCACTCTTTTGCTCTCCCTTTTTCTTCTTCGATTTCTCCCCTTCTTCCTGTTCGTGTTCCACCGCTGGAACCCGAGCCCTCCTCATCAGTCCTGCAAATTTCTCCACCAGCGATGGTCCTCTCCTCCCATTCTGCCGCTGGTGATCCTCCTCCAAGCTACGATACTGATCCTCTTCCTCTCGCAGGAGCTCGCGGAGTAGCAGCGGCTCTTTGATCCTCAGGAGCTCCTGGAGCTGGAGCTGCTGCCTCTCTCCTCCTCCTCCATTCTCGCGGAGGATCATCACTGGCGGCGAGCGACCATCGCTACCACTACTGCTACTTACTGCTGAGAGATCCTTGATTTTGGCGCCCACTGGCAGCGAATCCAAGCCCATCAGCCTCGCCACCACATTGGGCTCGTGGATCGCCGCGTCATCGAAGCTAGAATTCAGAGATTCTTCCTCTGGAGCTCCCTGATCACAAAACGAAAAGGTCCTGTCACTCAAATGGGAATGGAATAAAAAGAGGGGTCTTTACCAAAAGTAGCTTCCTGCGAGCTTGGCCATCGCTGCTACTGTGTCTCCTCACCGATTTCTCTACGAAAACGAGGATCAATCCATCGCTGCCCAGCAAAAAAATTCGATTTTTGTGTGTCCATACCTTCTCTATTCGCTGCGAACAGCCGCCGCGCGTGCTTACTGCTAGCCGCATTGGGTCTTCGTGGGGATTCATCCATCCTCTCTCGAAAGAAAAGAGAGAACAAACTCTCCTGGGAATCTCTAGCTAGCTCGAAGCGCGACGACAACCAAGATTCCAATCGATCGCTCTGGGACCCTCTAGAGCCTGGAGCGCACTGGAGCGATCCAAAGAGCCCGAGTGGGGCATCTATATGATCGGGGGTGCCGGCCCAGAGTAAATGCGATCGCTTCCTCTCTTTTTTTCAAACCGGAAAAAGGCAGCGCGAGAGCGCCAAGAGGAAGAAATCCAAAAAAAAGCGAGGAGGAGATAAAGGCACCAAAGGAAGAAAACAAGAACAAACAACACCAATGAATGATCCCACCCGTGAACCCAGCCTCCGCTCAAAATTCCCAAAAGAAGAAGGGTCGATCGATCGCTGGGAGAGAGGGAGCGAACAAAAACAAGAACTCGCTTTCAAGGGATTTTGCGATTCACGGGACCCGCATTGCCATCGCCCACCAATGGATCGATCGTCTACTCGATCGAGGCCAATACAATAGAAGAAGATCACGCAAAGAGGGAGGAGCCCTCTTCTCGCGAGTGTTCTTCTTCTTCTTCTTCCTTCTTCTTCCTTTTGGGCGGTCTCGTTTGGCTGCTACTAATCAATGTCAATTCTCCGAAACTGCCCAAGCACTGTGGCCCCTGTGATCGATCCCACACTTACCTTGTGTGAAAAAGAGAGGAGGAAAAAAAAAAAATCTCTTCCCATCCCACCTAAAAAACACTCGTCTTGCTTCGCTCACTGCGCGTGTAAGTTCACAGCTCGTAAACTTCGCGTTCTCGACAGGGCGCCAAACCAAACGCATCAAACCCTCAAATGAAAATCCCACTCCCAAAGTGAGAGATTTTTACCCCCGCACAAATTTACCCGCCAAGGGATATTCTCCTCCCTTGGCAAGAATGCTCCACGTGGGCGGGTCAAATGCTGCCAGGTCAGCAGAGTGGCATATACTTTTTTAAATACGCGTCGCGGGGCAAAATCAATTGATCCGATTTTGGGAGGGTGCGTCGTATGTCTACGAGTAGGTCTACTGTACAGGCTATAGTACTGTAGGGACCCCTGCCTTGTCTTTCCACTGGCACTTGCCTTAAAGAATGTGGCCTTAGCTTTGATCAAATGATTTTCCTATGGTTTGTTGCCAGGGCTATGGTCATGAAATGAAAATCTTTTTGGCTAACGGTATGATAGAACAACGTATTTAAATCGCGTGGTTTTTATATCTTGTGGTTTGCAAAGATTGGAGGCTGACACAAGAACCCTAAAAGTTGCAGACTCCCAGATTCTTTGTGCCATAGAATCCGCGAAGCCAGCGCGCAGTGGGCATTTACTCGCTTGTCTTATCGAATTTATGGGCAGATTTTAAAAAGGAATTTGCCCTCTATTTCTTGCACCGCCACCTTTTCACCCAAGAACGGGTACAGTCGAGAAAATTCTCCAAGAACGAAGTTAAGTTAAACATTTGTTGCGAAGTTGACAAGCTCTACTCTCGTTGTTTTGTCTTGAATGACAACTCGTGCTAGATCATGGGCCTGAAATTTGATTGTAAGTTGGCCCCAAAACCGGGGAACTGAAAAGAAAGAAACACTTTCTCTCGATTCAAACAATCCCAGACAAGAACACCAACATTTCAAACTGGCCTTTGAATTTGACAAAAATCTCTCGACAATGTGGTGTGTCGGTGCTTTCTCGGAGATCGATTGATTAGCATTAGTTTGAGAGCAAAGATTTGGACTCAAGCCACAAGACAGCGAAGAACTCTCGTGCTCAAGTTCAAAACCAGACAATCGATAGAAGAAAGCGAATTGTCCCACACATGGAACACCAAGTTGACTGTAATACAAATGTATTTTTGGTGTTGTACGTATGTGTATGCTTTTGCGGGAAAAGTAGAATTAAAATAGTCGGGCGGACGGTTTGAATTTGAATCCGTACTTGGCGCCTTCCGGGATTTAGAAACACGGAAGAAGAATATAATCAAAAGCTCAAGAACAAAAGCATTATATCTTGTGACAGTGAGGATCGATCGTTAGGCTGGCTAACGTACGTTGTTCCAGAGATAAAAATAATTTCCATCTGAAAGCTTTAGAAATGAGAGTGCAAGGTGTCGAACCCAATACCTCTCGCACTAATTTCCCTACTAATTTGATTAAGAAATTTAGTGCTTTTAACAAAATTTATTACTTAATTTAACAAATTAGGTATTCCAAAGATACATGCTGAGATAAAAACAATTCCCATTACTTCTAATTTAATTAAGGTTATAACTATCAAATTGTTCATAACTCCAGGAAAACTTAATATTTAACTTACAGTAACGGAAAATAAAATAAAAATATATCAATTAATCTTTTTACAAAGTGATGGTTATCCATCCCGGTATAAATTCGATAGCAACACGTAAGGAGCAGTCTTCTTCTTGTTAGTGCTCTTCGTTACCATGGCTTCCATCTCTTCCTCCTTCCGGATGAGCGAAGCCACTGCTCGCTTCCCACGCTTCTCATCGCCATGGATCCTACACGCCGCCAGCAGCGCCGTCCACGCCTCCCCGCCGCCACCGCCCTTGACCAGCTCCTCCGCCGCCACCAAATGCCCAGATCTCCCAAGAACATCCACCACCGCGTTCCAGTGATCCTCGCCAGCTCTCACCCCCCAGTCCACCACCATCCCCGCCAAGTGATCCAGCGCCTCGCCGACGAGCCCGCCATGGTTGCAAGCGTGGAGCAGCGTCAAGAGCGTCACCTCGTCGGGAGAGATCCCCTCCATCTTCATGTCCAGCAGCAAATCCACCCGCGCGCGCTCGCCGCTAGCGCTCGACTGGAGCATCACGTTCCAGGACACCACGTCCCGCTCCGGCATCCCATCAAAAAGCGATTTTGCTGCGCGGAGCTTGCCTCTTTGAGCTGCCGCCACCACCATGACGTTCCAGATTACCATGTCTCGCTCCGGGATCTCCCAGAAGAGCTCCACTGCTCGGTCGAAATGCCGGCTTCCAACGTAGCCCAGTAGCATCGAGGCCCAGGAGACAGTGTCGTGCTCGGGCATGAGCCGAGAGAACACCACCTCGGCCTCGTCCACGCAACCGTTCTCGGCGTAGCCGGCCACCATTGTGTTCCAGGACACGATGTTCTTCTCGGGCATCCGCTCAAGCACCGTCCTGGCATCGCCCAAGTTTCCAGTCCGAGCGTACGCCGCCACCATCGAGTTGCCCGAGATGGTGTTCCTCACCGGCATTGCCTCGAACAGCGCCCGAGCTCGCTCCAAATCCCCGGGGCGAGCGTAGGCTGCGATCATCGCGTTCCACGACACCACGTCTCGGAGTGGCATCGCTTCAAAAACTGTTTTTGCGCACTCCACCATCTCGGCTTGCGCGTATCCGACCACCATCGTCGTCCAGGCCACCACGTCCCGCTGCGGCATCTCGTCAAACAGCCTCTTTGCTTCCTCCATCTCGCCTCTTCTCGCGTAGGCCTGGATCAAGGCCGTGAATGACACAACGTTCCTCCTTGGCATCCTCTCGAACACGTCCCTGGCTTGTTCTACGTGACCATCTTGAGCATACGCTTGAACCATCGAGTTCCACGACACTGTGTCCGGTTGAGGCATCCGATCAAACGCGGCCTTTGCTTGGACAAGCTCGCCTCTCTCCACGCTCGACTGGAGCATCACATTCCAGGAGATGGAGTTCCTCTCTTTCATCTTGTCAAACAGCTCCCGGGCCTCCTCCACGCGACCGTGATCCGTGTACGCTGTGATGAGCGCGTTCCAAGTTACCAAGTTCCTGTCCGGCATCCGATCGAAGATGGTCTTCGCGTCTTCCAGGAAACCATGACTGGCGTAAGCGTTCATCATCGTCGTCCATGCGATCGCGTCGGGGCACTGGATTCTCTCGAACAAAGCTCTCGCTTCTTCCAAGTCTCCATTCTCAGCGTGGCCCTGGAGCATCGCCGTAGAGGCCACGACGTTCTCCATCGGCATCCTCTCGAACAAAGCTCTGGCCTCGCCAATCTCTCCTCCAGCAACGTAAGCCCGGATCATCGTCGTCCATGACACCGAGTCTCGCAAGATCATGCTCTCGAAAACCTCTCTCGCCAGATCAAGTTGCCCGTTTCCGGCATATCCCGCCACCATAGCGTTCCACGAAACCACATCCTTGAGCGGCATGCAATCGAAGAGCTTCTTTGCCTCTTCCATTTTTCCAGACTTTGCATGACCCGTGATCATAGCGTTCCACGCGATCACATTCTTGTGAGGCATCGAATCAAACAGCTCTGTCGCTCGACACAGATCCCCCGCCTTGGCAAATGCGGCAACCACGGTTGTCCACGAGACGATATCCGGTGATGGCATCACTCTAAACACTTCCATCGCTCTTTCCAAAAGCCCGCTTTTCACGTACGCCTGGATCATTCCATTCCATGACACTCGATCCTTTCTGGGCATGCTCTGGAACACGCATCTTGCTTGAGCAATATCTCCGTTTCGGGCATATGCCGCAAGGAGGATGTTCCACGACACCAAGTTCCTGTCGCTGATCCGATCGAACACCGCTCGAGCCTCCTCCACGCTGCCGCACTTTCCATACATTTCAATCACAAGATTCCACAGATGCAAGCTTTCTTTCAGGTCCCTGTTCCGTTCTATTCTCGCATGGACTTTCCTCGCTTCGCCCAAGTTCTTCGAGTTGCCGTACGATTTGATGGACCGGACGAGAGAATTAAAATCGCCTTGCGCTGGAATCGCCGGGAATCCCTGGATCATTAATTTTCTACACCATCCCAGATATTACTCGCTCTGGCTTGACAATGGATCGTTAGAATCCAATATTTTCAATTGAGATTGTGTTTTGACTTTATACCTTTTGGTTTATAAATCGCCATTCATACACGAGAGATTGATTTATTCGCAAGCCTTGGCAAGATCTATGGCCCGATCATCCACCTGAAAGGTGGAGTGGTGGACTACATTGTCATCAACTCCATCGCCATAACTCACGATTTGGAGTTTGCTTATCGCCCGGCTAGTAAGTTTGGCTATGGTTTCAAAGACATCAAATCACGAGCAGGCACTTCATGAGCAACACGAGGCTGGATGGTTTTGCGGGGATCTACGAAATGGAGATGGCGAAATCGATCAAAGCCATTCAAAGCTCTGGCGATCATGCTCCCGTCAACCTGACCGATGCAGTCGGCAAATTTATCTCGGATGCATTTTGTATGATTCTCTTTGGCAGCACAGAGGAGAGAGTTTTGGATCTGGTAGCCCAAATCGAAAACCAAACACTCAAGTCATAACCTGTCAAGCACTCGGACCTCGTCAACTTACCTTACATCGAAGCAATCTTCAATTAAGTTTTGCGACTCCATCCAGTGGGAGCTCTTGGCGTTCCTGACCACAATCCATCCAAGGTAACAATCGCAGGCTACGACATCCCCAAGCACTGCACCGTTCTCATCCCAAACGGTACTGGGACGAGCCCGAGGTGTTTTGCTCGGAGCGTTTCCTGGGCGATCGAGCGAAATCCAACCAAGAGCGCATGATGCCATTCCCGGCATGCCGATAGCTTCCCGCGTGGTTCCTTTTGTGGTTGCAAACTTGCTCCATGTTTGATTGGAAGAGTGCAGGCGAGATCGATTTGTCCGAAAAGTCGGGAACTCCCTCATTTTCCCGGCATTCCACGAAGCCACATCCTTGAGAGGCATGCGATCAAAGAGCTTCTTTGCCTCCATGCGATCACATTTTTTTGAGGCATCTCATCAAACAACTCTGTCGCTGATCCGATCGAACACGCTGCCGCACTTTCCATATACAAGATTCCACAGCTGCAAGCTTTCTTCAGGTCCCTGTTCCGTTCTACCCTCGCATGGACTTCGCCCAAGTTCTTCGAGTTGCTGTACGATTTGATGGACCGGACGAGAAAATTAAAATCGCCTTCCACTGGAATCACTAGAATCCTGGATCATTATTTTCTACACCATCCCTCGTTCTAATCGTTGTAGCGATATTGTGAAAAAGATCAAATTATTTATGAGCATCACATCACAAGTTCTTTACCCATGAATTTATCATGTTACACAATTTTCAACTCACAATCTCAAAAAATCTTAAGAGATCTGTGAGTATCACATCACATCAAAATAATCTCACTTCATCAAGATAAAAAGAAATGGTTAACATGAGAAATATGCCTAGAGTCGTACCTCCCATCTCCACCAAAAAATGGACTGTGGACAGAAATGATGAGAATCCAAAAATTTAATCAAAACTCACATTGAGTGTGAACACCCCGGCCCTCTCTCAATCCCCGCGCTCCCACACCTTTGTATTTTATACCTTTCTTATTACATCCTTTAAACTGGAAGCACAAATTTTGAACCCGGGACCTTTAGGTTTATAAAGCTTCAAGAGATTACCATGGTGTGCGGTGCTATGCTTGCTCTTTACTTCATCCTTTGCAATGTGAGAACTCTTCGAAGATTACCACCAGGTCCGATCTCTCTGCCAATAGTTGGATCCATTTTCTCTCTAAGATATCTACTCCATCGCTGTTTCGCAACGCAAGCCTTGGCAAGATCTATGGCCCGGTCATCCACCTGTGGTGGACTACATTGTCATCAACTCGATCGCCATAGCCAGGGAGGTCTTGATCACTCGCGATTTGGAGTTTGCTTATCCCCCAGCTAGTAAGTTTGGAGAGTACTTCAGCTATGGCCTCAAAGACATTGACTCTTGGTCCAGTCCTGGAAGAACCTTAAGCAAATCACGAACGGCACTTGATGAGCAACACGAGGCTGGATGGTGTTGCGGGGATCTACGAACTAGAGATGGCAAAATCGATCAAACCCATTCACAGCTCTGGCAATCATGCTCCCCCGTCAACCTGACTGATGCGGTCAGCAAGTTTCTCTGGGATGCATTTTGTATGATTCTCTTTTGCAGCATAGAGGAGAGAGTTTTGGATCTGGTAGCCCAAATCGAAAACCAAACACTCAACGTCAAGTCACATCCTGTCAAGCACTCGGACCTCGTCAACTCACCTTACATTGAAGCAATCTTCAAATAAGTGTTGTGACTCCATCCAGTGGGAGCTCTTGGCGTTCCTCACCACAATCCATCCAAGGTAACACTACGACATCCCCAAGCACTGCATCGTTCTCATCTCATACGGCACTGGGAGGAGCCCGAGGTGTTTCGCCCGGAGCGTTTCCTGGGCGATCAAGTGAAATCCAACTCGGGCATGCCAATAGCTTCCTGAGTGGTTCCTTTTGTGGTTGTAAACTTGCTCCATGCGTTTGATTGGAAGAGTGCAGGCGAGATCAATTTTTCCTAGAAGTCTGAATCTCTCTCGCGTTCCTGGCATATCCTGCCACCATGACGTTCTGCAAAACCATATCCTTGAGAGGCATGCGATCTAACAGCTTCTTTGCCTCTTCCAATTTCCAAGCCTTTGCATAACCTATGATCATAGCATTCCATGTGATCACATTCTTAGAAGGCATCTAATGAAACAGCTCCATCGCTCCTGCTTTGGCAAATGCAGCTACCACCCTTGCCCATGAGACTATATCTGGGGATGATATTGCTCTAAACACTTCAAACACTCTTTGAAAAGCCCGTTTTTCATGTAGGCCTGGATCATTCCATTCTATGGCACTTGATCCTTCATGGGCATACTATGGAACATGCATCTTGCATGAGCAATCTTACTTAACACAAACTAAGGGAATATTTTAAGAGTATTTTATGATTTGGGGATTTTAGGCTGGTTCACTTATGTCATGTTCTTTTAGGGATGGTTGAAGAGTGCAATATAAATCCTAATGAAGAGTTATTGTAGCACACCTTATCTCTCTCCCTTTAAGCCAATTGGAAAAGGGGCAATTGCTTGATGAGAGAGCCCTTAGTGGCTATTTTATCCCCATTTATCCCCCAAGGTTCCAAGGATTCACGGTGACAGTATATTGACTAACAACCCCTAATCACATGCGCTACACTCACCCCCCCTCCCTTCAGATATGTCAATGTTCTCATTGACTATTGACTAACAACCCCTAATCACATGCGCTACACTCACCCCCCCTCCCTTCAGATATGTCAATGTTCTCATTGACTATTGACTAACAACCCCTAATCACATGCGCTACACTCACCCCCCCTTCAGAGATGTCAATGTTCTCATTGACTATTGACTAACAACCCCTACTGAGCCAAGGGGAACCAGCACCTTCATTTCCGCACTCAATCTACCAATCCTTCCATTGTGTAGACTAGCTATTCCATGTAAGGCAACTAGTCATCCACCCGTACCGCAGTCCCACGGTGGATACCTTCGTCCGTGGATACACCACACAAGAGGAAGGACGTACGCATGGATGCCCAATACGTACGATTTCAAATTTAGGGGTAGGAATATACCTTGCTCAAGGGTATATTATACTTTTAAGTAGTCACTAATCAATGGGAATCGAACTCATGCCATTTGCTCCGATACCAACTGTAGCGCACCTTATCTCTCTCCCCTTAAACCAACTAGAAAAGGGGCAATTGCTTGATGAGAGAGCCCTTAGTGGCTATTTTATCCCTATTTATCCTCCAAGGTTCCAAGGATCCACGGTGACAGTATATCTAAATCTCATCCCATGATCACATGCGCTACAGTTATAGTGATAATATCTAATAAAGAGGAAGAGACTTTTGATGAGCAACGACTACAAGTATTTATAGATTTTCAAGGCTAATGAAGGACCTTGGAGAAGTTTGATATTTTCTTGGTCTTGAGATTCACCATGACAAGAAAATAAGGTCCCTTCACATCTCTCAACAACAATATTTAACGAAGGTACTTGAGAGTTATGGATATACTAATTGCAATCTTTTTCATTTGGCAATGGAGCCTGGTACATCAAGTTCTTGACAAAAGCTGAGTGTCCTTTCAGCAAAGAGGAGCATCAAACCATGGCAAAGGTACCATTTCGAAATTTGCTTGGGATTTTGATGTACATTATGGTGTGCAGCTATCTAGATTTGGCTTATGTTGTCATTGCTCTTAGCCAATTTTCTGCTAATCCTAGCAAGAAACATTAGAACATGGCTAATGTAAAGCAAACTCTTGCTTTTGGACTATTGTATGGTTTATGTGGTGGTTTTTCTCTTTTTTCTTACAATAACAGCAACTTATCAAATGATAGAAATAGTTATAAATCCATATTAGCATTTCGCTTCCAACTTGGAATAAACTTTGTTCTTTGGGCTTGAATATCCCAAGACCCTTAACCAATTGGAAAAGAGGGTGCACTTTTGTTTATGAGTTCTTTCTTTTTATATTTGAACTTCATAGATTGTCTCTCAAGTCATTTTCTTTAGTTTTTTATAATCCACCATGTTTCCTTGCAAATTCACATATTTGTGAATGGAAGCCCAAGACCCTTAACCAATTGGAAAAGGGGGTGCATTTTTGTTTATAAACTCTTTCTTTTTATATTTGAACTTTATAGATTGTTTCTCGAGTTGTTCCCTTTGGTTTTTTATAATCCACCATGTTTCCTTGCAAATTCATGTATTTGTGAATGGAAGTTGAGAGCCGCAAATGTCAATTAACATGTAGTATAATTCCTTTAGCCAACCAACAAAGTCGAATCCAAGACCCTTCTAATACCAAATGTAAACTCTTGAATTTAGACTTTCCGAAAGGTCACCCAACCCATTACTATTCAAACCCAATAACACTTAATCCTGAATATCCCAAGACTTTTAACTAATTGGAAAATGGTGGATCGTCTCTCGAGTTGTTCCCTTTGACATTGCTCTTTCCTCCACAAAAGCAAAGTATCTTGCTACCTTAGCTACTTCCACATAAATTCTTTGGTTTCAAGAATTTCTTGGAGCTCTTGGGCAATCTTCCATACCAATTACTCTCCATGTTAATAACAAGGAAGTTATCAATTGGTGCAATAGTGAATTGCAATTGGAAGTCTCAACATATTGCCAAGCACTATCACTATGTTAGTGATTTGGTACACACAGGTTTATTAATGGTTCAACATGTTTCTTCTTGACAACAACTTACTAACATCTTTACAAAACCTTTGGATAAAGTTCTATTTGTGGAACACAGGAATTCTATTGGAAGCCTTGACTGAGAAGGAAGTAGCAACAACAGTCACACCCTTGGCTTTAGGAGGAGTGTTGGAGCCGAAATCCAAGGTGTGATAAGCACCTTGAATCATGGAGATCAAAAGCCACATTCAGCAACAAATTTCAGGAGAAACTTCTGGATGTAGCTAGTATATAACTAGTATTTCTTTCTTCTTTTATAAAGCAGTTGTTCCAGTTTCCTTCTAAAAGGATCCTGTTCATTCTTTGCTATCCTTCTAGCACTTTGTCAATCATATTCTTGTGAGGCATCGAATCAAACAGCTCTGTCGCTTGACACAGATCCCCCGCCTTAGCAAATGCGGCAACCACGGTTGTCCACGAGACGATATCCGGTGATGGCATCGCTCTAAACACTCCCATCGCTCTTTCCAAAAGCCCGCTTTTCACGTAGGCCTGGATCATTCCATTCCATGACACTCGATCCTTTCTGGGCATGCTCTGGAACACACATCTTGCTTGAGCAATATCCCCGTTTTGAGCATATGCCACAAGGAGGATGTTCCACAACACCAAGTTCCTGTCGCTGATCCGATCAAACACCACTCGAGCCTCCTCCATGCAGCCGCACTTTCCATGCATTTCAATCACAAGGTTCCACAGATGCAAGCTTTCTTTCAGGTCCCTGTTCCGTTCTATCCTTGCATGGACTTTCCTCGCTTCGCCCAAGTTCTTCGAGTTGCCGTACGATTTGATGGACCGGACGAGAGAATTAAAATCGCCATGCGGTGGAATCGCCGGGAATCCCTGGATCATTAATTTTCTACACCATCCCAGATATTACTCGCTCTGGCTTGACAATGGATCGTTATAGAATCCAATATTCTCAATTGAGATTGTGTTTTGACTTCATACCTTTGGGTTTATAAATCGCCATTCATATACGAGAGATTGATTTATTCCGTGCTTGCTCTACACTTCATCCTTTGCAATGCGAGAACTCTTCGAAGATTACCACCAGGTCCGCTAATTGTTGGATCCATTTTCTCTCTCCACTTGATATCCACTCCATCGCTGTTCCCGATCATCCACCTGAGAGGAGAGTGGTGGACTACATTGTCCAGCTATGGCTTCAAAGACATTGACTCTTGCTCCATGTAGTCAGTCCTGGAAGAACCTTCAGCAAATCACGAACAGGCACTTGATGAGCAACACGAGGCTGGATGGTGTTGCGGGGATCTACGAACTAGAGATGGCAAAATCGATCAAACCCATTCACAGCTCTGGCAATCATGCTCCCGTCAACCTGACTGATGCAGTCACCAAGTTTATCTCGGATGCATTTTGTATGATTCTCTTTGGCAGCATAGAGGAGAGAGTTTTGGATCTGGTAGCCCAAATCGAAAACCAAACACTCAACGTCAAGTCACAACCTGTCAAGCACTCGGACCTCGCCTTACATTGAAGCAATCTTCAAAATAAGTGTTGTGACTCCATCCAGTGGGAGCTCTTGGCGTTCCTCACCACAATCCATCCAAGGTAACATTTTCAGGTTCAAGCACTGCATCGTTCTATACTTTTGGAACCCCCTACAGCGGATGAGCCCGAGGTGTTTCGCCCGGAGCGTTTCCTGGGCGATCGAGCGAAATCCAACCAAGAACTCATGATCCCATTCTCTGCCGGGAGGAGAACTTGTCCGGGCATGCCAATAGCTTCCCGCGTGGTTCCTTTTGTGGTTGCAAGCTTGCTCCATGCGTTTGATTGGAAGAGTGAAGGCGAGATCGATTTGTCCGAGAGGTCGTCGGGAACTCTCTCGTGTATGCCGGCGTCCGACTTGGTGGCATTCGCATCGGCAAGGCTCGAAACGTCTGTCTATACCTGAGACAACGTTGTCTTTGAATTGCGTTCACAATTGATCACAATCACTTCATGTTCTACGAAAATCCCATCTCTCATCCAAATGCCCGGGGCGAGCGTAGGCTGCGATCATCGCACTACACCATCTCGGCCTACGCGTATCCGACCACCATCTTCGTCCAGGCCACCACGTCCCGCTGCGGTATCCCGTCAAACAGCCTCTTTGCTTCCTCCATCTCGCCTCTTCTTGCGTAGGCCTGGATCAAGGTCGTGAATGACACGACGTTCCTCCTCGGCCTCATCTCGAACACGTCCCTGGCTTGTTCTACGTAACCATCTTGAGCATACGCTTGGACCTTCGAGTTGTCAGGTTGAGGCATCCGACCAAACGCGGCCTTTGCTTGGACAAGCTCGCCTCTCTCCACGCTCGACTGGAGCATGATATTCCCTCGTCAGGATCGTGCAAACGAGGCAGCGAAGAGTCTTGTTTCTCGATCAAGGACGAGAAAAGCACGGTCTGCTCTTCTCTTTGAGATGGAGTTCCTCTCTTTCATCTTGTCAAACAGCTCCCGGGCCTCCTCCACGCGACCGTGATCCGTGTACGCTGTGATGAGCGCGTTCCAAGTTACCAAGTTCCTCTCCGGCATCCGATCGAAGATGGTCTTCGCGTCTTCCAGGAAACCATGGCTGGCGTAAGCGTTCATCATCGTCGTCCATGCGATCGCGTCGGGGCACTGGATTCTCTCGAACAAAGCTCTCGCTTCATCCAAGTCTCCATTCTCGGCGTGGCCCTGGAGCATCGCCGTAGAGGCCACGACGTTCTCCATCGGCATCCTCTCGAACAAAGCTCTGGCCTCGCCAATCTCTCCTCCAGCAACGTGAGCCCGGATCATCGTCGTCCACGACACCAAGTCTCGCAAGATCATGCTCTCGAAAACCTCTCTCGCCAGATCAAGTTGCCCGTTTCCGGCATATCCCGCCACCATAGCGTTCCACGAAACCACATCCTTGAGCGGCATGCAATCGAAGAGCTTCTTTGCCTCTTCCATTTTTCCAGCCTTTTCATGACCCGCGATCATAGCGTTCCACGCGATCACATTCTTGTGAGGCATCGAACTGCTCTGTCGCTCAACGCAGATCCCCCGCCTTGGCAAATGCGGCAACCACGGTTGTCCACGAGACGATATCCGGTGATGGCATCGCTCTAAACACTCCCATCGCTATTTCCAAAAGCCCGCTTTTCACGTAGGCCTGGATCATCCATTCCATGACACTCGATCCTTTCTGGGCATGCTCTGGAACACGCATCTTGCTTGAGAAATATCCCCGTTTCGGGCATATGCCGCAAGCAGGATGTTCCACGACACCAAGTTTCTGTCGCTGATCCGATCAAACACCGCTCGAGCCTCCTCCACGCTGCCGCACTTTCCATACATCACAAGATTCCACAGATGGAAGCTTTCTTTCAGGTCCCTGTTCCGTTCTATCCTCGCATGGACTTTCCTCGCCTCGAACAAGTTCTTCGAGTTGCCGTACGATTTGATGGACCGGACGGTGGAATCGCCGCTAGATCATTAATTTTCTACACCATCCCAGATATTAGTCGCTCTGGCTTGACAATGGACCGTTATAGAATCCAATATTTTCAATTGAGATTGAGATTGTTTTGACTTTATACCTTTGGATTGATAAATCGCCATTCATACACGAGAGATTGATTTATTTCACCATGGTGCTTTTGTTTTGCGGTGCTATGCTTGCTCTATACTTCATCCTTTGCAATGCGAGAACTCTTACAAGATTACCACCAGGTCCAATCTCTCTGCCAATAGTTGGATCCATTTTCTTTCTAAGATATCCACTCCATCGCTTTTTCGCAAGCCTTGGCAAGATCTATGGCCCGATCATCCACCTGAGAGGTGGAGTGGTGGACTACATTGTCATCAACTCCATCGCCATAGCCAGGGAGGCCTTGATCACTCGCGATTTGGAGTTTGCTTATCGCCCAGCTACTAAGTTTGGAGAGTACTTCAGCTATGGGCTCAAAGACATTGCTCTTGCTCCATATGGTGAGTCCTGGAAGAACCTCAAGCAAATCACGAGCAGGCACTTGATGAGCAACACGAGGCTGGATGGTGTTGCGGGGATCTACGAACTAGAGATGGCGAAATCGATCAAAGCCGTTCATAGCTCTGGCGATCATGCTCCCGTCAACCTGACCGATGCAGTCGGCAAGTTTATCTCGGATGCATTTTGTATGATTCTCTTTGGCAGCAAAGAGGAGAGAGTTTTGGATCTGGTAGCCCAAATCGAAAAGCAAACACTCAACGTGAACATTGGAAACTTGTTCCCAGCGCTGGATTTCCTGGATCTCCACGGAGTAAACAAGACAATGAAGGAAACTCTCATGCCAGAGCTGGAACAATTGCTAACACAGGTGATCGGCGCTCACAAGCAAAACAAGGCGAGGATTGAGTCTCAAGGGCAAGAATTCGTCAGTAGAGATCTCACACACGTGCTACTATCTCTCGAGTCCCTAGAAGACATATCAATCGTCGCACTGCTCACTGTAAGTGATACCACGCACTTTTCACTCTAGAACTTACTCTTTGCACAGGATATACTTGTCGCTGGAGTTGACACGATCAAGTGGACAGCGGTCTGGGCCATGGCCGAAGTTCTAAGAAATTCCAGAGTGATGGAAAAAGCACAAGAAGAAGTAAAGAACACGATAGGGAAGTCACAACTTGTCAAGCACTCGGACCTCGTCAACTTACCTTACATCGAAGCAATCTTCAAAGAAGTGTTGCGAGTCCATCCAGTGGGAGCTCTTGGCGTTCCTCACCACAATCCATCCAAGGCAACACTCGCAGGCTACGACATCCCCAAGCACTGCACCGTTCTCATCAACATTTGGGCGATCGGGCACGACCCACGGCACTGGGACGAGCCCGAGGTGTTTCGCCCGGAGCGTTTCCTGGGCGATCAAGCGAAATCCAACCAAGAACTCATGATGCCATTCTCTGCCGGGAGGAGAACTTGTCCGGGCATGCCAATAGCTTCCCGCATGGTTCCTTTTGTGGTTGCAAGCTTGCTCCATGCGTTTGATTGGAAGAGTGAAGGCGAGATCGATTTGTCCGAGAGGTCGTCGGGAACTCTCTCGTGTATGCCGGCGTCCGAATTGGTGGCATTCGCATCGGCAAGGCTCGAAACGTCTGTCTATGCCTGTTGACACCGAGAACGTTGCCTTTGAAGGTGCTCTCGGCAGGCCATGGTGTTCTAATGATCATAATCACTTCATGTTCTACGAAAATCCCCTCTCTCATCCAAATGCCTGGTCAAGGCAACTTCTGATACTAGCTTCGTCAACTATGCCCAACGCTACTAAGAGAAACCCTTACAACTTAGACACAATTCTAAAACGTTTTCCTTTTCTCAAACCCCACCAGATGCCATCTTTGGGCATATGTTGCAAGTATGATGTTTCACGACGCTAGATAATACCCGAGATCAAACAACGCTGTCACCATTTTTATACATTTTAATTAAAAGGTTGTGAAGAATCAAGCCGCAACTTGAGCATCTGTACAAGGGCTGCGGTGGCGATGGATCTACCACACCCCTAACCCTAGTCCCATCCTTCCGGGAGTAAATCGAGCTCGCCCATCACGAAAGGCGATAGATATCACTGGGCTTGATGATCGATCGCGTCTCCGGGCTCATTGGCACCTCCCGCCGCCCAAGCCAATCCAAGAGCGCCGAGCCGCGATAGAGAAAGGCGTGCTCGTCCCGCTGGCTCCGCTGGATCACCGCGGTCACTGTGGAATCCGGCACAAAAGGGGCTCCAGCGTGATGCAGCAAATCGGCGAGGAGGAATTCCCCCCACTTCCATCCCGCGAGGACCCTGTTCTCACTCCTCCCAGCGATTTGAGGATCGCCCTCCTCGCCTCTGGAGGCATTGCCGCCACCGGCGCCCTGTGGATCCCATACTGCTTGATCAGCGCCAGCGCCACTCTCCTCTCCTCGTCCGGGTCGGCGGCCCTGGAATTGGGGATTCTGGATCCCTCGCCGCCGGCGACGAAACGTCTGTCTATGCCTGAGACAACGTTGTCTTTGAATTGCGCACTTCATGTTCTACGAAAATCCCATCTCTCATCCAAATGCCCGGAGCGAGCGTAGGCTGCGATCATCGCCCGGAGTGGCATCTCATCAAAAACTGTTTTTGCGCACTCCACCATCTCGGCCTGCGAGTATCCGACCACCGTCGTCGTCCAGGCCACCACGTCCCGGTGCGGCATCCCGTCAAACAGCCTCTTTGCTTCCTCCATCTCGCCTCGTCTTGCGTAGGCCTATCAAGGTCGTGAATGACACGCCGTTCCTCCTTGGCATCATCTCGAACACGTCCCTGCCTTGTTCTACGTGACCATCTTGAGCATAAGCTTGGACCATCGAGTCCCACGATGAGACATCCGATCAAACGCGGCCTTTGCTTGGACAAGCTCGCCTCTCTCCACGCTCGACTGGAGCATCACATTCCAGGAGATGGAGTTTCATCTTGTAAAACAGCTCCCGGGCCTCCTCCACGCGACCGTGATCCGCGTACGCTGTGATGAGCGCGTTCCAAGTTACCAAGTTCCTGTCCGGTATCCGATCGAAGATGGTCTTTGCGTCTTCAAGGAAACCATGACTGGCGTAAGCGTTCATCATCGTCGTCCACGGGATCGCGTCGGGGCACTGGATTCTCTCGAACAAAACTCTCGCTTCTTCCAAGTCTCCATTCTTGGCGTGGCCCTGGAGCATTGCCGTAGAGGCCACGACGTTCTCCATCGGCATCCTCTCGAACAAAGCTCTCGGCAATCTCTCCTCCAGCAACGTAAGCCCAGATCATCGTTGTCCACGACACTGAGTCTCGCAAGATCATCCTCTCGAAAACCCTCTTGCCAGATCAAGTTGCATATCCAGCCACCATAGCGTTCCACAAAACCACATCCTTGAGCGGCATGCAATGGAAGAGCTTCTTTGCCTCTTCCACTTTTCCAGCCTTTTCATGACCCGTGATCATAGAGTTCCATGCAATCATTGTTAGAGTCGAAATCCAAGGTGTGATAGGCACCTTGAATCATGGAGATCAAGGGCCACATTCAACAGCAAATTTCAGGAGAAAATTCTGGATGTAGCTAGTATATATCAGAGCAGGATCAAAAGGATGGAAATGCTGCCACTGTCACTTTCCCAAATGGCCGTTCCATTTCCATTTTTGATGGATCTTGAAACTTCTCAAGCTGGAGGCACCGGATGGAGCTCATCCTCAAAGGTGAGGGAGTTTGGGGCGTTGTCAATGGTGACGAGCTGAAGCCAGGAGTTGATGTAGGCTATCAGAAGGTGGATACCTAGAGTTGGCATGAGGACAAGGGCACGGCAACAATCGGGCTTGCAGTGATAGAGAGTGTGCTAGATGATCTCACCCTCAATGAGAATTACACCAGCAGTGAGTTGTGGAAGAAGCTGTGTGAGAAGCACAAGCAGCAGATGCATTCCAGATTGGCCATCTCTACACAGAGATGATCAACATGTGGTGGACAGAGTCAGAAAGCTTCGATTAGTTCATGGATGACATGAAAAATACATATAGGCAAATTGAGGAGTCAGATAAGGAGAACAAGCTTCCTCCTTCTCTTTAGACTTATTTATTTCTTCGTGCTCTTCCTAATTCTTTCCATTCTCTTCAAAGTAACTTGATGTAGGTTGACAAGCTCTAGCTTAGTTATGCCATATTTGCCGTTAAGAAGGAAATCATCATGTAGGAGGATGTTGGGATTCTCTACTCCAAATCTGATCAGGCTTTGTTTGCAAGAAGCTTTTCTAAACAATTTGTGAAGAAGAAGAACAACAACAAAGTTTCGAAGGATGGAGATTTTTCCAAGGCAAAGGATAGTGATGTGAAGTCTAACAAGGACTCTAAGAAGAAATCCTCTTGTGGTTATTGCAACAAGTCTAACCATGAAGAGTCTGAATGCAAGTTGAAGATGAAACACCTTCAACAACAGTTGAATGATTTCAAATCTTTAAAACTTATGGCTCACTATAGATGACTTTTGGATGAAGCTTGTGTTGTTAAGGTCAAAACCGAGCTTTGCAACAATGCCATGGTAACTAACTCTTTTGTGATTGATTCCGGAGCTACTCCTCATCTATCTTGGCACAAAGATTTGAAAGAAAAGTGGAGCAAGAACAATGGATTTCACTTCAACACACTCATTGATTCATATATGGCTGTATATATATACAACTTCAATCAAATCGGAAATCACTAGAGATCTGATATGAATCGTCTTGTTTGTCGTGTTCATCATTATTCCTACACTCCCCCTTCAAGCTGAAGGTGCTTGACACTCCAAGTTGATTCCTCCAGAAGCATTCTGATACTTGTTTGTTTCACAATTGGTGAGAATGTCTCATCAAAATCCACTCCAGGAACTTGTGAATATCCTTGAGCAACAAGTCTTGCTTTGTAACGCTGTACCGATCCATCAGGATTTCTGTGAAGCTTGAACACCCAGCGTGATCCAACAACTTCACATCCTTTAGGAGCTTCCACCAAGTCATAAGTTTGGTTCTCATCAAGAGAATTCAACTCATCTTGCATTGCTAAAACCCACTTATCTGCATCAAGAGCTTGAATTGCCTGCTCAAAGTTGACTAGTTCAGAAGCTATTTCTGTTGTTGCAAAAGACCACTGCTTGGGATGAGGTGCTCTGCTTGATCGTCTAGATGATGTCCACCCATAGTTCTCCACGTTGAATGGTAGATCACGTGTGAGCCTGTCAACTTCTCCAATTCGTGCACAATGAGTAGCATCGCCCTGTTCTTCAGGAAGAAAAGATCCAAAGACTGGTGTTGGATGGTCGTCTGCTGAAGGAGATGAGGGATAGATGATTGTCAGATCATTGTCATCTTCATCATCGTCTTCAACACCATCCCAACTCCATTCTTCCGGAGTCCAGTTCATGTTTTGATCTGAGCTTTCTTCTTCTTGAACATGATCTTTGTAAAGTGTTCCTTCATCAAAATGAATGCTACTGCTTACAAAAATTTGATGATTACCAGGCTGGTACAAGTGATATCCTTTTGAATTGGAATTGTATCCAACAAGAAAGGCCGCCTTGCTTCTGCTCTCCAACTTGCCGAGATGCTCATCCACCCTTTTTGCAAAGCTTAAACAACCAAAATGCCTAAAGTGCACCACCGATTATCTTTGACCAGTCCAAAGCTCTTTTGGGATCTTGTTGGGATTGCGAGAATGAGGGAGAAGGTTTTGAACATGCACAGCTGATCCGACTGCTTCAGCCCAGAGGAATTTTGGTAGTCCTGATTCTTGAAGGAAGCACCAAACTGCGTTCATGATTGTTCTGTTCTTGCGCTCAAAGACTCCATTCTATTGAGGGGTATGAGAGCAAGAGTGCTGATGAAGAATTCCTCGTTCAGCATAGAACTGCTGAAAGAACTTGTTGACATATTCCCCTCTTGAATCAGTATGTAAACAGCTAATCCTCTAACCAGTTTTCATTTCGGCTTCTGCTACAAATTGCTTGAATTTGCTGAAGACTTCATCTTTGTGACGAAGAAAGAAGACGTCCGTATGCCTGGAGAAATCATCTGTAAATGTCACAAAATACTTTGTGCCATTCTGAGCAAACAATCGCATGGGTCCACAAACATTTGAGTGAATGAGCTGCAAGGAACGAGTGCTTCTGATCACAGCAAGTTTGAAAGTATGACAGGTTTGCTTGCCAAGAATGCAAGTGTGACATTTTGCTGAACTTTGAAAAACGTGGTCGTTGAAGCCATCCACAAGCTCCTGCTTCTGCATATGCCTGATGAGAGGGGGATTGGCATGTGCAAGTCAAGAATGCTAGAGAGAACTATCTGTAGTCATGCATATCTCAAGAGTGTTCAATTTTTCTCCAGAAGCTACTCCTTCTCAAACAGGTTACCACATCTAGGAAAATGCAGTAATGGACGACCATTTGCAAGAACTTGACATTGATGTTTGGAGAAATTCACATCCAAACCTTCATCCATAAGCCTAGCTACAGAAACCAGATTCTTCATTATCTTTGGAACATACCATGCATTCTTCAAGAGCAGAGACTTTTTTCCCAGTGGAACTCGCACATCCCCAGTTGCACGAACAGGTAAAATGCTTCCATCTCCCACACAAATGCACTTCCCTTTTGCAGCACGCAACTGCACAAAGTTCGACCCGCTTTGCATCAGGTGTCTCTCTGAACCTGAATCGATGGTCAATTTTTTAGAAACGTTTGGAACTGCTACCTCAGATAATGCCGCAAGTTCCTGTGTTTCCCCTTCCTGAGCATTTGCTGCGAGCCCTATGTTCATGTGCTGCAGCCAAGCTGGAACTGGGAAATCCTTGGAATAGTGTCTTGGCATCCCATAGGTCCAGCATTCCTGTTTGTTCTTGCCCACAAAACAATCCCAAACTGCTGCTTCTTTACCAGAATTCCCTGAATTCTGCTGCTGCTGCAGATTTCCCCTAAACCCACAACCTCTGCCTCGTACTCCTCTTCCACGGCCTCCTCTGCCTCGATGATTTCCAGCCCACAGAGCTGAATCAGTCCCTGACTGATTGCTCGATGCAGAAACATTTGATGTAGACTGTGAGATCAAAACCTGGGAAGGCTTTTGATCAAAGTCCACAATCAAACCTCTCGCAGCCAGCTCTGACTGTAAAGTTTGCTCAGCTTGTTCAAAGTTGAGCAACATCATGCGAACGGTAGGGACGAAAGAACTAAAAGAAGAATCTTGCATAGCCTCGCAAAGCGTCAGAACTTTTTTGCTTTCGTTGAACACCGCTGGACTGCCTTCAAGCTCCATCCACAGATCTTGCATCTTGGCAAGGAACTCTTCAAAATTCTTGCCTGGATGAAAACAGGTTTCACAAATGCAAGTCTTGACCATGCTGATCTTGGAGAGGGAAAGAACAGCATACTTGTTGTGGAGATGAGCCCAGATCTCACAAGCACTCTTATGATGCAAACGCATCATAAGGGCATTTGCAAGCTTAGAAAGAATCAATCCTTTTGCTCGAGATTCCTTCTTCTCCAGCACAGCTTGTTCCCCTGGATCAAGCTATTGTCGAGCTGCTGCAACAGAGGCACGAATTGCCTCTTCATCCACGACTTCTCCTTCCACCGAAGTTGAAGCTCCCAACGTAGCAGGGGCTCGCCGCGTATGAGCATCTACAGCGATTGTCGGTGGTGAAACGATTTCCCAAAGTTCTTCCATCTGCAGCATGCGCATCATTTTCTCGGACCAGGTATTGAACCCTCTCCTCCCATCAAAGGCAGCGACTCCCTGAAGCAAGATCAATTCAACTTTGCTGCAGCTCATGATGTGAGGCACAAAGAAAGGAGAAGAAAGAGTTCAGAAACTGAGCTCTAATACCATGAAAGAAAAGCGGAGCAAGAATAACAGATTTCACTTCAACACACTCATTGATTCATATATGGCTGTATATATATACAACTTCAATCAAATTGGAAATCACTAGAGATCTGATATGAATTGTCTTGCTTGTCATGTTCATCATTATTCCTACAAGATCATTTTGTCAAGTATAGAAATTGTCTTGGCCAGCATGCTATGCAGCTAAGAGACAATAGTGAGCATGGTGTTCATGGCATTGGTGACATCAATGTCCAAACATCTCATAGGAACTTAACTCTGACTAAGGTAATGTATGTTTCTACTCTTCACAAAGATTTACTATCTGTTGCTAAGATTGCTGATATGGGGAACAATTTGTGTTTTGCTCATCAAGCTTGTGTCATTCAAAATGCACAAACTCATGATGTGGTTGCTATAGCTCCCAGGGAAGGAAATCTATACTGACTCAAAGACAAGGAGTCTACCAGCTCTTTGATTCTTGCCTCTGTTGGTAAAGGTGCATGTGATCTATGGCATAAGTGATTGGGCCATTGCTCATTGGCTAGGATTTCCACCTTAAAGAACATGGTAAATGGTTTGGATGTATCTAACGAGCTAACTCTTGCTCCATGGGAAGCATGTGCACTTGGAAAGCACCATCGTCAGCCTTTTAAAACGATTGGAAGTCGAACAAGCAATTTGCTTAAACTTGTCCATGCTGATGTTTGTGGTCCAGTACAAGTTCCATCTTTCAAGAAGGCTAAGTATTTGTTGACTTTCACAGATGATCTTAGTTGCAAGACTTGGGTTTATTTTCTAAAGAAGAAATCTAATTATTTTGTAGATTGGAAAGCCTTGGTAGAAAACCAAACTGATTGTCAAATCAAGAAGCTACATATAGACAACCTCACAAGAATGTCATTGACAAAGTGCCAAAAGGAGAGCAAAAAATGAACAAGATCTTTTCAGAAGGAATTAGAACAACTGCTACATAAAAGAAGAAAGAAACACTAGCTATATACTAATTACATCCAGAATTTTCTCCTGAAATTTGCTATTGAATGTGGCCCATTCAAAGTGCCTATCACACCTTGGATTTCAACTCCAACACTTCTCCTAAAGCCAAGGGTGTGACTGCTGTTGCTACCTCTTTCTCAGTCAAGGCTTGGCTATGACTCCAATAGAATTCCTATGTTCCACAAATAGAACTTCAGCCAAAAGTTTTGTAAAGATGTCAGTAAGTTGTTGTTGAGAAGAAACATGCTGAACCGTTAACAAACTTGTGTGTACCAAATCCCTGACATAACTTGGCAATATGTCAAGACTTCCAGTTGCACTTAACTATTGCACCAATTGATAGCTCCAGCCTGGAGACGCAATCGATCATCAAGCCCAGTGATATTTATCGCCTTTCGTGATGGGCGAGCTCGATTTACTCTGGTCTGGTAGATCCATCGCCACCGCCAGCGCAGGGCAGGGTGACTTTTAGCTGCCTTGTACAGATGCTCAAGTTGCGGCTTGATTCTTCACAACCTTTTAATTGAAATGTATAAAAATGGTGACAGCGTTGTTTGGTTTCGGGTATTATCTAGCGTCGTGAAACATCATACTTGCAACATATGCCCAAAGATGGCATCTGAGAGAGAAAAGGAAAACGTTTTAGAATTGGGTTTGTAAGTTGTAAAGGGTTTCTCTTAGTAGCGTTGGGCATAGTTGACGAAGTTAGTATCAGCAGTTGCCTTGACCAGGCATTTGGATGAGAGAGGGGATTTTTGTAGAACATGAAGTGATTATGATCATTAGAACACCATGGCCTGCCGAGAGCACCTTCAAAGGCAACGTTCTCGGTGTCAACAGGCATAGACAGACGTTTCGAGCCTTGCCGATGCGAATGCCACCAAGTTGGACGCCGGCATACACGAGAGAGTTCCCGACGACCTCTCGGACAAATCGATCTCGCCTTCACTCTTCCAATCAAACGCATGGAGCAAGCTTGCAACCACAAAAGGAACCACGCGGGAAGCTATTGGCATGCCCGGACAAGTTCTCCTCCCGGCAGAGAATGGGATCATGAGTTCTTGGTTGGATTTCGCTCGATCGCCCAGGAAACGCTCCAGGCGAAACACCTCGGGCTTCTCCCAGTGCCGTGGGTCGTGCCCGATCGCCCAGATGTTGATGAGAACGGTGCAGTGCTTGGGGATGTCGTAGCCTGCGAGTGTTGCCTTGGATGGATTGTGGTGAGGAACGCCAAGAGCTCCCACTGGATGGACTCGCAACACTTCTTTGAAGATTGCTTCGATGTAAGGTAAGTTGACGAGGTCCGAGTGCTTGACAAGTTGTGACTTCCCTATCGTGTTCTTTACTGCTTCTTGTGCTTTTTCCATCACTCTGGAATTTCTTAGAACTTCGGCCATGGCCCAGACTGCTGTCCACTTGATCGTGTCAACTCCAGCGACAAGTATATCCTGTGCAAAGAGTAAGTTCCAGACTGAAAAGTGCGTGGTATCACTTACAGTGAGCAGTGCGACGATTGATATGTCTCGTAGGGACTCGAGAGATAATAGCACGTCTGTGAGATCTCTGCTGACGAATTCCTGCCCTTGAGACTCAATCCTCGCCTTGTTTTGCTTGTGAGCGCCGATCACTTGTATTAGCAATTGTTCCAGCTCTGGCATGAGAGTTTCCTTCATTGTCTTGTTTACTCCGTGGAGATCCAGGAAATCCAGCGCTGGGAACAAGTTTCCGATGTTCACGTTGATTGCTTGCTTTTCGATTTGGGCTACCAGATCCAAAACTCTCACTTCTGTGCTGCCAAAGAGAATCATACAAAATGCATCCGAGATAAACTTGCCGACTGCATCGGTCAGGTTGATCGCCAGAGCTATCTCTAGTTCGTCGATCCCCGCAACACCATCCAGCCTCGTGTTGTTCGTCAAGTGCCTGCTCGTGATTTGCTTGAGGTTCTTCCAGGACTCCCGGCGATTCCAGCGCAAGGCGATTTTAATTCTCTAGTCCGGTCCATCAAATCGTACGGCAACTCGAAGAACTTGGGCGAAGCGAGGAAAGTCCATGCGAGGATAGAACGGAACAGGGACCTGAAAGAAAGCTTGCATCTGTGGAATCTTGTGATTGAAATGTATGGAAAGTGCGGCAGCGTGGAGGAGGCTCGAGCGGTGTTCGATCGGATCAGCGACAGGAACTTGGTGTCGTGGAACATCCTCCTTGCGGCATATGCCCGAAACGTGGATATTGCTCAAGCAAGATGCGTGTTCCAGAGCATGCCCAGGAAGGATCGAGTGTCATGGAAAGGAATTATCCAGCCTACGTGAAAAGCGGGCTTTCGGAAAGAGCGATGGGAGTGTTTAGAGCGATGCCATAACCGGATATCGTCTCGTGGACAACCGTGGTTGCCGCATTTGGCAAGGCGGGGGTCGAGCGACAGAGCTGTTTGATTCGATGCCTCACAAGATTGTGATCGCGTGGAACGCTATGATCACGGGTCATGAAAAGGCTGGATTAATGGAAGAGGCAAAGAAGCTCTTCGATTGCATGCCGCTCAAGGATGTGGTTTCGTGGAACGCTATGGTGGCGGGATATGCCGGAAACGGGCAACTTGATCTGGCGAGAGAGGTTTTCGAGAGCATGATCTTGCGAGACTCGGTGTCGTGGACGACGATGATCCGGGCTTACGTTACTGGAGGAGAGATTGCCAAGGCCAGAGCTTTGTTCGAGAGGATGCCGATGGAGAACGTCGTAGGGGCCACACCGAGAATGGAGACTTGGAAGAAGCGAGAGCTTTGTTCGAGAAAATCCAGTGCCCCGACGCGATCGCGTGGACGACGATGATGAACGCTTACGCCAGGCATGGTTTCCTTAAAGACGCAAAGACCATCTTCGATCGGATGCCGGACAGGAACTTGGTAACTTGGAACGCGCTCATCACAGCGTACACGGATCACGGTCGCGTGGAGGAGGCCCGGGAGCTGTTTGACAGAATGAAAGAGAGGAACTCCATCTCCTGGGATGTGATGGTCGAGCGTGGAGAGAGGCGAGCTTGTCTAAGCAAAGGCCGCATTTGATCAGATGCCTCAATCGGACACAGTGTCGTGGAACTCGATGGTTCAAGCGTATGCTCAAGATGGTCACGTAGAACAAGCCAGGGACGTGTTCGAGAGGATGCCGAGGAGGAACGTTGTGTTATTCACGGCCTTGATCCAGGCCTACGCGAGAAGAGGCGAGATGGAGGAAGCAAAGAGGCTGTTTGACGAGATGCCGCAGCGGGACGTGGTGGCCTGGACGACGATGGTGGTCGGATACGCGCAGGCCGAGATGGTGGAGTGCGATGATCGCAGCCTACGCTCGCCCCGGGCATTTGGATGAGAGATGTAGAACATCAAGTGATTATGATCATTAGAACGCAATTCAAAGACAACGTTGTCTCAGGTATAGACAGACGTTTCGAGCCTCGCCGATGCGAATGCCACCAAGTCGGACGCCGGCAGAGTTCCCGACGACCTCTCGGACAAATTGATCTCGCCCAATTAAACGCATGGAGCAAGCTTGCAACCACAAAAGGAACCACCCGGGAAGCTATCGGCATGCCAGGAATGGCATCATGAGTTCTTGGTTGGATTTCGCTTGATCGCCCAGGAAACGCTCCGAGCGAAACACCTCGGGCTCGTCCCAGTGCTGTTTGAGATGACAAGGGTGCAGTGCTTGGGGATGTCGTGGCCTGCGATTGTTACCTTGGATGGATTGTGGTACGCAAAGAGCTCCCACTGGATGGAGTCGCAAAACTTATTCGAAGATTGCTTCGATGTAAGGTAAGTTGACGAGGTCCGAGTGCTTGACAGGTTGTTACTTGACGTTGAGTGTTTGGTTTTCGATTTGGGCTACCAGATCCAAAACTCTCTCCTCTGTGCTGCCAAAGAGACTCATACAAAATGCATCCGAGATAAATTTGCCGACTGCATCGGTCAAGGTGACGGGAGCATGATCACCAGAGCTTTGTATGGCTTTGATGGATTTCGCCATCTCCATTTCGTCAATCCCCGCAAAACCATCCAGCCTCGTGTTGCTCATGAAGTGCCTGCTCGTGATTTGATGTCTTTGAAGCCATAGCCAAACTTACTAGCTGGGCGATAAGCAAACTCCAAATCGTGAGTTATGGTGATGGAGTTGATGACAACAAAGCTATAAAGTCAAAACAACAGGAACTTGGTGTCGTGGAACATCCTCCTTGCGGCATATGCTCGAAATGGGGATATTGCTCAAGCAAGATGCGTGTTCCAGAGCATGCCCAGAAAGGATCAAGTGTCATGGAATGGAATGATCCAGGCCTACGTGAAAACTGGGCTTTTGGAAAGAGCGATGGAAGTGTTTAGAGCAATGCCATCACTGGATACCATCTCATGGACAACCGTGGTTGCTGCATTTGCCAAGGCGGGGGATCTGTGTCGAGCGACAGAGCTGTTTGATTTAATGCCTCACAAGAATGTGATTGACAAAGTGCCAGAAGGAGAGCAAAGAATGAATAGGATCTTTTCAGAAGGAATTGGAACAATTGCTTCATAAAAGAAAAAAGAAACACTAACTATATACTAGTTACATCCAGAATTTTCTTTTGAAATTTGCCACTGAATGTTGCCCTTGATTTCCATGATTCAAGGTGCTTATCACACCTTGGATTTTGGCTCTAACACTCCTCATAAAGCCAAGGGTGTGACTGCTATTGCTACCTCCTTCTCCAGTCAAGGTTTGGCCACGACTTTAATAGAATTCTTGTGTTCCACAAATAGAACTTTAGCCAAAGGTTTTATAAAGATGTCAACAAGTTGTTGACAAAAAACATGCTGAACTATTAACAAACTTATGTGTACCAAATCCTTGACATAATGATAGTGTTTAGCAATATGTCGAGACTTCCAGTTGCACTTCACTATTGCACCATTTGATAGCTCTTTTGTTATCAACATGGAGAGTAATTGGTGTGGAGGATTGCTCAAGAGCTCTAAGAAATTCTTAAAACCAAAGAATTTCCCTGGAAGCAACTAAGGCAGCAAGATATTTTGCTTCTGTGGAGGAAAGAACAATGTGAGCTTGCTTTTTGCTGGCCCAAAGAACAAGGTTTGTTCCAAGTTGGAAACGAAACCCTATTGTGGATTTATAGCTATCTCTATCATTTGATAGGCTGCTGTCATTGTAAGCAAAAAGAGAAAAACCACCACATGAGCCATACAATAGTCCAAAAGCAAGAGTTTGCTTTATATAGCGCATCATAGATTTGGCCATGTCTAATGTTTCTTGCCAGGATTAGCAAAAAATTGGCTAAGAGTGATGACAATATAAACCAAATTTGGATGGCTACACACCATAGCGTACATTAAAATCCCAGAAAATTTCAAAATGGTACCTTTGCCATGGCTTGATACTCCTCTTTGCTGGAAAGACACTCAGCTTTTGTCAAGAACTTGATGTTACCAGGCTTTATAGGCAAATGAGAAGGATTGCAATTAGTATATCCATAACTCTCAAGTACCTTTGTTAAATATTGCTGTTGAGAGATGTGAAGGGACCTTATTTTCTTGTTATGGTGAATCTCAAGACTAAGAAAATATCAAGCTTCTCCAAAGTCCTCCATTAGCCTTGAAAATCTATAAATACTTGTAGTCGTTGCTAATCAAAAGTGAGTCGTCAATGTAGAGAGCAACAATAAGTAAAAACTTCCCTTCTTGCTTGATGTAGACATTAGATTTAGGAGTGATGGAAGAAAAACCTTCAACTTTGAAGAAAACATCAATTTTCTGCCATTATGCTTTCAAGGCTTGCTTAAAGCCATAAAGAGCTTTATTGAGTTTCCATACAAGATGTTGCTTCCTAGGTTGGGTGTAGCCATCTGGCTATTGAATGTGGACATCTTCCTACAAGTCTCCATTCAGGAAAGTAGTCTTGATGTTAGTGTGATGAATCTTAAGATCAAAGTAAGTAGCAAAAGCAAGCAAAATTCGAACACTTGTTATTTTTACCACTAGAGAGTATGTCTCAAGATAATCCATGCCATATTGTTATTTGTAGTCTTGTGCAACAAGCCAAGCTTTGTGACAGTTAATAGAACCGTCAGAGTTGAGTTTCATCTTGTAGACCCATCAGCTACCAAGAGCTATAGTTCCAACTAAAAGAACCACTTCATCAAAAGTGTGCATTGGAGTGATGGACTCAATTTCTTGGTCCATTGCTCGCTTCTAATGACTTGCATTGGGACTAGCCATAGCTTCCATGAATGAGGAAGGCTCAAGTATACATGCAGTTGCACAAAACTCCAACAAATTAGAAGCAATAGCATAAGAGCATTTAACATTTTCAAGAGCTTTTCTACTTGGAATTTTCACCCTTTTTCCTCGTCCAAGTGGCTCAAAAGTAGCCTCGTTGAATGCTAGAGATGCCATCGGAGTCAAAACAGTGTTAGATTTTAGAGGAGAAAGTTGAGTTGGGACTTTGATGACTAGATCAATTCCTCCTTGCTCAAGTGCTTTTTCGTGCTGAGCATCATCCCAAAAATCAGCATCAAGAATAGCATCATTCCAAAACCAAGAATTTGGAAAATTCACAAAATCAAGATCAGGAATAGAAGAGGATTGAGAGAAAAAAGGGGTTTCCTCAAAAAATACCACTTCTTCTTGCCTACAAACATGAACTGTGGCTGTCATAGGATCCATCAATCTGTAAGCATGAGAACTAGAATCAGACATGCCAACATCAAGCTTGCTATGCATAAAGCACTCTTCCGAGGTTATCTCTGGTTAAGGAGAAAAATAGCATACTTAACTGCCTGTACCCAAAACTTTTGTAGAGCGTGAGATTGCATCATGTTGTGTCTACAATAGTGCGATTCTTGTGCTTTGCCACTCCATTATGCTGAGCTGTGTATGGTTCGGTGAGCTGATGCTAGATTCCAGCTTGGGAACAAATGCTATTAAAAGCATTGTTCACAAATTCAGGCATCGAATCAAACAGCTCTGTCACTCAACACAGATCTCCCACCTTGGCACCACGGTTGTCCATGAGATGATATCCAATGATGGCATTCCTCTAAACACTTCCATCGCTCTTTCCAAAAGCCCGCTTTTCACGTAGGCCTGGATCATTCCATTCCATGACACTCAATCCTTTCTGGGCATGCTTTGGAACACGCATCTTGCTTGAGCAATATCCCTGTTTCGAGCATATGCCACAAGGAGGATGTTCCACGACACCAAGTTCCTGTAGCTGATCCGATCGAAAACCGCTCAAGCCTCCTCCATGGTGCCGCACTTTCCATACATTTCAATCACGAGATTCCACACATGCAAGCTTTTTTGCAGGTCCTTGTTCCGTTCTATCCTCGCATGGACTTTCCTCGCCTCACCGAAGTTTTTCGAGTTGCCGTACAATTTGATGGACCGGACAAGAGAATTAAAATTGCCTTGCGCTGGAATCGCCTGGAATCCCTGGATCATTAATTTTCTACACCATCCTAGATATTACTTGCTCTGGCTTGACAATGGATCGTTAGGATCCAATATTTTCAATTGAGATTGTGTTTTGACTTCATACCTTTGGGTTTATATATCGCCATTCATACATGAGAGATTGATTTATTCGCAAGCCTTGGCAAGATTTATGGCCCGATCATCCACTTGAGAGGTGGAGTTTGTCAAGACCCCTGACAAGATCAAGACTGGAAAATGCAAAAAGACAAAGAGAAAAGCTAGTGGAAACAAAGAAGAAGCCTTAAACTGGCGTTGATTCAGATTGTGGAGAAATGGAACAAGGCTAACCTATATATACTATAGGTTGATGAAGCTCCACCACTCTTGGATCGAGGACGGCCTAAATATAGCTGAGGTCGAGGAGGCGCCACATCATCATCAGGAATGTGGCTCGAGACTCAGGAATCGGGAAGTGTCTCGAGAGTCAGGAATAGGGAAGTGTCTCGAGAGTCAGGAATGTGGTCTGCAGGTCAGGAATCCGGCAAGAGTTAGGAATGTGGCAAGAATTGGGGGATTCCTGACAGCACCCCCTCCTCAAGAACGAGTGGAACGAGGATGTGAACGAGAACGAAGAGGAGGATGAGATGAGCGGCGAGGGATGAGAGATGGAAAAAAAGAATGAGGACTGGGACGAGAAGGATAGCGGCGGTGGAAGTCCTGAACAAGGTCAGGAGAATGAATCAGGTTGTCCGCAGGTTCCCAAGTGCGTTCCTCAGGTCCGTAACCCTTCCAGTCCACCAGATAGTAGAGTTTAGACTGTGAAATCTTGGAATCAAGGATGTCCTGAACCTCGTACTCAGACCCATCCTCGAGCTGCACTGGTGGAGGCGGAGGAATGACCCGATTTGGAATAGGACTGGGAATATAAGGCTCAAGGAGAGAGGAGTGAAAAACGGGGTGAATTTGATATGAGGGAAGTGCAAGGTGATAAGTCACAGGATTAATGATGGCAGTGATAGGGAAAGGACCAAGGCGTTTGAAATCGAGTTTTGGACAGGGCCTGGTGGTGGAGATATTTCACCTGAGGAGCCAGACTTTATCCCCGATATTATAAGGGGGACAATCCTGACGATGGACATTGGCAAATGTTTTATGAGATTCCTGAGCACGATGGTGGTGGAAGGAGATGGAGTTGTGGATTTCCTGGAGGTTGGAGATAAATGCCTCAGAGCGGGGATTTGAACGAGAAGATTCAGATGGAGAAGGAAGTGAGAGATTGAATCGGGGATTTCGGCCAGAGTTCGCAAAGAAGGGGGAAACTCGAAGAGAGGAGTGAACAGAGTTGTTATAGGAGAACTCAGCAAGGGGAAGGATATCGAACCAGTTATCCTGATGATAGTTGATGAAGCACCTCAAGAATTGTTCCAACGTCTGAATCGTTCGCTCGGACTGCCCATCAGTTTGAGGATGATATGCCGAAGAGAGGTTGGCCTTCACTCCAAGCAGCTGCAAAAACCGTTGCCAGAAATGAGAGATGAACTGAGGCCCCCGATCCGAAACCACATCTGTAGGAATCCCATGAAGTCAGAAAATTTCCCTGAATACTAGTTTTGCCATGTCTTCGCCCGAAAACTCCTTGGTACATGACAAGAAGTGCGCCATCTTTGTGAAGCGATCCACCACGACTAAAATGCTGTTGAAGCCTCCAGAACTCGGAAGATCACTCAAGAAATCCATGGAGATGGATTCCCAAGGACCTGAAGGGACTGGAAGGGAACGAAGCAAACCTGAAGAAAGGTGGCGAGGTACCTTATTCCGGGCACAAGTGTCACAGGAGGTAACAAAAGCTTTGATGTAGTCATCCATGTGAGGCCACCAAAAGTCCCGTGCAACTAGCTCATAGGTTTTCGCAATGCCGAAGTGACCAGCAGTCGGGCTATCGTGGCACGCCATCAGGACCAACCTTCGAGCATCACCTTCAGGAACGTAAAGCTGCTCCCCACGGTACAATAAGCCATCTAAGAACTCGAACTCGTCAAATCGCCGGCAGTCGGGAGTCACTGGGTGTCCAGCCTGAAGATGGGGGAAGATGTCGCTAGCGAGTTC